CACAGCGCATCGCGGCGGCGGCGGCAGCGGTGCTCCAGCGGGCGCAGCCCTCGCAGCCCGGGCTCGCCCGGCATTGGCGGAGGCCGCCGTCACTCACCCGCCCGCCCGCCCGCATTGGCCGCTCAGCCCTCGCCCGCCCGGGTCGCCCGGCGCCGCCGGACCCGCCCGCCGAAGCGCGGAGGCGCCTGGTGGCTGCTCAGGGCCGCTCGTACCGCGGGCACCGCAGCGCCCGTGACCGTCGGTGCTGCGGGCGAGTGAGCGCTGCCCTCCGCCGAGCCTGGCTGTGCAGAGCAGGGCAGGGCAGGGCAGGGCTGCGTTGTGCTGAACTGGGCGCGCAGCCCGGAGCCGCCCGCGGTACCGGAGCCCAGGTTTCTGCTCCGCCGGTGCCGGGCGCCCGGCGTGTCCCGAGTCGCGGCCGCCCAGCTTGGCCGCAGCCTCCCCGCGCTGCCGGCGCCCCTCCCGCCGCCCGCTCCCGCGCAGCCCTTTGTTGCCGCGCCCGGTTCCCTCCAGCCGCGCCCGGGGCTGCAAATGGCGCCCGCCGAGGACGCGGCGCAGCCCGAGCCACGATCGGATCCGCGGGGCCGCCGCGCACGGACCCCGCAGCGCACGGAAACCTCAGCCCGAGGAGCCCGGAGCTGCCCTCGCAGCGGGAGTCGCTCCCCGCCGCCGTCAGCCCGACGGCCGGTCCGACCTGTCGGTGCACAGCACAACCGCCACTCACCGGGCGCGTCTTGCGGGCGGCTGCCGCTGATCCAAAGGGAGCGGGCGGTGGGTGCGGGATCCCGGCCCCGCGGCGGGGCTGGCAGTGGCTGGAGGCGACGCGCCGGTCCCGCAGCCCCGAGAGCCCGAACGGGAGAGAAACAAAAGGTATTTGCTGACGTGGGCGTTGGACAGAGACGCCCGAGGGCCGGGGACACAGTTAAAGGGGCAACGCACCGATTGCAGGCGCAGCCCAGAGGCTGCCTCCGCCCGCCCGCCCGCAGCCGGGGCTGCTCGCCTCTCTCCGCACCCACTCGCCGCCCGGGAAGCCGTTGCCTCCCGCAGACAATGCGGTGCTGCTGGGAAAGCCCAGTCCAAATATCTGTATGGGGAAGGTACGACCTGAATGGGAAACCTCTGTCCTTTTGTCGTGTAGGATACGGTACATGATTCAATAAAGGAGCACGTCTATAACGCGAAGTTCTGTTTTCAAACAACTGAGCTAATCCTAAAGGAAAGTACTGCAAGTAGGAGTGCACTGACAGATTGTCCTTTTTGTTTCTTCTGTGTGGAAAATCAAATCAGAATGCCCGTTAGACAGCAAGACACTTCCCATCTTGTGCCTGTTAAAAAGATGGAACGCTTCACATCTTGCTCGAGATTTTTGAATGATTTTGAGAAGGAACCTCTTCAGGTCAGTCCCCTCCTGAATGCCTGCTCAGAACACAGAAAGAACATTTCCCACTTGCACAATAGAAAGTGTCAGGTCGGAGTGCAGCAGAGAACCTCACTAAGGTTTCATTCACTACAACAGCAAAGCCAAGATACAGAAATCTTGTTCCTGTTGCTCCTCCCTAAGTTTTTCCTTACGAAGTTATTTGTTCTGTGTTGCCACTATGTTTAAAAGTCTTGATGGACTAAATGAGACTCGTTTGTGCTTCAGGAGTTTGACATGATGAAAGGTTAAACTAACTCCAGTGTGGGAGTACTTTTAAGTTAAACATCATATAAAAGATTTAACTAAATAGTATTATCAGGTTTTCTTGGTAGCTTATCAAATTACACCGTCACTCCACAGCCAGAGGTTTATGTGGCAGGTAGAATTCCTGAAAGGAAATACCTGAAAAGGGGGAAAGAGAAATGGTTTTGAATTCAGCCTTTGAAAGGATGGCAAGATAGTTGTCAGGAAATAAGATAGTTGAAGGTGAGACACTAACCAGAGAACCATACATCTATGTCTTCACTCTGGACTGTGGTTTTATGAACGTAGCAATAAACACAAGCCAAGCAAAAAGAATCATGGAATTGTCTAGGTTGGAAAAGACCTTTAAGATCATCAAGTCGAACAATGAACCGCAGCACTGCCAAGTCCACAGCTACACCTTGTCCCCAAGAGGGTACCTGGCAGTGACAAAAGACACAGAGAGGGGAGAAAAGGACAAAGACATCAGGATTGCACAGGGAGTCAAGGTGTCCAAGAGGAACGTCATGTGAAGCAGACTTCCCTCCAATGTTAGATGAAACAGGGAATGGAAAAGCATATTTCAGGAGAATAAGGTACTGGAACCAAAACATGCATTACAAAGTAGTATTTAAGAGCATTCAAAGCAACATGAAGATGAAAGAAGTACAAGGAAAACATGATAAAAAGCAAAAGCAATTGGAGAGGGATCAGACCTGTGGCCGTGGGGAAGCTCTGGGTGTCTCTATCCCACCTCCCACAGGAGGAAGGCCAGTGCCAAGATCCCATCAGCCATGGCTTTGTCAAGCCAAGTCATGGACACTGCCTCTGAGGCTGCTGCCCCAACACTGCACTACAACTTAAACCTCTCAAGTGTTATTTGGTTCTGCAGAGCCGGAATAGAAACAGACTCTGAGTGATCAACCAGTACCAGAAACCAGTGCAGTCCTATCCACCCTTCTCTAGCATTTAAAGATAAAACCAGGTGTCCTGCCTCAGACCTGACAAAGGTCTAAAAGCAACACCTTCAAATCAGTTATTGCCAGGGAAATTAAACCCTGTGGGAATAGCTCTGGAAGATCTTTACTTTCCTCCTTGAAAAGATGTTACTTCTGGTAAGGAGTGGTGTGTGATCCTCACAGGAACATGATGCAGACAGCAGATGTGAGATGAGCAGAAAACAGAGAGGATTTACTTTCACGTAAGAGAAGGACAAGCAAAATATATGACTGGCTATGTACAATGAAGGACGTCAAAAACAGAAGGCACTTAACATTTATCTTGTCTTGCAATACAAAAATAAGAGAACAACAACTGAAATGAAGGCAACAAATGTAAAACTGGTAACCTCTTTAAAATACAAGCCACAACTGACCTGTGGGAATGGCAGCCTGGAGCTAAAGCTTAGCGAGATACTTTAACAATTACTACAGCCATTTAGTTATGCTACTGAGAATGCAAATAACGTGTCAAAGCAGTAACCCCCTTATTTGCCAGGCAAATCAACAATTAATCTGCCTGTATTTAAAATGGAAATGCCTTCACATGGATAGATTGTTCCATTTGCCCACTTCCAGCCACTTCACATAATTTTCTGAAGCATTTGGTCCTCAGTATCCTTAGATTTATGGTACCCAATTAGCTTGAGTATTGATCTCAAAATCCCTTTGCTCCTAAAAATGCTCCCACTGTTCAGAAGCAGCCTCATCTTTATAGTTGGAAGCTCAGATTTCACATGTACAGTGGCACTTTCTTTTCCCTTCCCCTTAATCCATCCCAAAACACACGCAGAGACTAATCCCAGCCCCCCTTGGGACAGCAGGTACAGATACCTTCAGTTTATTGTGTTTCATGTAAAGGGAAATGGAAAGATCTATTAAACTTGATATCAGCAAGCATTCTCTCTTGAAGTTTGCTAAAAGTCATTCCACATTCGCTCACGTATTTATTTGTTCTAGTCTTGATTTAGTTGAGGTTGCTCAGGAATGTTTCTCAGCCATTTATTAATATGTATTTGGGGAATAATTAGCTCCAAGGAAGCACCCCGCTGGTGTCCCATCCAGTCCATTCTGTGGACTCCTGACCCAAGTGGAACAGAAAATCAAAACAAGTGTAAGCCTTCTTTGGAAAAGACGCTTTCATGTGGGTCACCAGAAAGATTTCCAAGCCCCCCAGTTTAAAGCCCCATCCCAAATCTAAGCCAACAGATGATAATTCCTGTAGGAACACTCAAAATACCCTATCTCATCTCCATGGAGCAGATGAAGCAGATGCTCGTCCGAGGGAAGAGTGCTCAGTGCTTCCACTGAACTTAGCAGGAAGCACTCGCTCTGGTGTGTGAGACCCACGAGCTGCCATCTGCAGCCTGGCATGAAAATGCTGCTCTCTGCTAAGGATGATAGTGATAAAGCTATACACTTTTTACACAAATAAAAATAAACTAGTGACTTTTGAGCAGTCCCTGGCAAAGAGATTATATAGTGTATATATGGGATTGTCTGTAATCAATCCCGGCTTTCAGCCAAACATGCTTACAAACTTGTATAAAGGAAAAGAATTAAAAGTTTTCTTAAGCCTATAGCCATGAGTTCAATGGTTGTAGGATGAAGGCTGTGTTCATACTCGGGTCTGCCCGAGCAAACACAGAGTAGCAGCACCTGGGAGCATTGTTCTGCTCCTCTCCCATTTATACCATAAACTCCCCAAGTACCAAACCCAAGTGGCTGGTTTCATTATAGACGTAAACTTTCTTCACCTTTAGTCATTTCTTGGAGTCTTATTATAGGTGAAATTACACAAATATGCTGTGTAGAGCTCCTGGTACATCTCATTCTCATTGGCATATGGTACAGACTGGAAAAGGCTGAGTGAATGACAGTGGGGATATAGAAACTGATAATGATTCCATCTTAAAACTCACCAGTTTAACCTGAGCACAGGTCAATACAAACAAGAGTTGTCAATGGTTTCAGATGGATCTCCTCGGTTCCATGTCTAGCGCTATGGTATATATACTGTACAAATTGCTCTGCCACCAGGACTGGCAAATAAAAGAGGGGACAAAGGGAAAACACCAACTAGAGTAACCTTGAAGGATTGTTTCCTTCGTGGTGGCATGGAGAGGCTGACACTGCCATGAGCAAGCTGTGGGCACAGGGCTACCAGCCACAGCAGTCCGGCACTTCAGAGAGGTGTTTAAAACCCAGAAAGTATTTTACTGGTCCGTATTAAAAGAGAGCCTAGTCTGAGTTCCCAGTTTTCAGAATGAATAAAACATCTACTGGCATCAAGTAACGATCCTCATCTGTGATCACTTGCTCTCTGATGTGCTGACTGGGACTAGCATTCATGTGTTTATTCTCTTGTAAAGAAATAGGTCTTGAATGAACCATCTGCTAAAGATTCTCCAGACTCTAAGAAACGTTACAAGAAAGTGCTTTTCCAGACAAATGTGCTAAAACATTTTGATATGCTTTTTGTTAATTAGCTGCCTTTTTATCCTTATCATAATGTGAAGACTTCACGGAAGATGATCTTCATTTCTGAATACTGAAGAGAGGTTGTCTTTATATTCTGGTGTCAGGGTATTTATACTTATTGAATCACCAGATGATGTTACACTGAAACCCCACATCTCTGCTAGTTTAAGGAATGGGCCATCTTCATGGTGTGTGACTTTTTAAAGTATTTAGACCTCACTCTCTTGAAAGAGGGTTTGAGAAGTGACCCACTGTCTCCTGTACAGTTATCCATGTAGTACTTCAGTTCTCTTCCTCATCCATTATCTGATTTAAGGATGGATCATCTCTGGTGAAGCAAAGATGGGTCTTTTGATCACAGAACTCAGGACGGATGCAACGGCATGTCCGCAGATACATGCAAGTCCAGCCCTGCTCAGGAGAAACCACTGTCTCCATACGTTTAACAACAGGCTGGTGGAGGGTGTATTGTCAAGACAGTGCCTTCTCCCTCTGACAGGGAATGCCTAGTTCTTGTCTTGCAGCTACCTAATGTTTGGTTTTACTTCCTTTTCGTCAGCTTCATCCTCACTGTCATCAACTTGCTGAATGACCAAGTCGGTTGACCCATCCTCCACGATCTCCACATCCGATCTGTTATCTTCCCCATAGTGCCACCTGGAATCCTTGTCTCCATCTGGTGGAAATTCCAGGGGTGCTTCCGCCTCCAAGTCAATGCGGATACTGTCTATGCCAGCTTCAGCCAAGCACTCATTACAGAGTCTGTAACGCCTTGTCCCCTCTTGGACCACTTGTCCTGTCAGCTCCGTCACGTGGCGCTTACACTTCCTGCAGATGGGCTTGCAAGCCTGATGAATCTGGGAAAATGGAAAGGAACGGATTTGATAATATATCCACAAAGAAGTGGGGCTTAAGATGACAAAAAGTAGGGTTGGAGTAGTGTGAAATGGCAGCATTAACTCATTTTGAGAGGCAGTAACTGCCCACTTCAGCTCTGCACCTTTGTGAGCATCAGTTAACAAATTCATCCACTTTCACACAAAATATGCCTCAAACTGACCTCAGCAAACCCAAATTACCTACTACCTCTTCTTTACAGATCCATCCATACTGTGGTTAATTACACATTAAGCAAATGATGCAGCTCCTGGGGTACGTACTGTTCGGAAGTGGCTGCTGAGGTGGTCCAGTCGGCTGAACCTCTTCCCGCACGCCTCGCAGGGGTACGGCCGCTCCCCTGTGTGGCACCGCAGGTGCCGCTTGAGGTCAGCTTTTCTCTTCACCACGTGAGTGCAGAACGGGCACTTGAACCTCATCCTGGGCAGATCGTCTGCTAGGAAACAAGGGGATTTGGAAAAAGAAATATATCTGAAGGGGGCTACAAGGATGCTGGAGAGGGACTCCTCATCAGGGACTGCAGTGATAGGACAAGGGGGAATGAGTCTAAACTTAAATAAGAGAAGTTCAGGTTGGATATAAAGAAGTTTTTCCCTGTGAGGGTGCTGAGGCCCTGCCACAGGGTGCCCAGAGAAGTGGTTAATGCTTCATCCCTAGCAGCGTTCAAGGCCAGGTTGGACAGAGCCTTGGGCAACATGGTCTAGTGTGAGGACCACAGAGGGGGCTGGAACTGGGTGAGCTTTAAGGTCCTTTCTAACCCAAACCAGTCTGATTCTATGATAACACATCTAGTCATGTAACACTCAGGAAAAGGCATTCTACAGAGCAGAATGGCAAATAACTTGTATTAGGAAAATAATCTCGCAGGTCTTTCCAAGCACAGAGATCTTGTGTTTTCCTGTATGTCACACAGGAGTGAAAGGAGGGGGCTGTTGGCTTTATTACAACAAGCTGGGAAATATCCCAAAAGATCCCAAATTAAATTCATAAGATGAAGCTGTAGAGCCACTACCTTGAAGGTTTGAATAAACCATGGACTTCAAAATATCAAAATTAAGACTTAAACTTTCCAAACTTAGATTTCAGGACAACCAGCTGGCTTTGTGGATACTGTACACTCAGCAAAGCACTTTTACTTGCAAACAGAACCTATGCAAAGAGGTGACCATGCCCATGCAGCATTAGTGGTCACTCACCTTCAGCCCAGCTGCCCATGACTCCCAGGATGGAGGGCATGCTTGGGTACTGCTCCTCTGCCTTCGAAGCCTTGAGTTTACTGGAGGAACGGGGTGATTCATGCTCCGGCTGCGGCACAGCCAGGCTCCTCGGCATCACATCAGAGCCCTGCCCATACTGGTAGCCCACATGAGGAGATTCAGCCTCTGCTTCAATCTGAACTTGCTCCTCGGCCGGAGCACCGTGTCCACTGGGCTCAGCTGCCCTCTCCTCCAGCTTACTGGACTTATAGTGCAGGATGTCAGAGGGTGGCTGTGGCCCCGGATGCCGGGGTTTCTTCCCAGAGTCCTGCCGTTGCTCGTGCTTGGACAGCTGCTGTGAGGTGTTCCTCGGAGGAGTTGGGTAGTAGCTGAAACCACTCCATGCATTCCCACCCATCATACACGTCCCTTGCTCTGGACTCAAGTGTGAGTGTGGAGGGCTGCCCTCCGCCCTCCAGCCTGAGCCGTACAAGCAGGACCGGTCCACACCATTCGAACTGCCATCTTTATCTGAGAGACTGAAGTAACGATCCTTCTCCTTCTCACTGATGTCCAGGGAGGACTTGATGAAGGTTTTACACACGCTGATAACGTCGGTCATCTGCAGGTAGCTGGCAGCAGACATGACCTCGATCACGTTCTGACCCGTCAGAGACAGCTTCCCTGAATACACAAAGTCCAGGATAACTGTGAATGTGTCGGGAGAAAACGCCTGGAATGTGGCTGTCGTCGACTGGCTCGTCTCCTTCGAGCTCTGCGAGAGCAGCATCTTGAAATAGCCACTGCTGGCAAAGAGCACATTGCGATGTGCTTTGAAGACCTTCCCCTCCACCAGGATATTGCAGTCGCAGAACAAGTCCTGCCTGCGCTGCTCATTCAGTTGCTGCAATAGGTGAAACTGGTGAGAAGAAATCTCCATTCCAGAGAAGCTGAAACGAAGCTTTGCTCTGAAAAATAAAGAAAACCATTCAGCCTCTCGACTTCAGCGCTGTGCAACTCAGCCAACGATGTCAGGGCCGGTTTTGCAGTTACCCTTATGAATAATCTGATTTATCTGAATCACAGCATGCACAGACGGACGTTCCCAGGAGAGAACCGCGATGGAGCAGCCGAGGAGGCACACGCCGTGCGGCGGGGACGCCTCTGCTGCAGCCGGCAACGTCTCCTTCCGAGGCTGCAGGGCCGGAGGGTGCAGCCCGCGGGGCTCCGAGGCCGCCACACGCTATTTGGGAAGACGAGGAGCGCTGCAGCTCCCCCGGACCGGGTCCGCGTCCGCGCCGCCGGTACCGCATCGCCACCAGAACGGACCAGAACCGGGACCCGGCGCGGCGCCCCGGTGGGCTCAGCCCTCCCGGCCCGGGCTCGCCCGGCATTGGCGGAGGCCGCCGTCACTCACCCGCCCGCCCGCCCGCATTGGCCGCTCAGCCCTCGCCCGCCCGGGTCGCCCGGCGCCGCCGGACCCGCCCGCCGAAGCGCGGAGGCGCCTGGTGGCTGCTCAGGGCCGCTCGTACCGCGGGCACCGCAGCGCCCGTGACCGTCGGTGCTGCGGGCGAGTGAGCGCTGCCCTCCGCCGAGCCTGGCTGTGCAGAGCAGGGCAGGGCAGGGCAGGGCAGGGCTGCGTTGTGCTGAACTGGGCGCGCAGCCCGGAGCCGCCCGCGGTACCGGAGCCCAGGTTTCCGCTCCGCCGGTGCCGGGCGCCCGGCGTGTCCCGAGTCGCGGCCGCCCAGCTTGGCCGCAGCCTCCCCGCGCTGCCGGCGCCCCTCCCGCCGCCCGCTCCCGCGCAGCCCTTTGTTGCCGCGCCCGGTTCCCTCCAGCCGCGCCCGGGGCTGCAAATGGCGCCCGCCGAGGACGCGGCGCAGCCCGAGCCACGATCGGATCCGCGGGGCCGCCGCGCACGGACCCCGCAGCGCACGGAAACCTCAGCCCGAGGAGCCCGGAGCTGCCCTCGCAGCGGGAGTCGCTCCGGCGTCGATTCCGCCCCCAAATCGCAACGCCCGGCCCGGCCTTACCGGCGTGCTGGAGCCGCCACTCACCGGGCGCGTCCTGCGGGCGGCTGCCGCTGATCCAAAGGGAGCGGGCGGTGGGTGCGGGATCCCGGCCCCGCGGCGGGGCTGGCGGTGGCTGGAGGCGACGCGCCGGTCCCGCAGCCCCGAGAGCCCGAACGGGAGAGAAACAAAAGGTATTTGCTGACGTGGGCGTTGGACAGAGACGCCCGAGGGCCGGGGACACAGTTAAAGGGGCAACGCACCGATTGCAGGCGCAGCCCAGCGGCTGCCTCCGCCCGCCCGCCCGCAGCCGGGGCTGCTCGCCTCTCCCCGCACCCAGTCGCCGCCCGGGACGCAGGCGGTGCCCCAGGCGCGCCCTGCTCACACCTTCGCGGGCAGCAGGAGCCTTGGTGACCCAAATCCTCTCTTCTTCACATTGCAGCTTCCTCTAAAGGAGATGCAACGATGGCTTTTCCATGTGCGTATCTGGGATCTGAACAAACCCAGTACCTGAGCCTCTCACCTTCCCTCAGTCGAAGTTTGGTTTCGTTCTCCTTCCTCTTCTTACTCTCAGGGTCTTCTCTTTTTGGTGCTCTTGGCACTCTAGTTATTTCTCACAAATACTTGTTCTCCCATGGGAGCCATTCTGCCTCCCTTATCTTTTGTGTCCTTTGCAGCCTTCTTTTCCATAACTCGAGTCATTCCATCTTGAAACAATGGTTGTTCTTTTCCCCACTGTAGCAAAAGACATCTAAATACTCTTTCCCCTGTTACAAACATTCTGCCAGTGTATCATATGCAATTATTCATATTCAACTTGTACCCAGTTCTCTGAACAATGGTTTTCACCAGCCTAATTCCTATTGTTTAACGAACATCCTTTCTTAAACCATCTTAAGCTGTGGGTTTGGAGATTCTATCTCCCTTTAAATGCGCTTTAAAACCTTCCCTGAGACCTGTTCTTGTGCAAGACCCCAACAGATCCTGCTCTGTACCTGACCAGCTGGATGAATCATCCTTGAGCATGAAAGCAGTTGGAATTTACACAGTATTTCACATGGATCTTTGCAGTCCACTGGGCAACGGTGTTAGTTATCAACTGAATCCACTTCCATGGGGGGTACCTACACCTGAGCAGCCTCCTCCAGCCATGGCACCGCACAGGTCCATGCTCATCCTCTGCTCGCCGTCACCTGCAGATTTCCTGTCATTTATCTTGCTTTTACATCACAGGCTCAAGAGGGGACCAGCAGAAGTGATTCCGAAGACCATCAGCAACCTTGTCCTTATCATTCCCTGCTGAGGGTAATGCAGCGCAACCCCAGCCCCCAGCTCCTCACAGCTCTTGCCATTAATGGTGCATACTCATTGCAGAATGCAACAGGAACCTGCAGTGGGTCAGGGAGGGAAAAGAGAAAGGATGAAAGCCTGGTGCAGCTCTGTCTGCAGAGCGAGAGGGTCCAAGCTAGGAAAAAAGCACAGAATCCAAGTCTGGTTTGGGCTCAAGGCACCTTAAAGCTCATCCAGTGCCATGGGCAGGGACCCCTTCCACTAGAACAGCTTGCTCCAAGCCCCTGTGTCCAACTTGGCCTCGAGCACTGCCAGGGATGGGGCAGCCACAGCTTCTCTGGGCACTTCATTAAAATGACCCAGAGCTGACACAATAATTATTAACCCACATTCTGCATTGTCTGACCTGGGTTTTGGTAACCAAATGTCATTTATGCGTGAAGATCCCCAGCTGCATCCTTGTGTCTTCTGGCTCAAACGCTTGTTTGGCCTCCAGGTCACCAGGAGATCACTTTCAAGGTGGAAAGGAAGTGGTAATACCCTGTCCCAAAGCACTGAGCACACGGAGGAATCTTCCCTCTGCCAGCACACCCAGCAGCCCACCTTCAACAGAGCACAGAGCCTGGGGAAATCTGAGGTTTGATGTGGCATTAGCAGAGGTAGCACAAGCATCACCTGTGAGCCTCTTCACCAGAAACCCAAATCCTAACCCTGTACCAAGAGAATTCAATTAGACATGGAAAAAATACACATTTTCCATGGAAAAAAATGGGGGGGATAAAGTAGATTTACTGTGAGATTAGTATTTATTTAATGTTTTCTGTTCTTTAACTAGAAAAGAACCAGACTACATACAACAATATAAACATATATAGTGTACACACAACTTAACATAAAGATGAACTCAGTAATGCCGCACTGTAGAAAAAAAACACCATTACAAAAAGCACTTAAAGATGTGATCCCCACCCCTTACAAAGGGTAAACGTGTGGTGGTGATGCACAGGAATTCTCAGCTTTGGTTCAATTTGGGTTTCTCTTTTCCACCCTCACACACATCCCGCAGTGGGGCAGGTACACTCGTGAGAAAACATCAGCACCTCTGTTAGTGATCCATGGAAAACATCCAGTTATTAAACCTGGAAAGGATGCTGGGGTCACACAGCCCCCCCAGAGCGTGTCCCAGACTGACTGTCAGTGCTGACACCGCAGAGACCCACAGCTCAGAGCATCTCCTTCCCACATAGAACTATTGATCCCAAATCCCTGTGCAAGCAGAGTGCTGGCTATCAGCCCCTTCTTCTGGTCCTCTGCTTTCTCATCAAAGCAATCTGCTCAACATTGGATACTGCATTATCTCAGCTTGTTTTGGTTTTAGAAGTGCCCTTATTTTGCTTGTATTGGAGCACTTTTTGATCATCATCATCTGCTACATTTTAAAGTTCAGTAAACAGCAAAAGGAGAGTGAAAACAGGAACAAAATGTCAAAGACAGACATTCAGAGAAAGCCTGAAAGCAAACCGAGTTGGATGCATCAGACTCAGATGGGACAGATGAGAACATAGAGCTGGCCTGCAGTATATTGCCCTGGGGTTTTTGGGGACAGCATTTACAGTTCCTGTGTATGGCACATTGAGAGGCTTTTTTTGGGGGTGGCTATTTAGTTTGGTTTAATTCTTCCTTTTTCATTTACCAGTATCCAAACACCTGCCTATAACAACTAACAAACCCCAAAGAAGTTGCTGTGTGAACACCTGAAGGGGTGTTTCACAGGCAACTTCAGCTGGATCCAAAAACCTTTAATACTACCAAATGAAGAATTCCCAGGCACTTTTGAACCAAAAAGTCTAAACCTACAGATGGCAAGAAAAGTGAACAGATTTCACTGCTTGAATGAAAACAGTGGAAAGGAAGAAGGGGTTATTCTGGTTTCCTTTGAGTCAGGACATTCCAAATCAACGGGGAAATCCAGGTTTTAAATCTCATAGTTTGTGAAATAGCCAATATAATTTCAAATGATCTAGACAGAATACTGGGGAGGCTGCTCCCCCTCCTGCACCCATTTTATGGTAGGTCTTTGACAGGGTTTTCCTCCAGCCAGGACCAGTGGCTGCTGCCCACTTGGGTGGCTTTGGCTCACCCAACATGGAAAAGTAAAAGCTTTAAAGAGTTTGAAAAGTGCAGGTCGTTATAAAACTACAACAACTGCTGAGGGCACCAGGGCTCTTACTATAAAAGATATTTTAACCCACCCCCCTCCCCAAAGTCAGCTGGTTTGCAAGTTGACAGCTTCCTTTTCAGCCTTTCCTACTAAGGCTCTACATCTTGCTTGCAAACAGTCACCAGAAACGGATATATTCATTTCTCATCCCCAGAACTCAAACTGGAGCCTTATTCCAGACACTCCCAGGTTTGCTCAGGCAACTTTTGCTTGGTAAAAGAATAAATCAAAGCAACCCTCATGGAGAGTTTTATTTTCTAGACAATCAAATAGCTCCAAGATCCACAGAATAGTTAAGTCACTTCTACAGACAAGGGTTGGTTTCTAAGAATTCCTCACTTCATCTAGACCAAAGGACCTCAGTTATGAAACTGCTTAACAAAACAGCAGGAAATTCAATGACCACATTTGGAAGATTTACAAGGTCTTGCACCAGGATGTTTAATGCACCACAAATACCAGTGCAGCATGTATCCCTTTCATGAAATACAGTGCAATTATGTGCAAAAGTCCATTCAAGCACATAATCCCAAACAAAGTCAGTGAGGCCAAGCCAAGACTTCAAGCTACGAAGTCTGCAGGGCCTTTAAAAACCTTTGAGAAAAAGATTGTATTAGGAATAACTTCCCTAAACCCATTATTTTTGATTCTTCATCAAGCACCATATGAGTATTGTAAACCAGCCACATCCTCTTCTCAAAGCTTGTGGAGGTTGCATCTACAGTGAGAGATTTGAGGAAAAACATTCAAAAACCTAAGTGGAAAGCACAGCAAACAGCTTTACATGAACACCCGGTCACAAGAACGGGGCTAAACTACATCCTAAGTACAAAGGCTGAAGAACTCCACTGAAAACGAAGCAGCACAACATGACAGTTCAACAGGAAACACCATTGTGGTGGTCACCTTCAGCCCAGCACGTGAACCCCCCACCCGCACCCCTTCCCCGTGGTACACACACCTCAGCACAGCGTCATTCTCTACGCACAAGACACACAAGAACAAGCTCTAAGACCAAGGAAAGGTCAAGTAAAAGGGCTGAAGGTCCCTTCCTGCAGCTCTCACAACACAGACTTTCACAAGAGGTTCGTTTTCCCTACTCTAAGTGTCTTCACTTTCAGAGTCAGCCATGGGAGAAGCTGAATCTCCCAACAGTTTGTGCCGCACCAGCCAGAACCACGCTCGGCCAATAGTTCATGTCTAGTGGCTTCTACCAGTATTTACAATGAGGTGGCACCTTCATGCCAGAACGAACAGAAACGGGGATGCCTGGCCACCAAATACCAGTTTGGATCCCTATTTACATTCTTACCCACTTCCATTAGCAAGTTTCTCTCCCAACACAGATCATCTGTGCCTCTTTTCCAGGTGTTCACACATGCAGAAGTTCACCCTTAAGCAGATAATCCCCCAAAATACCCTCTGATGTTGGATGGATTCAACAAAGATCTAGTGGTACCCCAAAGGCTTAGCCCTGGTCAGCTGCAATGTGCCACCAGGATTTACAGCCCCTTCTTTTGCTCAGATATTCAAAACCCCCAAGGACCCAAAACCAGAAGTTGGTTCCAACTTCGGCATCTACATGAGCTGGCATTTGATGGTCTTGATTTAGATGACTGAAATAGGGGTACAGAGCCCTCACGTTTCAAAGATGATGTCCCGGTGATTTTTCTAGGATGAGTTGTGTCAGTATGACACTGTTCAGCTGTCACAAACTCAGGTCTACAGATGACCTGGAATAGGGGCTACTGAAAGCTCAAGCAACTGAAATTACAGCCTGTGATGCCAGGATCTCCTTGCAGAGGTGACACTCGAGACCAGACCCCTTCAAAGCAAGTCTTGTTCCCTTCTGCTGTTTTCAGGAATCACCAGGAAAGTGACTGTTTCAAAAGCAGCTTGTTTCTTCTCTCCTCACCCTACCCCATCTGGCAATGAATTCTCAACTGCATTTGTGAGACCAGAATCACTGCCCCCGAGGAAATTACAACATCACTGCAGGATGGAGCAGACAGAGAAGCTGAATTGTTCTTTTTTAGTATGTCAAATAAAAGCATAAGATGGGCAAAAAGAATCCAACTAGTAAAATCAGAGGGCTCTTCGGGTTTTGGGTTCTGTCTAACGTGTGGCAAGTGTAAAGTCTTTACCCTAAAACCTGAGGAAGCACTCACTGCCTTGTTAAGTGGGAGGAACTGCTCACTCTTAGTCAGCCACAGGCTTCTGATCTAGCACTTACTCCAGCCAGAAAGACTCCTACAACTTGCCTTTTCATGGAAACACTTACCAACACCACAGTAAAGAAGCATTAACAGTCTTATTTCACAGTATATTTCAGTTTTGCCTCTTCGTTAGGAAACAGGAGGTTATCCGTAAGCAAACAGGCTTCTTGGTGGTGGAGTGTTTTCTTCTAAAGCCTCCCAGCTTGATCTTGGATAGCTTCTATCAGTTTGCTACTGAAAAGGTAAAAAAATCTCACCTTTGGAAACCAGCCTTTATCTATCCCAGCAAAGAAGCAGGTCTACACCAGAGGGTTTTGTTTAAAACAACAAAACAACACAAATACTTGGATAAATCCACACAATAACGTAAACCATGAGAAGGATCATCAAAGACTGAAAGAAAATAGAGTAAAAGAGAAAGAAAAGGATCTGTATACAAAGAGACTACTAAAAAACTCTGAGGTTTCCTACCCAACAGCTTCAGAAAGGGTCATCAGAGCTCTTTTATACACACAGCTCAGACATTTATATTTAACTACTCCTCAGCTACACCAGTGGTGAATGTGGCTACTTCATCTGCTACCACCACAATTCACATAGGATGTCTAAACAACATCAGACACACATCTGAAGCTCTGGAGTCTGAGCTCTTGAGAGATGAAGCTGCACTAAAAGCAATTGAGAAGGAGAAGCTGCTTTTTTAAATACCTGCAAAGTTAAGGTCAGATGAAATATATTTACTCCTACTGTCTGTGCTCTCAGCAGCAGCATGGCTTTGTACTCCTGGGTGTCTGCCCTGGTTTCCAGGTCAAATCCACTCTAAATAAACCCTTAACCTTTACAATTAGGATAATACTGTCCTACTACAAAAGGATCACAGCTTAGAAATGGTCCAAGATGATGGGTGAAAAACACACTCCTTTTAATGTGATCTTCAGAGAGAAGATGGGGTCCCTTTCACATCAGGGATTAAGGACCATGACAGCATTATTAGAAGAGACCTGTTATCAAAACACACAGAGATGTTCCACCCATAAAAACAAGACCAGGAGGCAGAGACACCACTGGAGATTGCTCAAGTACAACTTCTATGAACCCCAGACAGCAGATTCTTCACAGATTTCTGGTGCACAGCACTGAAAAGTATTAAAAATTCCAATTCTCCCCACTTTTCTATTAAAAAATGGAATAATAAAAAACAGCACAGTCTCACTAACTGGGCAAATACTCAGTTTTGTGTCACAGACCGACCACTGTCACAGAGACACTTCAAACACTCCCATTCTCCTCTCACTGCTACATAAGTGTTTCTCGGTCTGACAAGCTCCTGTGGATCTCCTGCTTGTCATCACCATCAGCATCCTCATCATCGGCTGGATCGTTTTCCTCTCCAGACTCCACATATATAGGCCAGTCGTTATCAGCATCACCCTTCTCTTGGCCTTCTGATGACTGCTCCATTAAGCTGAGGTTGATGGGCATCGAGTCCTCGTGGGTGGTGGTCACACAGGTACAGCTGTCACACAAGCCGAAGCGCCGCAACCCTTGCGACAGGCTACTCGTGAAGGTTCTCCTGCAGCCTTTGCAGATGATTGGCTTGTTTGATCGATGCACCTGAAGTTAAAATGAAAACACTCAAGTAAAAAAAGCCATCTGCCTCCTTTAGCTCCTTCTGGGGTTCTGCTTTGCACCAGAAAAACCCCTCTGCTTCAGCTAAAGGGCAGGTGATCCTATCATACTTGGGACTAGACAAACCCCAAGTAGCCCCATACTTGGAGCTAATACAAGTACTAAAAACTCAAGTGGCTTAAACTTAGAATCACGGAATGGTTGGGGTTGGAAAGGACCTTAAGATCATCAGTTCCAACCCTCTGCCATGGGCAGAGACACCTCACACTAGACCATGGCACCCAAGGTTTTGTCCAACCTGTTCCTGAACACTGCCAGGGATGGAGCATTTACCACTTCTTTGGGCACCCTGTGACAGTGCCTCAGCACCCTCACAGGGAAGAATCTCTTCTTATCTCCAACCTGAACTTCCCTGTTTCAGTCTGAACCCATCACCCCTTGTCCTATTGCTACAGTCCCTGATGAAGAGCCCCTCTCCAGCATCCTTGTAGCCCTCTTCAAACACTGAAAGCCACTCTGAGGTCTCCATGCAGCTTCCCTTCTCCAGGCTGAACAACCCCAGTGTTCTCAGCCTCGCTCCATACAGGAGGTGCTCCAGCCCTTGATCATCCTCATGGCCCCCTCTTGACTTGTTCCAACAGTTCCATGTCCTTCTTATGTGAGGACACCAGAACTGCACACAGTGCTGCAAGTGAGGTCTCATGAGAGCAGAGCTTAGGGGCAGGATCACCTCCTTTGACCTACTGGTCACACTCCTTTTGATGCAGCCCAGGACATGGCTGGGTTCTGGGCTGTGAGCACACACTGAAGCTGGGTCATGTTCAGTTTCAAATCAATCAACACCCCCAAATCCTTCTCCTCAGGCAACTCTGAATCACTTCTCCACCAACCTGTAGCTGTGCCTGGGATTGCCCTGAACCAGGGGCAGGACCTTGTACTGCGCGTTATTACTATTATTACTTATTCCTAGACAAGTTAATCCTCACGTCAGAAACAACCGCTTTGAACACCACATTTTGGGAAATCAGGAAACACCAAGAACTCGCCAAAGCTCTTGGAGAGACAGAATCCTTCCAACTTACACTTAAAGCGTGGCTCCGGAGGTGCTCCTGGCGTGTGAAGCGCTTCCCGCAGGTCTCGCAGGGGTAGGGCCGCTCACCCGTGTGGGAGCGGATGTGCCTCTTGAGGATTCCCTTCTGCTTTGCTGTGTAGGGGCAGAACGGGCATTTGTGAAGCTTGATTGGCACCACTAACACATCACCTTTGGGGGAGAAACACATGGCATTAGGTGAGGCAGACTTCCAGTGGTAGCTCCTTGTCCTCCCCACTGCATACATAAGACAACCACACTGTCCTGTCCCTCTGCATTTCCCTTACCTGGGATTACTGCAGGTTGTGCAGCTCCAGAAGACATTAACACAGCTGCAGGTGATGGCATCCCTGAAAGCTCAGCCTGCCTGTACTTACACAGCTGCTGCTCTGAGGGAGTTGGCTCTCAACGCGTTCATTTGCTTTTAAGAAGCCATTTAATTAAGTACCAAACATCTGCCTTTAGTGCAGTGGGGTCTCTGCACCATCTCCACTGTCAAAGTCTCCCGTTTCCTAAGACACCATTAGCATTAAGCAGCATTAAATCCTAAACCCACAAATTACATGTAGTAGTAGCACAATATGTCCACGTGCTTTTATGAAATGCCTAAATTGAGGTGTAGGGAGCCCACCTGGAGACAGGAATGCTTGTTTCTACTGCCAGTCACTTCAGCCTTTCTACTGGTAGTAACACGATGAAGGGCTCCAATACATTTGCTGAGGATATTTCCCTTCTCCTGAAATTAAACTCTATGAACACAAGTAATATGTAATTTATGAAGTCAGGCAAAAAAGGAGGATTAAAATCGAAGATCACATTTTCCATAACTCTTGGTATTGCAGAGCTGTGCAGCGGCAGCCCAGGCATGAGCTTCCCCTCCAGCATAAAGGCTGGGATGTTACGCTACAAGATCCGTTTTCCCTGTTTCAGGTGCTGACCCAGGGAAGGGTTCCTGTATTGAGCCTTGAGCTCAGTGTCAGTTACACCAGGCTGTGGAACATTCCTTGTACTGAGGTTTGTCCAACCCAGCCTCAAAGAACCCCAAAAGGAGTGTCTAAATGTATTGTGTGAGTGAAACCCCCCTCATCTGATCTGGGACCTTTACAAGGTGTTGCTAATCCCTGCTGCGTGGTTAGAGCTGTGTTTAGCAAACAAGAAACCCAGTTCCTACTCCTGCCTTGCTCCAGACTCTTCCAAGTTGCCTGCTCCCCCTCCCTCCATGGTGAAGGAAACCAGGAATGGATGTGGGCACATGAAAGTCACTGGTATTCACCTAATCTTCAGCTTTGTATTTCTCATTCCTGGTGTCTTCTGAAAATGCTAAGGAGCACTGAAAGGTGAGGAGAGATACTCCTATCCCACTAAACATCCTCAATGTTTGGTTTTAGCAAAGAAACAGACCTAAGGCATATTTGAGGGCTTCCTCACTCCTGTTTAAAGCACATCTACCACTCCATTTCCACTCTCACACCACCTGATTCTATCCAATTCTAGAAGCACCACCCTTTTAGTGAGTCATTAATGGTCTGAAGACTTAAAGAGAGGAAAAAAAGTAACTGAATTATGTGTGCGAGATGCTCTTGCCTTGCTACACATCCCCGCCCAGAGGCACAATGTGGTGACAGGGCTGTGTCCTGGCAACCTTTGTCCTTCAGTGCCTTGTTGTCAGATTCCTTCTTTTAAAGCATTAAGAGAATATATTGGGTGTACTTGCTTTAGGATCACACATGCACACTTGAGCTGGAAGTGATGTGAGTGTACTTGCTATGTAAGAGTAGAACACTTGGGGAAAGGTTTCCTGCCTGGTGCCCAACCCACTCCTGCATCTGTCACATCCTGACCAGTGATGACACTTGCAGTGCCTGTCAGAGCTGCCTCCATCTTTGTAAGCAACTAAAATGCCCAAATCCTTATTATCCATTTTAGGAGAAACTCATCTGGACCTGATCTTCCTTTTCTCCAGCTCTCTGCCGCTGCTGCTGGGAGATATTCCTGCCAGTGTGAGCCATCCCATCGCATGGGGCTCGGGAGGCAGTGGAACCTCTGGTGCCCAGTTGAAAAACCAATCTGCCTCTCGAGGTGAAAATTAAGTCTTGTCTTTCTGCAATACCACAGAGCTTAAAGCTATCTGTGCTCTGAAAAGAATTCCTGGGCACCACTCAGTGTTGTATAAAACCAATTCCTGTCCTTTTGAAGTTCAAAGCACCAGCAGCTGATGTGCTGGCAAGAGCTCCGGTGGAATGAGCTACTTCTGCTCTGTCAGTTCTGCAGCAGATCCCTCTTGTGGCAGCTCAACTCATCTTCCTGATCGCTCTTTATAGCACTAATGCTACAAGAGGAAGAGTCTTTTTCACAATCCTTTCAACCAGGTCCCAGCTGAGATCGTTTATTAAAGCATTACCACCACCAATGAACTCCAGCCTCTGCCTCAGAGAGGCTGGAAGAGCCATCAGAAATACTTACCTGCCATGTGCTGCACTGAATAAAGGAGTACAGCTCTTTGGGAGTCCAGAACAATAGTTTATTCTGCTATGGCATAATATTCAGCAATATATTCCTGCACAAGAACGAGAGTAACAAAGGAAGTTGCACACTTGGTGGTTTCCTCCTCCAACCTACAGACTGCACCCCCTGAGTCCTCTCACCTGTGTCCTCACCATACCAGTCGCTGTGAATGTCCATCATGGAGCTCACTGCCACCCCTGCATCCTCTGGCCTACCCTCAAAGCCCCGGACAAAGTGATGGACCACGTCCTCCTTTCTCTGAGCTGAGGTGTTGCGCAACAGGGCCTCGAGGAATTGTTTCATGTGATAGTTATTGCAGGCCAAGTCCATGGCCTGCCCGCTGTGCAGCCCCTCTTCCATCTGCTCCAGGGACAGTGGGGTCGGATACTGCGGCAGCCGCTCACCCGCTTCCACCTCGACCTCCACCTCATCCGAGTCAAACTCCACTTTGGGTTCCACCCCTTTGGGCAGCGAACAGTTGACATCGTCTGGGGAGTCGCTGCTGACGGGGTCCCGGACCACGAGCTCCAGGGGATGGCAACCACTGCACTCGCCGCAGGGAGGGTCCTGCTGGCAATCCGAAATCCCCTCCTTCTCCTGCAGGGAGGACACAGAGGCAGAGCACTGGCTCTTGGAGCTGAATGAGGTGCCCTCTCTGGCAGACCCAGTGCTCCCACTATCAGCCTGATAGAAAGCCGCTTCCCGCTCTATTTTCCTGCAGATATCCAGCGAGGAACGGATGTAGGTCTTGCAAAAGTTGACCACGTCGGTCATCTGCAAGTAGCTGGCTGCAGACATCACCTCGATAACGTTTTCCCCACAGAGATCCAGCTTCCCGGAGTAAAGGAAATCCAGGATGATGGAGAAGGCCTCGGAGGTGACAATGTCCAGCGAGGCGGTGCTGTGCCTCCCGCTGTCCTGGATGTAGTGGATGAGGAGCGCTCGGAAGTACCCGCTGTTAGCGAACAGGATGTTCTTGTGCGCTTTGAAGATCCTCCCCTCCACGATAATGCTGCAGTCGCAGAAGAAGTCCCTCTTGCGCTGCTCGTTCAGCTCCCCCAGCAGCTTCGCGTAGTACGACTGCATCTCCATGGCTCCCGCCGCTGCGGGGACAACGGGAACGCACCGTCAGTGGAGGAAGGGGAAGGAGGAGGACTCCGGGACCCAGAACCACTGCGGGCCTCAGGGGCCGCGCTACCTCCCCCCAGCCACAGCCACCACCGCAGAGACCCCGCTCCCAGTCCCCGCTCACCGCCGCTCCCGCCCGGCCGCCGTACCGGGGCCGCCCTCCGCGGAGGAGCAGCAGGAAACGGAAGTGACGTCACGAGAGCCGCGGCCCACTGAGGGGTGAGGGGTCGGTAAATATTGGTGACGTCACGCCGCCAAGATGGCGGAAGGGTGAGAGCGGCGCCGGTACCGGGATCGGCCCGGGTCGGGAGGGGACGGAACGGGGCTACCGGGGGGGGGGTCTGGAGCGGGGCTGGGCCGGGGTCTGGGTGTGCGGCCCGGGCTCTGCCTCACACGCGTGTCCCCCGCAGGGAGGACGCGGGCTGGTGGCGGAGCTGGCTGCAGCAGAGCTACCAGGCCGTCAAGGAGAAGGTAGGAGGCGGCGGGACCCCCTGCACCGGGGCGGGGGAGCCGCGGGGGCTCTGCGGGTGCGGAGCTCGGGCAGGTGCTCGCGGTGCTGCTTTGCGATGCCCCATCCCTGGCAGTGCTCAAGGCCAGGTTGGACACAGGGGCTTGGAGCAAGCTGCTCCAGTGGAAGGGGTCCCTGCCCGTGGCAGGACTTGGAGCTGGAGGAGCTTTAAGGTTCCTCCCAACCCAAAGCAGGCTGGGATTCTGTGATTTCCTGCCTGTGACAGCAGTGCTTATGTTAATTATATGCAAAACTCGCAACAAAGCTCTTCCTAACGTGTCTTTTTGCATTCTTAATTTAATCCTCCTCCATCATGTGTTGGACATGCAGGTTCCTGTTGTTATTCAGGTTATTGCAGTCTTACCCATTGCACGTGTTGGGCTAAAGGCACTTCAATCTGTGTGACATGACTGGTGTTCCCAGAGCAACTGTGGCTTTGCTGGAGCACAGAAGGATTACACAATCTATCTGTTGTCTTGCAGTCCACGGAAGCTTTGGAGTTCATGAAGCGGGACTTGGCTGAGTTCACTCAAGTGGTGCAGCATGACACAGCCTGCACGATCGCTGCTACAGCCAGCGTGGTCAAGGACAAGCTGGCAGTGAGTAGGGGTGTAAGAGCTGGGATTCCTGTTGCAGAAAGCAAAGTGGGGGGCAATAGGATGTACCCACCTCCAAGGTCAAGGTCCTCTGAGTAAGTCCCACCATATAACCATGAGCTTCAAGTTTCAGATGTTCTCCCTGGTGCAGGTTTGGTGCTGAGCACTGCGTGGGATTTCCTTGCTGTAGTGGTGAGGAACATCTGGAGATGAGCGGAGGAAGGTTCCCTGTGCTTTCCCTTCCTCTGTGCACCATATAAGTAGGATAGTGGCAGCATCACTCTAGCACAGCAGCAGACCTCCACACAGGCTGCTGCCGTTAGCCCTGCCCAGCCGCCACAGGGACAAACCAGTCCCCAGGCCTGCCTGATCCTTGCTGCAAAACCCAGGCTTGGTTCCCCACGTACCTGTTTTAAAGCGTGCCTGCCCCCCTCCTTCCCCGACCTTTTAGCCCAGCCCTCGCCACAGGTCACCTTGTCAGCAAGTTTTTGACAGGAGGAACACCCTCCTCCTTTAAAGGAAACTACCCAGGGGAGAGCAAGGCTCGTCCTGCTGCTGCAGGCACTGTTATGAGGATGGTTGGGGGCTGGAGCAGCTCCTGTATGGAGTCAGGCTGAGAACATTGGGGCTGTTCAGCCTGGACAAGAGAAGCTGCGTGGAGACCTCAGGGCAGCTTCCAGTGTCTGAAGGGGGTACAAGGGTGCTGGAGAGGAGCTCTTCATCCGGGACTGGAGTGACAAGACAAGGGGTGATGGGTTCAGACTGAAACAGGGGAAGTTCAGGTTGGAGATAAGGCAGAAGCTCTTCCCTGTGAGGTTGCTGAGGCGCTGGCACAGGGTGCCCAGAGAAGCTGAGGCTGCCCCATCCCTGGCAGTGTTCAAGGCCTTGGGTGACCTGATTTAGTGTGAGGTGTCCCTGCTCATGGCAGGGGTTGGAACTGGATGATTTTAAGGCCCTTTCCAACCCAAACCATTCTGTGATTCTGTATACTTACCCTGTGCTGCCTTTTCTTTTCAAGAGGACAGAAGGTTCCTCAGGTGCAACTGAAAAGGTGAGGAAGGGGATCTCTGACTTCCTGGGTGTCATCTCAAACACATTTGCTCCCTCACCGGATAAGACCATTGACTGCGATGTCATAACATTGATGGCAACCCCCTCGGGCACCACCGAGCCCTATGACAGTGCCAAGGTGAGTGCCCCATTCCCAGAGCTTCCCTCTGGGATGTGGAGTCCCAACCCTTGTCCTCAGGGGGCTCATCTACCACCCCAGCATTGCTGACAGCTCTGCTCTGTGCCTCTTCTCCTCCAGGCTCGCCTCTACAGCCTCCAGTCAGACCCAGCCACCTACTGCAACGAACCCGACGGTATGACAGGGCTGCTCAGAGCCTTTCTCAGTGCCTGGACAGGGAACACTGCTTATGGAGGGCAGATGTGTCTGTTGCACTGGGGACTAGCTTAGACTGAGAGTTTGCTGGGTCACTGCATGGCCTCTTGCTGGCACAGGACCCACGGCAGTGAACGGGCTCAGAGACCCACATCTCCCTCCTCCTTTTTCCCTTCCTCACTCCCATCTAATCTGGTCTGTAGCATCTTCCCAGTGAAACTTCCCACAGCTGTTCCTGCCCTGTCCATGCCAAGGTTCATATCTCTGTGCTTGCCCTTTGCAGGCCCTGCTGAGCTCCTTGAGGCCTGGCTCTCTCAGTTTAACCTGGAGGAGAAGAAAGGGGAGATCGCGGAGCTGCTGGCAACCAGCCCTTCCATCCGGGCTCTCTACACCAAAATGGTACAGGCCCTGCCTGGCTTCTTGCTTGGGGTATGGTGCAGGGAAGCCCTGAGCTGCTGGGCGCTGGAGCTGGTGGTAGAAAAGACTGAAGTGGCCTGTGGAGGTTAAGGTTCTTCTTCCTTTCTCCTTTGTCACAGGCCTAGAACAGAAGTCCCTCTGTAGCCTTCCAGTGTGTTAAAGCATCTCCCAAGCCTGTGTCCCTGAAAACACAGGTGCCTTGCACAGGTTAAAGGGTGGCTGTAATGATGGGGAAGAGAGAGGAGCTCGGCCCTCCCTCTGAAGGTACTCATCCCGTTTCTTGTGTCATTCCCAGGTCCCTGCGGCTGTTTCCCATTCGGAATTCTGGCAGCGCTACTTCTACAAAGTGCATCGCCTGGAGCAGGTTGGGGGGGTGTGGGTGTCCCCCAGGGGTGGGTGCTCCAGCCAAGGAGCTCTCTGATGCAGACCAGAGATGCTTTTGCTGGAGGAGCAGGGATCCGGGCTGCTGTGACTGTGCCCTTGTCACTGCTGGAACGGGAGGTGCTGACACTGAATCCCTGCAGGATGAAGCCCGGAGGGAGGCTCTGAAGCAGCGAGCGGAGCAGAGCATTCAGCGAGAGGAGCCGAGCTGGGAAGAGGATGAAGGTGGGTTGGGTGGTTGGGGGTCTGCGGGAGGGCTGGTGCAGACCTCAGCAGTTAGAGAGGGTGGTGGCTCCTCCTCCTCACTCCCCCACGTTCATCTCCCAGCCCCAGTGCAGCCACCCCGCTGCGTGTCACCTGCTGAAACATCTCTCGCTTCTCTTCTGCCTTCCTACAGAGGAGTTCTTGGGGATGTCACCCCTGCCTTGTGCAAACGTCACATTGCCAGAAGCAGCAGAGAAAGAGTGTGCCCCTGCAGCCCCGGAGGGAAGGCAGCCCACTGCTCACAAGGGACCCTCAGAGGAGAGCTGGGCCGTCCTCCCTCCGGAGCCGGCCCCAGCAGAGGGGAGCCCCTCTGAGAGCAGTGAGAGCGTCTCCCTTGTGACTCAGATTGCAAACCCTGCCTCTGTGCCTGCTGCGCAGCTACAGACCGGAGCTGTAGAACCAGCTGGGGCCGGAGACCTCTCCCAGGAGCTGGTGGAGGCCACCTCGGAAGAGCAGAGCTCCCTGCCAAAGCCCCCAGCCCCTGCTCGTCGTTCTGCACCTACCCGGGAATCAGCAGCATCCTCAGAGCAACCGGCTGCTACCGAGCTCAAAGGGGTGGAGAGCAAAGCCCAGGCCAGGCCAGAGACTCTGAAAGAGGAAGGACCATCCGATCTACGAGTCTTCGAGCTGAACTCGGATAGTGGGAAATCCACTCCCTCCAACAATGGCAAGAAAGGTGTGTACGTGGGGGCCAGCACAGGGCCTGAAACCTACTGCTGGGGGTGGCAGCTTTTGGGGAAAGGACTCTGATTTTCATGATGATAGGGAGGAGGAAAGGGATTTTGCCAAAGTTGCTCAGGAAGGGTAGATCCAAAGAGTTCCCTCATGGCCAGAACTAAAGTGGAAGGAAATCCTTCTGCTGTTGGGCAGGGTCGGGCTGGTCCCATCAGATAGTGACAATCTGCTCCGGGCAGATGGCTGGGCTGGTGCCACAGTTGGCTCTGTCCCGAGCTCCCTACGACAGGGGAGGCTCTTCCACCCTCTGGCTGACATCATTCACACCCCTTTCCTTGCAGAGGCTGCTGCCTTCAGCAGAGCCTGCTGCAGGGCTCCCAGAGCAGTGATTGTATGGGTTGTAGGATTACAAAGCCACTGGAAGCAGGCCAGGATGCAGCACGGTGGCCAGGTTCATGAGCTGGGACAGTGAGCAGAATGAAGTTAGACAAGAAATCCAAAGCCTGTTGGCTGGACACAGCAGGGCTTTTGTCCCTGGGTGCTGAGTCTGGGGTCTGGGAAGGGAATGTGGTGGTTCCTTCCCTCTGAGTGTCACCTTGAGGAGTGTCCGTGCTGCTCCTCTGCCTCAGGAGGTTGTTCTTTCTACTGGGGACTGGGACAGTCCTTGTTATTCCTTATCTGATGTATTTTCTGTGTGACTGAAACGTGACACATCCCAGTTCTCCCAGGGCAGAGGAGAACCCATTTCACTGTTCACCTCTCCCAGTTGTTCTGGACCAGCCCTTTGCTGCGAGGCAAGTACAACTCAGTCCACCCCATCTCTCTTGGTGAGCTGACAGCCTGCTCCTGGGCTTTCTCTCCTCCCAGGCTACAGGAGATCTGAGCCTCAATGAATGCCAGGGCTGTGTGGGGCTGCTTGGGTACCTGTGTGCTTGGGCCAGAACATCTGGAGAGCACACACAGCTCTAACAGCTCCATCGTGATGTTTGTGGTTCCAGGCTCCAGCACTGACATCAGTGAGGACTGGGAAAAGGACTTTGATTTGGACATGAGTGAAGAAGAGGTGCAGCTGGCACTCTCGAAGGTGGAAATGGCCGGGGAGGTGAGTCCAGGGAGGTGCTCCCTCACATAGGGTTGCATCCAGAGAGCTGTGACTGCTGCTGCTCTGCCTATGAGCTGTTGCCTGCATAGAGCAGCTTCTGGAAGACGTGAGGTGCTCCCTGAGGACACAGGCTCAGCTTGGGATGCTGCTGTGGCAGTCATGGGTGTTAGCTGAAGCAGAGAGCGGCTGCCTGGGCCTGCTTAAAGAGGGATGAGTGTGCAGGTTCCCTAAGGGAAGCAGAGCAAGAGAATCCCTCTGGAGAGGGTGTGGGAGCATGAGGATATGTCAGGCCTTGTGCTGACTCAGGCACCCTGGGCAGGAGGAGCTGTTAATAGATGGCTTTTGAGTTACAAACACTGGGGGATGCTCTTTTGTTTGCAGCTGGAAGATGAAGAGTGGGAAGACTGGGAATAAAGCAACTGCTTCCAGTGTGTGTGACAGGCTCATTTCCACCATCGACTGTGAATTAAATGACGGACCGGCTGTTCCTTTGTGTGTGACTGTGCTGGGGATTGCATTTCCAGGCTGGAGGAGTTTCATTCCTGCTAAATCCTGTGGGCAACTCCAGTGAGCCCTTCAGACCTGGATGAGGAGGAGGAGGAAGCAAGAGTTCACTTGTCCACTTAGCTGCTAGGGAGCCCATCTTCTCAGTAGGTCCTAGAGACTGGCCAAGCCAAACCGGCTGCCCCGGGTAGGGGCAGATGTGATGCAGTGAGGGGTCCCGGGTGCTCGGGTGCCTGGCAGGGTGCTTGCTTGTGGGTGTGTGCACGTCAGCTGCAGCCCAGCAGCTCAAAGGCTCTTGGATGCAAGCTGGGCCTGCTCCCTCGTGCTCTGTGCTGCTCCAGACCAGCCCTGGAGACCATTCCCTGCACGGGTGCTGCAGGGCTGGAGGTGCCGCAGGCTCAGCCTGTTCTGCTGCCACTCACTGCTGCAAAGACAGGCAGTGGGTTTGTGGCTTTGCCCCGGAGCTGGGCCGTGCTGGAAGGAGCCAAACTCCCCTCCAAACCCTCAGCTTCTGCCTGGCTTTTTGTCTTGGAAGCTTTTTCTAATGGGAACTCTGGTTTCCTGCTGCAGGAGCAGCAGCTCCTCAAAGAGCCAAGGCCTTGCTGCTTCCCCCTGCACTGCCTTCCTCTCCTGGCATTTGTGTCTTTCGAGTTAGATCCCTCAAGCAAACTACTTGTGGCTTGCTCTTAACTGGAGCCCCTCGGGCAGGCAGCGACTTGGGCTGCCCTGGGAGCAGAACCCTTCCCTGTGGTGCCCAGTTTGGGGTGCACAGCCCCAGCCTGGCCCTCAGGGATGGTGGTACCTGTGGGCTGAGGTCCACTCCTCCTGCTCCCTTCGTGTCCCACCAGGGTCTCAAGCTTTGCTGTGCTCACTCGGGCTCCTTCACTCAAGCCCTCTGTGACCGCTTGCAATGCTTCTCTCTGACCCACAGCCTCTCTTTTTGGGGTGCTTCCCTTCTCATGTCCTGAGGTGCTCCTCAGTGGATGATGCTAAATCACAGTTATCCTCTAGAGATGGAGCCCTTGCTGCTGCCCCTGCCCTTTGGGGGGTGGTTTTATACATGCTGCCTTTGTCGTTCTGCCCTTTCCAGGGCTGCTTGCTTGGAGCTGTGGGTTTCCTGCTGGTTTAGGGTAGCGTTAACCCAGGTACTCTTGGAAGAGTTGGGGTTTTGGGGTTGGTTTTGGGGTTTTTTTCTCCCCTTTAGGATTGATTCTGAGGCGCAGCTGCCCAATCGGTGGCAGCAGTGCCTTTGGGCACTTAGATGAGAGCACATTTGTCCTGCAGACCCTTTGAGGGCTGGAGCTGAGCTACATGGGCTGGCAGTGCCTGTGGTGCCTGGCCCCAAATGTAGCTGCAGTAGGAAAACTGGCCATGGGTGGGTGCCAGCAGTGGGTGCAGGCTCAGGCCTCTGCTCCCCGGGTTTGATGTGAGTGGTGGCTGCATCCCTGCCCAGCAGCAGGGCTCTGAGCGGGCCGTGCTCTCTGTGTCCCTTCTGGTTTGCTCTTCTTTAGTCCAATTAACCATTGGGTTGTCTGTGCAATATTCTCTGTTCTCAAGTATCCCACCTCTCCCTGAGCCTTTTGTAGCTGGGGTGAGAGCCAGGAGCAATTCTAACAGCTGGTAGTTTTGTAACGATGACTTTCTCCAAACCTTTTGCAGTTAACAGCAATTAAAGGAATTCTACAGAGTCTCTGCCTGTGCTGAGAGCTTCCTTTGCCTTCGGGATGGGAATGGGATGGGGACGAGATAGGTACAGCTGCCCCGGGAGGGTCTGTGGGTCACTGCTTTAAAGCTCCCTTGCCTCCCACCCTGTAGAGAGGTTGGATTGAACCCATCCAATGCCTGAGCACGAGTGGCACGGTCACCTGCGAGGCTGGAGACACGACAGACACTGACCTCCAAACTGATGTTAGTATTAGAAACGCTTCCATGTGGGGAGATCAGGGGTTGGTGTCTAGGGGTGCCTGCGGACCCCCTCAATGGACAGCCTCAGCCCCATGGCCGGTTCCAGGAGCATCCTGAGGAGGTTCTGCCCCTCCTTGGAGATGCCGAGGTGCGCGGGCACCGAGACTCCCTTCTGCTGCTGGTGCAGCGTGCGGGGGATGTCGGTGTCGTTGAAGGGCAGGTGGGCTCAGAGCAGGGCGTAGGGGATGACCCCCGCGCTCCACACGTCATCCTCTGCCAGCTCCATCACCATGCACAGCTTCATTGCAGCACCTCGTGCACACAGATGATATTCCTGTGCTCCAAGTGGGTGGTGATCTGGAGCTCCCGGGGCAGGAATCTGTGGATAAACTCTGGCAAGAGAAGCATGGGATCAACCAGGTTGGAAAAGACCTTAAGGGGCACCAAGTCATAGAATCATAGAAGCATAGAATGGTTAGGGTTGGAAAGGACCTTAAGATCATCCAGTTCCAACCCCCTGCCATGGGCAGGGACACCTCGCTCTAAACCAGGTCACCCAAGGCCTTGTCCAACCTGGCCTTGAACACTGCCAGGGATGGAGCATTCACAACCTCCTTGGGCAACCCATTCCAGTGCCTCAGCACCTTAACAGGAAAGAATTTCCTCCTTTTATCCAATCTAAACTTCCCCTGTTTCAGTTTGAACCCATTACCCCTTGTCCTGTCACTACAGTCCCTAATGAACAGTCCCTCCCCAGCATCCCTATAGCCCCCTTCAGACACTGGAAGCTGCTCTGAGGTCTCCACGCAGCTTCTCTTCTCCAGGCTGAACAGCCCCAACTTTCTCAGCCTGTCTTCATACAGGAGCTGCTCCAGCCCCTGAGCATCCTCGTGGCCTCCTCTGGACTTGTTCCAACAGTTCCATGTCCTTTTTATGTTGAGGACACCAGAACTGCACACAACGCTCCAAGTGAGGTCTCACGAGAGCAGAGCAGAGGGGCAGGATCACCTCCTTCGACCTGCTGGTCACGCTCCTTTTGATGCAGCCCAGGATATGGTTGGTTTTTGGGCTGCAAGCGCACACTGAAGCCAGCTCATGATCATTTTCTCATAGACCAGCACCCCCAAGCCCCTCTCCGCAGGGCTGCTCTGAATCTCTCCTCTGCCCAACCTGTAGCTGTGCCTGGGATTGCGCCAACCCAGGTGTAGGACCTTGCACTTGGCATGGTTAAACTTCATGAGGTTGGCATCAGCCCAGCTCACAAGCGTGTCAAGGTCCCTCTGGATGGTTTCCCAACCGCTGTCCGGTGGCAAGGGTCAGAAACCAGCTTTTTGCTGGGAATGCAAAGCCCCTGAGGACAGACAGTGCCTCTTTGGAGCCCTTTTCGGGTCACCTCTTACCTTCTGGCACTTTCTTCTTATCAGTTATTTTAATGGCCACTTTCTGGCCGTGCCTTTGGGAAAAGGCCTCCTTCACTTTGGAGTACGTGCCCTCACCAACGGTCCTGTCGAGCTGGTAGCCATGAGGGAGCAAAAACCCCTCCATGCCTTCCCTTTGCTCCCTTAGTTCATCCCAGGGTGAATCCTCAGCAGTATCCTGGAGGCACCGTGGGGTGTGTTGGGGGGGACAGCTCACAAAAGGGACCTGAGCATCCCCGGGGTTACCATGGTGACGCAGGGTGGTGCTGCTCAGTCCCGGTGGCGGATGCTCAGCGAGGTGGGTGCAGGCTGGGACATCCTCACCCGGAGCCCAGGGCTGGGCAGGGCGATGCTGCGGGGCTGGCGAGGGTCCCAACGCTTGCTCCTCTCCCCCAGCCATGAGCTCCCGGCGCGCGCTGCAGGCTCGGAGGTTCCCCATCGAGGCCGGTCATTGCCCCAGCTCAGAGGTGCCCCCCGAGGTGCAGGAGCCCCCGGGCCCTGAGCTGTCAGTGGGGAGGTAAGGAGGGGGCAGGATGCGCTGCGGGAGCAGGGTTTGGCCCTGGCACAGCCCCGTGTGTTATACCATGTTGTACCATGTTATACCATGCTGTACCATGTTATACCATGCTGTACCATGTTATACCACGCTGTACCATGCTGTACCATGCTGTACCATGTTGTACCATGCTGTACCGTGTTATACCATGCTGTACCATGCTGTACTATGTTATACCATGCTGTACCATGTTATACCATGTTGTACCATGCTGTACCATGCTGTACCATGTTATACCATGCTGTACCATGTTGTACCATGTTGTACCATGCTGTACCATGCTGTACCATGCTGTACCATGTTGTACCATGCTGTACCATGTTGTACCATGTTATACCATGCTGTACCATGCTGTACCATGCTGTACCATGTTGTACCATGCTGTACCATGTTGTACCATGTTGTACCATGCTGTACCATGCTGTACCATGCTGTACCATGTTGTACCATGCTGTACCATGTTGTACCATGCTGTACCATGCTGTACCATGTTGTACCATGCTGTACCATGCTGTACCATGTTATACCATGCTGTACTATGTTATACCATGTTGTACCATGTTATACCATGCTGTACTATGTTATACCATGTTGTACCATGTTATACCATGCTGTACCATGTTATACCATGCTGTACCATGCTGTACCATGTTGTACCATGCTGTACCATGCTGTACCATGTTGTACCATGCTGTACCATGTTGTACCATCCTGTACCATGCTGTACCATGTTGTACCATGCTGTACCTTGTTGTACCATGCTGTACCATGTTATAGCATGCTGTACCATGTTGTACCATCCTGTACCATGTTATACCATGCTGTACCATGTTGTACCATGCTGTACCATGTTGTACCATGCTGTACCATGCTGTACCATGTTGTACCATGCTGTACCATGCTGTACCATGCCAGGCTGTGCCGTAGCAGCCTGCACCGTGCATTGCCCCCCGCCTCACTCCGCTCTCTCCCGCAGGCAGCTGCGGCGATGCCCCGGCAGCCACTGCCTGACGCTGCCCAGCGTCCCCGTTGACCTGTTCATCGCGATGGGCGGCAGGGGGCGGCCCCGCACTTCCTGAGGGATGCCGAGGCCACGCACGGGGAGCGGCGTTTGTAATAAACCGACTTGTTTGTGTGTTCCTGTGCTCGGAACGCGCCTTGCGAGCGTGGGGAGCGGGGGGGCTCGGGGGGGCACGGGGGGCACGGGGGGCACGGCGGGACCGGACACGGATTCCACGGCCGCCGCTAGGGGGCACTGGAACGCAGCGGGTGGTGCGGGAAGGAGCGGCCCGGCCCCGCCCCGTCCGCGCGCTGAGGAGGTTTGCCCCGCCGCGGCCGCCGTCCGTGCCCGTCGCCCTCCGTCTGCCGGCGCCGCCATATTGTGGCCGCCGCCGCTCGGGAGCCGCCGCCGCAGGAGCCGCGATGGGTGAGCGCGGGCAGCGGCCGGGGCTTGGGGAGCGGGGCTGGGGGGCACCGGGAGGAGACGGCAGTGGCCACGGCGCCGGCAGAAGGAGGGAGGGAGGGAGGGCCGGCTGGCCGGCGGGCAGGCAGGCAGGCAGGCAGCGCGTCCTGTGAGCCCCAGCACCCGCAGCGGGGCTCCGGCCGCGTCCTCTCAGCGGCGGCGGGCCCGAGTGGCGGGGCGCGGAGTGCGGGCCCGGCCGCTGCCGCCGCTGAATCATCCCGGCACGGCGCGGCCTGCGCTGGGAAGGGCTCTCGGAGCCCGTGGGGCTCACCGGAGGGCCCGGGGTGGTCCCAGCCCGGTAGCCGGGCCGCGGGGCGGGGGTCGTTGGCTGCTCTGAGCGGTAACGGCTCGGGCTCGGAGAGCGGGGGGTTCAGCGCTGAGGCACGGGGGTTGTTTGCGCTGCAGGCACCGAGGAGAAGGGCTTCGGGGCTGCGCTGGGGGAAGGAGCTGCCCCGGTTGGTGCTGCCTTAAAGGGTCCGTGGCGCTGTCAGTGCCCTGCGAGCCTGTTCTGGAGCCTGTAAGAGTTTAGAGCAGGTTCAAGCCATTCCCCTTGGCCTGTCCCTACAGGCCCTTGTCCCAAGCCCCTCTCCAGGTTTCCTGCAGCCCTTTTGGGCTGCTCTAAGGTCTCCCCTTCAGGAGCCTTCTCTTCTCCAGGCTGCCCCAGCCCAGCTCTCTCAGCCTGGCTCCAGAGCAGAGCTGCTCCAGCCCTCGCAGCAGCTCCATCCAACAGCTCCACGTCCCTCTCATGCTGTCGCCCCCATAGTGGACACAGGGCTGCAGACAGCACTCTCAGAGAGCTACAGATAAGTCATAACTGAGCATTGCCCTTCAAAAGGCACTTCAGTAGTAGCAGCCTTTTCTTGTTGCTTTGGATGCAGCCTGAAATTGAAGCTCCCTGCTCAGGGAGGTGCCTTTTCCTTGAGGTTTCAAGTAGTAAGGCAGGGTTTGAATGGGTGAAGTGGGTGGGAAAGCCAAGCCTGTGGCAGGCATGTTGTCTGTAAAGCAGGGTGAGGATCCTCGGGGGGGGGGTTAAGGTCTTAAGAACTTTCCCCTTCTCTTGGAACCAGATTTCCCTTCAGAAGCCTTAAAAATGGCTTTTGGGGTGGGATCGTGCAGTGTTCCAGGACAGAGCCTTGGGTGACGTGGTCTGGAGTGAGGTGTCCCTGCCCGTGGCGGGGGGTTGGAACTGGATGAGCTTTTTCAACTCAAAGCATTCCATGATTCCATCAGTAACTCTCCTTCCATCTCCGTCCTGGGATGCTCCAGGCCAGGTGAGTGGCCACAAGCCTGCGTGTGCCACGGCTGCAGCACCTCCCATCCACAGCAGCTTTTAAAACTGAATCCATAGCTTGTGATGTGAAACCTTGGAGTAGAACAAGGGCCTGGGGGTGAGTGCCTGAAAGCTGCTGCTGTTATCTGGAGCTGAGGACTTCATGCAGGGGAGCCTCCCGTCCTTCCCCACCGCTGCTTGGAGCTTGAAGCAGGGATTGAGAACTCCTCTCAGTGAAGGAGTTACACTGGAATAGTTGATCGTTTAAAGGGATCGAGGCATTGCTTTTGGCTAACAGGGCTAAATGGTGGCAGCTCAGCCCTGTTGCCCCTTTTGCGGTGCAGGCTGAGGGTGTGTGGTGGCTGTAAGCAGTCGTGGTGTTGGTCTTGTCTGCATTCTTAGCCATGCTCCTGGGTCTGCTCTTCGTTTGCTATGCAAATGGCACGTCTGGATGCCTTTGCAGTGCTCCTCAGCCTGTGGAGCAGTGTGTGATGCTCCGGGCTTCACAAAACCTTCATGGCTGATGAATTGAAGGAGTTATTTGGCTCTTTTGGCTCTGTTTGCTGCGTTCAGGAGAGCAAATATGAACTTTGTAAAGGGGAGCTGGATCATTACAGGAATGTAATAGTGAAAGTACGAATTCCTGCAGCCTCTCAGTTTTAAGCTGTTGTGCTGGCAGGGTCCAGCTGAACTCAGATTTGCTTTACAAATCAGTGGTGGTTGTTCCTGGAGCAAAGCAAAGCGCATGTTGGCAAGGATGAGCTTTTGCTGGCCCTTGATAGGCCTCTAATCATCTCTGGTCGGTTTTCACCTCCTGTAACTCTTGTGGGTCGAGTTGGAGTTGCCTGAGTTGAAGAGCTAATCCCGGCTTAAAGAATTGTAACAAAGGCCTCCCTGGCCTTGGGTGACGCTGTTGTACTTGGGAGCCACTCACTCTTCAGGAAGTCTGAATGTCTCAGAATACATCAGTCGTATTGAGGAGGACTTGAAGGTGTAAAGATCAGGAGGAGCAGAGTTGAAGTTAATCCGTTAGGACAGATCTAAGGCAGAAGCTCTTCCCTGTGAGGGTGCTGAGGCGCTGGCACAGGGTGCCCAGAGAAGCTGTGGCTGCCCCATCCCTGGCAGTGCTCAAGGCCAGGTTGGACACAGGGGCTTGGAGCAAGCTGCTCCAGTGGAAGGGGTCCCTGCCCGTGGCAGGGGTTGGAGCTGGAGGAGCTTTAAGGTCCCGTCCAGCACAAACCATTCCACAAACAGGTGGGTTCTTTTGACATGGACAGCCCAGAAGGAATCCTGGTCTTTGACCCTCAGGAAGGACAAGCGTGCTGTGGGGCTCTTGTTTTTCCCCAAAGAGGATTTTTGCCTTTCCCTTCCCCCTCCCCAGCCACATCCATGGCGCTGCTGCACATTCCAGCAGTGATATCACATCAGTGGCTCTGGGGAGCTGAAGCAGAGGGGAGGGAGCCAGTGGTGGCTGCTGCCCCAGCATCCAAACAGGGCTTATCCCCTGGTACAGCAGGGCCCGCGGGGCTGGTGGCAGCCTGGGGTTAAGGCCACTCTGAAAGAGAACTGCCTCTGCCTGTGCTTCTGTGTAAGAAACACTCCAAGAGAAGAGCAGCAGAGCAAACAGAGCAGCACGAGTGATGGGATGCCAGAACTTGGCCACTTTTCCAGCAGCTGGGGTAATTCCAGGGCTGTAAGGGAAGAGCCTTGAATTGCTGCTTGTTTGACGGGACTTCTTGTGTAGTTGTTCTGTCAGCACAAGCGTGTAGCTTCCTTTCCCCTCTGTGGCCTTCTGAGCAAGTGAAGGGCGTTTTAATTCACTCCACATTATCAGTGGCATGTTCAATAGGAGCATCTGTTCTTGGCTCATTTCTGGTAGCAGTTCAGAGCTGTCTTTCTATTCTGTACATGTAATTCAGCTACTTTTAGGTATTTATTATACCCAGCTTCATTTAGTCTGTACTTCAGTAGCATGGATTACTTGGGCTTCTTTCTGTGCTTTCAGCTGGAATCACAAAGTTGTCCTGGATGTGCTTCTTCTAGAAGAGAATTCTCCAGAGACATTAAGTCCGTATTCATCAGGAGGAGCCTTTCTGCTGTGTTGTAAAGCAAGTGCTTGAGCTCTTAAGAACTGAGTGATGACAAGTCCATGGAGTGCTGTAAAATGCATTGCACAGCTGAGTTTGGCAGGGGTCCTGTAGGAATATGTGTTTAGGTCTGAGCCTGGTCAAGCAGGGAAACAGGAGATGGGAGGTTCCTCTGTGTTTGCAGGTGAGTGTATGGAAGGGTAGGAGAAACCCAAAGGACAGAGTCAGTAACGTTTGCCAAATGAAAGTTAGTAGTTTGCTGGATGTGTTTTGCTACTGCTTGTCCCATTTAGATGGGGTTTAATTGTGACTGTCCCAGTTTATACCATCACAGGGAAACTTGGCTTGGAAGGAGCCTTTGGAGGATGTGCCCCAGCTGGGAAGCTTTGAAATGTACCCAGTGGAAATGTGGGTGCCGATGGGGTTCATTCCTTCTCCCCTCCAAATGCAGAGCTGCTGCCTTCCTGGCTGGTGAGGCTGTGCTGTGGGTATGTGTCTCATGCCCAGCACCAGAACTGTACCAGATACAAAGATTCCCTTTGGGAAAAGGGGGGTTTCCCTTAAAAAAGGCCTTGTCAGATGTGTCAGTGTGAATGTTTCTCTGCCTTGTCACTTCAATCTGACTCAGCAGCTCGAGTCCTGATTTAGACCTGCAGTGACTCAGCTCAAAGTCTTTTAGCAGCAGCTGAGGAAGTGTTTGGAGCAAATACTGTCTGTAATGCAGAGAACTGGGAAGAGCATCCTCTGGAAAGGAGAAGGGGTAGGTTTCTGAGCCACTAACATCAAGAAGCTGTTACAGTCTTGGTGTGGCAGCGATGACCCTGGAATTCCAGTTTGTGGCTGAGCTGTTGTAGCTCATACTGGCTTGTGCACAGGCTTTGAGGGCTCTGCTGAGCCTCCAAAGACAAACTTTCACACTGGTTTGCCTTTCTTTATAGTGGTAAATACCTTCTCATCATTCAGTACATAAGGATGGGCCTGTGTCCTGCGTTCAGCTGTAGCAGTCATTTGTCTCCTCCTTAGTAGCTGGGGCAGCGCTGTGGTTTTGACTTTAGCCTGAGAACAAGGCTGATAACACAGCAGTGGTTTTAGTTGTTTACCCCAGTCAGGGACTTCTCAGTCTCATGCTCTGCCAGTGAGCAGGAGTGATTCCAGAGGTGGTTAGCATTCAGCAGTTGGTGGTGTGGGGACTCTGGACTAACCATGGGCTGTGTGCTGGGAGGCATTGCACTGATTGTGGCTTTGCCCCCCCCCCGCGGCAACCATTCCCTCTAGGGACACTAAGACTAAGGAAGTAGAGTGGTTTCAGGTGGACTTTTAGTAGTGCAGGTTTTGAGGATGGAGCAAACAGGCTTCTTTTGGAAGTTATAAAGCTGTGTTTTAGCTCCTTGATGCTGAGCAGCCCTGGAAGGTGTGTCGGTGTTTGGTTTACATCTATGTTTAGCACAGACCTGGAAGGCAAATTGCTTTGTGCTCTGAAGTGGCCTTAGCAGATCATTGCAGGCAGTGGTTAAGAGTGAGCAGAGTTCCTTGGCTGACACTGGCCTTGTCTCTCTGACTCGGGATGATGGAGCTGCAGCTGCACTCGTGGTGCTGCTTTAGTCTTAGTCCTTTTTCGTGCAGCAGGGGCTTCCTCAGCTGTCAGTGAACTGAATAACACACTCCCCTTGTGCTTGTCACCCTGCAGAGCCACTCGCAGAGCTGAGAACTAGAAGGTAATGCCTCTGACACTCAGTCCACGGGCCCCAAGTTTCCCAACTGCTCCTGTTTTCCCTAGGGCAGGGGAGTCCCTCTGAGCCAGGAGCAGTGGGTGTTTATGGAGCCTTCCACCTGCCTGGTGCCTGAGCAAAGCTTCACCCGGCTGTGCTTTGTTAAAGCAAGTCATCAGATGCACAACTGGGGCTCAGAACCTGCAGAGCCAGGGTTACCTCGTGTTCCGTGTTCAGGAGATGGAAATCACTCCTATGTGCAGGCTCATAACCCTTAGGCCTGTTCAAGTGCCTGAGGCCAGGGGATTCCTAGAGAAGTAGTGTTTTGTCCAGGCTCTAAGAACACCTTTTTAAATGGGGTCAGTCTTGCAAGTCCAAAGTTGGCTGTTTTCTGGTGTGATCTCTGGGAGGTTTTGGTGCAGACAGCAGGTTCCTCAAGCGTTCTTGGTATTTGGAAACAGTGTGAAAACTCTTGTGTGGAGCTCTTTGATTTGCAGAAGGAGCTGGGGGAAAGCTCTGCAGGCTCAGGTTTTTAAACACCTTTTCCTCTGCAGGGTTTTGTTCTGCTCAAGAAAGGTGAATTGGATGGAAGAGGCTGGGGTGAGGGTGGTGGTGTACACTGAGCCCCTCTGTAGCCGGTGCTCAAGAATGGCAGTAACCTGCTGCTCAAGAATGGCAGTAACCTGCTGGGGAAGCATGGGTGCTTCAGAGGGATTTGCAGTAGTCACTTCTAACTGACCAGTGAAAAGGGACCAGGTAGAGGTTGGGTCCAGGGTAATCCGAGGGATGCAGAATGTGGGGGAAACCAGGTTCCTAGGAAACAAGGCTGCCTTTTGCAGTGGGAAGGAGTGAAGCATAACCAAGGGCCTGGAACTGGAGGGCCTGAACTGACTGTTAACCCTGGTGGTGAAAGTGCCTCATTCTAATCCTGTCCTAATTCCTGATGGGTTTCCTTTTCTAATGCCATATTCATGATATTCCAGTAGGGGTTTCCCTTTAGTATAACAGGGAAATCCAGAGCCTGCAGGGTGAGGAGAGTGCTCTGAGACCTCCCAGCATGTTGGGGTGTGCTCAGCCCAGTGGGGTTGTGCAAGTTGGGAGGCAGCTGAGCTGTCATGTGTTGCTTTGCTATTTATATGACTAACTGCTTGGTAATCCAGCATATGGCATTAACTCCTTTAAGCACTTTTCCTTCCTCCTTGTCTTCAAAACTCCCTTTCAATTGGAGCCTTCAGCTTTCCAAAGGGAGGGAACAAATCTGACTTTGTTTGGGATTCTGCTGTAATCCTCAGAAGGAAGCCAGGAACTCTCACTCTTTTGTGTGGCTGATGAGCCATTAGCGTTGGGGCAGCAGTGGGGTACACTGAGGTAACACTGGTACTTAAATAGATCTTCTGAATGCACATCTCTATGCAGATGCCACACCTTGCTACTGTCAGATCAGACAGAACCCCCCATAAGCCTGTAGGGGTTTTAAAAACCTTTTCTGTGTTCTGAATTAGCTGATTTTCAGTTAATAACCAGTTCTTCAGTCTTAGAATCATAGAATGGTTTGGGTTGGAAAGGACCTTAAGCTCATCCAGTTCCAACCCCCCTGCCATGGGCAGGGACACCGCACACTAAACCATGGCACCCAAGGCTCTGTCCAACCTGGACCGATCTTGCCGTCCAATGCTGCTGAGAAGAGGGATAGACAAGTAAGAGTGGTTGCATAGTTCCTATGATCTTCAGTGTCTGCTCTTTGCCATGTAAAGGAAGTGCTGCCAAATACCTTTAGGAACAGGCCTCTGAAATCCTGACTTGTAAACTCAGGGTGGGGGACAATGAATGGTTTCATGCAGGCTTCACGGTGAGGCTGCTGTGAGGTAGAGTGCAGTGTTGAGTGTGGCGTCAGCAGGTTTCTTGCCTTGGTTTTTTGGAGGACAAGCCTTATAAATTGGGGTATTTAGGGAAGGGACAAAAGGTAGATTTCTGTAAGGCTCCAGATCTTGCAGGTCCTCCTGTAACTTGGTTACTTCACCCCTGTGGTCAGTTTTGAGGCTCTGTGCTTCCTCCTTAGTGGTGCTCAGCCTGATGGACTCCCTCTTTCTTACAGCCTCTGGCCACTCACTGTCCCCTAAGCAAGTTACTGACGAAGGCTCTAACTGTGGACAGGGTCAGTGCTGTGTGCCAGGGACCTGCATCCCTTACAGTGGAAGTGACCAGAGGAATTTGGCATTTGGGGTTTTTGTCTCTTGCTTTTCAGAGGACTTTCCTCTTGCAGTTTTGGGAAGAGAATCCCCTCCTAGCAAGATGCTGTGAAGTCGCCTGCCTTTTCCCCACAGTGCTTGCTGCCCTTTTAGCTGGTTTGGGGAAATCCTTGAGCTGGAATGACTTTGTATCCTCTCCTGTCAAAACATGAATGTTCCCAGTTTCCTCTTCCCCTGGCACTGAACCCTTGCCTGTTTGTGTGTTGTATATATGTGTGTGTGTGTGTCTTCTGGCAGCGGTCCTAGCAGGAGGGCAGTAAGGTCTGAAGCATCTCCAGCTGACCTTGGAGCAGCTCCAGAAGGGCTGGAGGCAGTTGATAAGTCAGACTGAAGCTTTCTGTAAGCAACGTGGCTGAGGAGCGCCTGAAGCTGGAAAGAGGAGGGGAAGGAGACAGCACTGCAAACCTTCACAGGGCACTTCTTCCACCTGCCCTCAGCAGTTGGGTGGAAGCAGATATTGGTGGCCAGCAGAGTTCTGGAGGAGAGGAAGTTGGTCTTGGGGTTGATTTGCGTTCTGATGTTGTGTATCGTGATTGCTCCTGTCCTGAGAAAGGCATGGACGTTAAGCAAGTGACTGTAAATGGGAGAAAGGAAGAGTCTGGAGAGAGGCAAGAAGGAGTTGACATGGGCAGAGCAGTGGATTAGAGCTGGATGCAGCTGGGGAGTTGATACCCCTCTGTCCTCTGGTTTGTGCTTGGCCCTGCTTGCCTTTTCCCTGTGCCAAATAGCAGAGTGTCACTTCCCTGACTGGGAGGCACCTTTACAGTCACCAAGAAGGGCTGCGTGAGGCAGGTAGGAACCAGCAAAATGAGTAGGTCAGGTACTGAACCCTGGCAGTACCTGGTGGGACAACCTGGCCTGTACATGATGTGCAGCCCTGCTCTCTGCAAGGTCTGGTACCGTTGTTATAGCATCAAGGCCACAGTTTGCTTGGGAGTCCTCTTGGCTTTTTGCTGTGTGTACGTGGTGAGCTCAGTGAGGAGAAGAAAGTTGAGGTGTGGTTTATGCCCTGATGACACAAGGGAAGGAATTTCTGCTTAAAACCCAAGTGGAATTTAGTTGTGCACCCCCTGGGGACAGTGAAGCTGTTTGCGTAGGAGCCTTTCACGTGGGAATGTGCCTGATACTATCCCATTGGGTCTGGGCTCCTTCTGGAGTTATGCTTCCTAGGAACTTCCTAACCCCCTTGCCATAACAGCCTATGACCTGAGCTAAGGTTGGGATCATTTCTAAGTCTGATCTGCTATTTCATGCTGCTTCATGTGCCCGGGCTACCTTGTCAGCGAGGCTGTGTGGGTTAACGGAGCAGAGAGCTGAGGCAGGCGGTGTCTTCTCCTCGCAGAGACCATGGCGAGCCCTGCCAAGGACAACTATCGAATGAAGAGTTACAAGAACAAAGCCCTAAACCCCGAGGAAATGCGGCGCCGAAGAGAAGAGGAAGGAATTCAACTGCGCAAACAGAAACGAGAGCAACAGGTAACTGTCACCTTGAGTAGCTTGTGTACAGCCTTAACACACCCAGGATTGTGCTGCTGCCTAAGTGGAATCTTCAAGGATCTGTGCATTAAGGTTCGTTGGCAGTCCTCTTATTTTTCCTGTTCTAACCGACATCTTGCTTTTCGCTTTCTCTTGGTACCCGGTGCAGAGCACACAGCTCGTATCCAGAGCTTTCCAAGCACTTTTTCCTTGGGGTATTGGAGGTTTTTGCTCACAGATCCTTGTTGGTAAAGGGGTGTTTGGATTAGTTGGTGAATGGGACTGTTTCCCTGAAGCAGGAAGCACAAGCGGGAGTATGGGCTGCACATAGTAATTTGGAGCTGTGGTTTTCTTTTTGCCTTGGAGGTCTGTGAACCTAGGAGGTGCTGTGTGGCTGAGACTGTTTGCTCTCTCAGTGCATCACCTACCAGCTGCCTTCTGCCTGGTTTCCCTCACTTGTTAAGTCCAATTCTGCACTTGCAGACCAGTGTCTGAGGGCAAGACTTGGCATGTTTTATTACCGGGGTTTGGTGCCAAACTAGGCTTCAGAGGGCAGAGCTGTTATTAATGACTGCTTCTCTATTCAGGTTGGGCTCAGCCTAGCTGACAGTATCTTGTTTGAGGAACAAGAATGTCTAGTTCTGAAGACTATACATCATTGCTTTCTAATAATGCCTCCTGTGTTTGGTCCTCCCCAGCTCTTTAAAAGAAGAAATGTGGAGTTGATCAATGAAGATGCCTCCATGTTCGATAGTCTCCTTGTGGATCCCTACGTCAGTTCCACCACATGTGGGGTAGGTGCCTTATTGTGATCATGCCTGTGGGTAGATTTAACAGTGGGGACAGCAGAGAGCTGACTAACCTGGGAGGTTTTTGCTTTCTCACTTTTGAGAACGTTGCAAATATCACTTCAGTGAACTGGAAGAGTCTGTCAGGAAGCAAATAATGTGCTGAGATCTCCAATTTGTATGTTTGGATTACTGGCTAAGTCCAAAATGATGGTAGGCTGTGAGGACTGTGATGCCTCAGTGTGAAATGGAACCCTTGTTCTGTCTCTTTTGCATGCTTTCAGGAGGGAGTGATCACAAGAGAGATGGTAGAGATGCTTTTCTCAGATGACCCCGACCTACAGCTAGCAACCACTCAGAAGTTCAGAAAGTTGCTCTCCAAAGGTAAAAGTCACTTCTTCCTGCCATCAGCTCTGATGTAACCTGTCTTCTACAAGCATTTGTGCTCGTGTATTGCTGGACAGAAACTTAGTAGCTTTGAGGCTGGGGGGAAGAAAGCTGGAATTTGGTACATTGTAATGATTTCTGATTGTATGAATTGCACAGAAAGTGATTGTGGAGAGTTCTCCTGCTGGGTTTGGTACAGGTTGGGATCATTCAGTGACAGCTCATCCCCTGGTAGACCTGTGTGCTCTTTTGACACTGTTCTGCTGTTCCAGAGCCGAATCCTCCAATAGATGAAGTGATAAACACTCAAGGAGTGGTGGACAGATTTGTGGAATTCCTGAAGAGAAGTGAGAACTGCACGCTACAGGTAAAGGAGATGCTGCTGGGGAATCATCGTGGCATGGAGCTGGGGAACCTTCACAGCTCAGCAACCCGAACCCACAGGGGCTATCAGGGAAGAGTGGTGTCTTGAACCTGAAAGGTGCAGGCTCTGTGATGGGTGGGAGAAGGCAAAGGGAGCCTGTAATGCTTAGCCAAGAAATGAAATAAATGGCTCTGAATTAAATTCTTGGAAGAATGCTGGCAAAAATACCATAGTTGAGCCACAGCAGAAGTGAATTTGGCCTCCCTGTCTTTGCTGGGAGCTAGTGGAGTCATGGAATGTGTGCGCAGGGAGAAATTGTGTGAGGAGAAGCCTTTATTGGAGGCTGTTAAATACAGGTGAAGAGTCTGTTAGAAAGAGATTAGGTAGAGCTGATGCTGCCATGGGGCAGAGGGATGGAAGTGATCTGCTCCAGGTAGGTGTGTTTGTGCACTGTGTGTCTGCACCTTTCTTGCTGGAAGATGGTTGTATGGGTGAAAAGATGAGGTGTGACTGGTGATGCCTTCTGCCTCCTGCTCTCCTATCTGTCCTCAGAGCCTCCAAGAAGGCATTTAGCAGATGTGGGTCTTTAGTGCTCAGGAAAGTAAGATCCTTTCCTTCAAATATGGAGCTGTTGGGATATGGTTTTTCTCTCACGACCTTTTTAGTAGTAGTCAAAAGAATGATAGCCACAACTTGCTGGCAAATATTTTGCTAAATCGGGATTGTTTTACTCATGCTCTTGTCACTTCTTTGGTTGTTCCAGTTCGAAGCAGCGTGGGCACTGACGAATATTGCATCAGGAACTTCCCAACAAACAAAAATAGTAATCGAAGCTGGGGCAGTTCCTATATTCATAGAGCTGCTAAACTCTGACTTTGAGGATGTTCAAGAACAGGTAAGGTTCACTTCTTACTTTGGGGTTAGGGAGAGAACCACAGTGGGGTTCCCTGTGATGAAAATGTGGTGTTAAAGCTGCGTGGCCAGTGTCTAAGAACTGGCTTCAGTTCCAGCTTGCCTGGAATTACAGGGAAATGCTTTCGTAACACACTGCCCTCTTCTTGCTCTGTTCAGAAACTGTGTGAATCCTAAAACTGTTGCTGTTTCCTTTCAGGCTGTCTGGGCATTGGGGAACATTGCTGGAGACAGCTCTCTGTGTAGAGATTATGTCCTTAACTGCGCTATTCTTCCTCCCTTATTAATGTGAGTAGCCATGAATACTTGCCAATCCAGTTCCTGATGTCCCAGTGCCCTACAGCAGAGCCATATTTGCGCTGGGTGAATAGATTCCCTAGCAATTGATGGTGGTGATTGCAGGGAATCAAACCATTGGTACCAGTTAAACCAGCAGTTCAGACAAGTATCTGATACCGAGTGGGACTTGGTAGCTGACATGCCTTCTCACAAACCTTTCCACTGTGCTCAGTGTGAAGCTGGTGCTGTGCAGTGTGCTTGTCTTTCTGGAGTCCCAGTGCTCACTGTGTGTCCCTCCAGATGCCTGCTCTTTGTGCTTACACTGTGGATTTCAGGTGCTTGTCTGAGTGGGCTCCTCTATCTAGGGCTGGCAACAGGGAGCAGGTCTTTGTAGGCACCTCCCCTCTGCAGCTCCTGAGTGTGGTGCATGCCCACCAGAGCCAGGGGCTGTCTGTCAGACATGTGCTTTCACTGCTCTGGAAAGAACGAAGCTTTATCCTGGCCTTGGCAAACTGCTGCTTTAGCACAAATGGATCGTTACACTGCTACTTGTGTCAGTCACCTGGCAGCAGTGACTGCTGACAAGTCCTCAGCCCACAGGACTTGGTGTCCTCATGAGAGTGGAGTGACAGCAGTTTGTGTCCTCTGCTGAGGACCGTCTGACCTCAGATAGGGTGTGAGCGGCTGCCTGGGCTGAATTTGAACTTGGAACTGCAATTCAACTAACTTGCCCTTCCTTCTGTGACTTCTCCAATGTGGAACTTGCCTTCTTGACCCACATCCCTTGTTGTTGGCAGCAATAAAAGCTCTTTATCCTAAGAAGTAGCTGCATGTCACTTCTCTTCTTCCTTATGGAGATGCTCAGGAGGCACACAGCATGGCTTGAGCTGCAGCAAGTGGAATAGTGGTTCGACTTCCTTAAAATCATACTGGTTCTTTTCCTCTTGATTCCCTTGCTGGCTTCCACATGAAGGATGATAATTCCTGTACTTGTCTCTTTAGGCTCCTTACGAAGTCCACCAGGTTGACAATGACACGAAATGCTGTCTGGGCCTTGTCAAACTTGTGCAGAGGAAAGAGTCCACCACCTGAATTTGATAAGGTGAGAGGAAATGCCTTGTTGGCAGAGAGGGGATAGGGAGATACCCAGGGTCCATGGTTGTCTCAATTCTTTTTGACCGCTGGACTTCTCTAAGTCACTCTGGGAGGGATGAGGGTGAGGTTCTCCCTGCTGAGACTCATCCTGCTGCTCAGCAGGTGCTTATGTACCCATTCATTTTCTGCCCAGCTCCAGTGGCAGCCCATCAGCTGGAGCCCTCGAGGAAGGGGCAGGCACGGGTTTCCCTGTGAGGCAGCCTATGCTGTGGGCTTCCCTAAACCTTTTTAATCCACGCTGGAATGTTGAGACTTCACTCAAATTGTGACTGAAAACTTGATTCTGAGACCTTTAAATGCTACAGAACAGGACTCCTGGGGCAGTGGGAGCTTTCCCCCTTTCCTGGTGTGCTGCTGGCACTAACAAAAGGGTCTGCTGGCTTTTCAGCTGTTTCATCCTTCTTTGATAGAAGAAAACCATTCAGATCAATGTTTTCACCCTCAAAGCCTGAGAGCTGACACTCTGTTCAGATTCCATCTCTCACCTTGGGATGAAATCTCTATGGAGTGTCATATAAAATCACTTATAAATGATCAGAGTACTCAGAGGTGGAGCTGTTGGTGGCTGCTGCTCTGAATACAGAGCTGTTTGGGGTTATCAGGGCTAAGAACTTGAGCAGTGCTCTTCCACAAGATGTGTAAGGAGCTTCCAAATGGTAGCCTGCACGGTAGCGCTTATCCCAGGAGTCCAGACTTGGTCCTAGAGGAAGGGATGTAATTCCACTTTAGCAGTAACGCTGCTGAAGTAACTTCAGACCCTGATGATAAGGTGTGTGAACCAACAAGGAAGCTGCTGACTCTAGGGGAGGAAACAGTGGACATCCAAGCCTTGTTATCTTGCTGGTCAGCACAAGCACGTGGTGCTTTGCATGCAAACGTGGTGGTCCTGGCCACAGTGTGACTAACCTGGGGTGGTGGCTGTTGTTGTAGGTGTCTCCCTGCCTGCCAGTGTTGTCCCGGTTGTTGTTCAGCAGTGACTCTGACCTGCTGGCAGATGCCTGCTGGGCTCTTTCCTACCTATCAGATGGTCCCAACGAGAAAATCCAAGCAGTTATTGACTCGGGAGTGTGTCGGCGACTGGTGGAGCTCTTAATGTGCGTATCTTGTCTTGCTGCTTCAGCCCAGTGAGAATGGGAAGCATGTGCCTGAACCTCAGTGTATGTCAGAGCCCATCAGAGCACCCTTCACACTTCTTGTGTGCTTCGGATCCAGGTAGTGGGTGCTGTAGCTGACGTCAGAGCAGTGCTGACATAGGAGGGTCTGAAGCAGGTTGAGAGCTGTAGTCTCCTGTCTTTTCTTTCTGAGAGAAGCTGGGTTCCTCCTGTGAGCTGGGATAAACTTGCTAAAGAGAGGTTGGAATGATGCTTCTAAGGTGTGAAAGGAGAGAGGACTGCAGTGTGTTTTGTGCTCTCAACCTTCAAACGTGCTTATGGAAGGCCAGTTCCTAGGCAGATCCACAGGTGGTAAAAAGAGTGTCTACCAAAAATCAGCTTGGCTTTGTTGCTCTGATCCCTATATGGGAACTTAGATAAAATGTTGGAATGAGCCTCTAAGAGCTTCAGAGCTGGGAGATAGTTGCTTCCAAAATTCTCCTGAAACAGTCTGGGTGTTCTCATTGGGTTAACATCATCTTTTGGTCAGGAAGGGGGGGGTATGTAAGAGGTGAGATCTGTAATTGAGCCATCTGAAGATGATGGAGTTAGGATGAAAATCTCTGCTCTGTGACTTTGTTTTCAATGTCAGTATTACCGTGTGCTAGGGGGAGGGATTGTCAGCAAACAATGCAGATGAGTTGCAGGGGAGAGAATCTTCTGCCTGTGTGTGATCTGATAGACTTGGCTTTGTCCTTGTGCCCTTTCTCCTGCAGGCACAACGACTACAAAGTGGCCTCTCCAGCTCTGCGAGCAGTGGGTAACATCGTGACGGGGGATGACATCCAGACCCAGGTGAGGGAAGTGCCTGTCCCCCACGGAACAGGGAGGTTCTTCCTTCTGAGGCTCATCCTCCTCTGCAGCAGATGTTGGAGTGCCTGCTTCATTTTGTGCCCAGCTCCAGCTCTGGACCTGACACTGGTGATCTCACTTCTGCTCTCTTTCTCCAAAGGTGATTTTGAACTGTTCAGCCCTGCCTTGTCTCCTTCACTTATTAAGTAGTCCCAAGGAATCAATCAGGAAAGAAGCCTGCTGGACTATATCCAACATCACAGCAGGAAACAGAGCGCAGATACAGATAGGGTCTTCTCCAACCCACCTGCAGTGAAGCTCAATTCCAAGCTCAGCATTAAGGGTTCTCAGCTTTTTTCCCTGGCAGTCAGAGGCTGGGTTTGTTCACATCTCTCATTCTGCAGTAATGTGCAAATTCGCTGCTCCCAGCCATCTGCCAACGGAGCTAAGAAAAGCTTTTAATGGTTCCAACAAAGACTGGCCTGAAATGAGTGCCACAGGTTAGATCATTGGAGCAGGAGCAGATACAGCCCCTGCATCTCCCTGCTCTGTTAGAGGTACCCCTCTGAAAAGCTGGATCTTGTTGAGTTGTAATTTATCCTTTTCATGCCCTACATAAAGGCAGATGAGTGATGGGAGCGCTGCTACAATACTGCTGCAGTAATAGGGGTTGTCTGCTGTGGGCTGGTTGTGGGACCGACTGTCTTGTGTTAATAGGATTTGGCTGAGGAATTGCTGAAGAGCACAGCTTGGAAAGCTCTTTTGCATTGACAAATGGAGGTGGAGGTTTCTCTCACGTTGCCAACTCAAGCCCTTCTCGCTGCTCTCTCCCCAGGCAGTCATAGATGCAAACATCTTCCCAGTCCTGATAGAGATCTTGCAGAAAGCAGAATTCCGCACGAGGAAGGAGGCAGCGTGGGCTATCACCAACGCGACGTCAGGAGGGACCCCTGAGCAGATCAGGTATTCCCTGTGGCTCCTCCTGGGGGACAGCTGTCAGTGTATGGAAGCTTTATCTTTGTGGGAACAGTGAGACAAGGACAAGGGGGTGACGTGGAGAACCTCTGGGAGGGTACCTGGGGCAGAGCTGGATCTGGATCCTGCCCTGAGCTGGGAATTGCAGCTTCCTTCTGAATCAGGAGAAGCAAATCCAGTCTGCTTCCCCCTGCCTCCCCAGAGAGCTCAGACCAGGTTAAATGTCCAAACCCAATGACAGATTGAATTCCACATCCTGAGCAGTGTGTGTTCCCGTGCTCTCTCTTCAGATACTTGGTAAACTTGGGTTGTATCAAGCCTCTTTGTGACCTGCTGACTGTCATGGACTCCAAGATTGTGCAGGTGGCCTTGAACGGACTGGAGAACATCCTGAGGCTTGGAGAGCAGGAAGCCAACCAGAGTGGGACAGGCATCAACCCGTACTGCAGTCTGATTGAGGAGGCCTATGGTAGGTTGTGGCCTTGGTGCTGTTGGCTTTGAACAGCACAAGGTGTCTGTTAGTTCTGTTGTTGCTTTTCTGCTGTGCTAAAGGATTTAGTATACCCCAAACTAGCCAAGATTTGTTCCAGTGGTGTCTTTAGACTCTTAGGATTTGGGCATAAGACAAAATAGTTGGAAGTAAAAACTATCCTACTTCTGGTCTATGCTTCCTAGCCCTGCAGCCGAGCTGATAATAGTGGCTTGTAGCAGAATTAATCAGAAATGAGCTGAGCTAAGTAAAAAGTGACACTTCTAGGTCTAAAATTGCTCTAACGGGACCCAGTTATACACGGTGGATGTTCCATGGAAATCCAGAGAGGCTTCACTTTTCCCTGGAGCAGCTTAATTTGGTGGGTTTAATTAGGACAGGGAAAGCTGCTGTTGCCCTTCCACTGGAGGCTACTGGGGCAGGCACTGCTTCCTTCCCCTCCAGACCCCCAGCAACTGCTTGTGCCACTTGGTTTAACCTCACTGAAATGTGGGTTTGTCCCCTGGAATAGTTTTAGATGTCGGTGCTGCTCACCAACCCCAAAGGTAACGCAGACAGAGGTCTTGCAGTGAACAGGGGAAGGGCGGAGGATGGATGTGGGGTTGCAAATACCAGGATCCCCTCGTTTCATCACATTCCATTTCTCTTTCCCTCCAAGGTTTGGATAAGATAGAGTTCCTACAGAGCCATGAGAACCAAGAGATCTACCAGAAGGCCTTTGACCTGATTGAGCACTACTTTGGAGTAGAGGATGACTCTGCTTTGGCTCCCCAGGTAGATGAGAACCAGCAGCAATTCATCTTCCAGCAGTCTGAAGCCCCCATGGAAGGTTTCCAGCTATAATGTGCCCGGGGCAGGGAACAGAACACCACAAACTTGCTGGAAAGCAACTTTGAGCAGCTGATCATCCCATCCCCTTCTTGCACACGGGAGGCCAAGCACCCACTCCACCTTTAGGAAGCAAGTCTTCTTTCAACCAACTAAACCAGTGCTTTGCCAGGACGGAGGGAACGGGATGTCTTACACTTCTTTTTCTTTTTGCTGCTGCATCCATGTCTTTAAAGCAGGCATCTGGGTGGAGGAAGGACACGGAGGTGGCAATTGCACCTCTGGGTTTGGGTTATTTTTTTTCCCCTTTGTGGTGATCTCTTCCCAAATGTCACTTCTTAACTCGGGTACTTAATTGAGACGGCAGCGATGGGTCGGGTAAGAACACAAGTAGCAGTAAGCGTTCTGACAGCGGTAATTCTGCAAGCCCTGGGTTGAGCTATTTAATGATTTATTTTTTTTTTTTCCTTTTTTTTTGGTTTTTTTTGCACATGTTACTCTTTATTAAAGACTCTAATTTGCCAAGAGCAAAGTTTAGCCCTGGCCTTTCTGCGCCCCTCCTTCAGCGGACAGTCCTCTTGCACCTGGGCCATGCTCCCCTGCAATACACTGTACATGGACAGAGAAAGGGCAAGTCCTCCCACTCCGGGGAAGGCTCCTTTCCTTCGCATAGAGCTATTGTATTTTGGTGATCTGTTTCTTGAAGAACTACTTGTACCATTCACAAGGAGAGAAAAGAAGCAACAGGACCCCTAAAGCTGGTAACTGTGAGGAGGGGAGGGGGAAGCAGAGGCTGTGTTTGCATTGCTGCTGCCTCCAGCCCCGGCCTGTGGCCACGGTGAGAGCCCACCTTCAGCTTTACTTGAAATCTATTTTTTTCCATGAGAAACACCTTTTGAGTCGTGGGTTTTTCTTCTGGATCAAGGTGGGGGGGGCGGGGGAGGTGGGGGGGGGGGTGGTGTGGTATTTCCAGTTCCCAGCTGTGCCTCCTGCTCGCAGGTACATCGTGTGTATTGGACCAAACCAAGGCACATCGCTGTATTTTCTAAAGGACGTAGAGGTGACTATTGATCGAATTGGGCTGCAGCGCTACCGCTGCGTACGCAATTGCTGTGATTTACGTAAAGGGAGCACTGCGGGGCAGGAGCAACGGGACCCGAGCGCTCCGGCTCCTGCTCCGCGGCTCCCTCCCGCACTGGGCGAGCCCCTGGAGCCTCCTCAACCTCTTCCATCGCTTCCCCAGGCCCGCATTAACCGGCAGCGGCCCCGCGGGACGAGGCTTTGACCGTCAAACTCGACCCGTGCTGGGCCGCCGCGGGGCACTATTGGAACTGTAGGCACACCGGAAGGGAGAGCTCGGCCCCACGAGGGGCATGCTGGGAATTGTAGTCCATAGAACAGGCAAGACCGCGCGCAAAGCACTCTGGGAGTTGTAGTTCGCCGTTCTCCCGGCATGCCCCACACTACCTCACCGCTGATTGGGCGGTGGCGAGGCCCGGCGCTTGCGCGTTCCGCGGCCGGTGGGAGGCCCGGGCCGGAGCCGCTTCCTTCAGCGCGGAGCCCGGCGGGGGGCGGCGGCACCGGGCACCGGTACCGGGGAGCGGCCGCTCCCTCCTCCCCCCCCCACCCTCCCCCGCAACCCTTCCGCTCTGGTGGACCGCGGTGCTGCCGGTCTCTGCGCGCTGATTGGCTGAGGAGAGAGCGGAGCCGTGCGTCAGAGCGCTGGCGGTGACGCCACGGGGGTGCGTGCGTGACGTCAGCGCGGGACCGGGGGGCTCGTGGCCGATGTTAACGGCGGGGGGGGCGATGGGGTCGCGGCCTGCACGGGGCGGGGGGGGGGGGGGGGGGGCGATGTGGGGCACTGGGGAGCGGTGTTAATGAGGTACGGGTCTGATGGGGGTGGTCCCGGCCGTCCCGCGGTGTCGGTGTCAAGGGCAGGGGGTGCTGAGGAGGGGACCGGGTCCGAGCATCGCCGCTGCCCCGGGGCCCGGTGTCAGCCCCCGGCAGAGGGAAAGCGGGGCCGGGAGGCGGGAGCGGACACGTGTGCGGGGCCCCGCGCCGGGTCTCTCGCGTGTTCTCGCTGTGGGCCTCATCCGGGGCTGTCCCCCCCGTCCCCCCCACCCCGGAACCGTGCCCTGCGCCCCGGGAGCGGTTCCTGCCCTGCGGGTGGGGGGCAGAGGTGCTGAGCTCTCTGCTGCCCCGGTCCCTGTCAGCGGAGGCTGCTCTGGGGTTGGAATCCAAGGGTAAAACGCAGTGGGGATGAAGGGGAGGTTGTGCCCAGCGCGGTTTGCGCTATGTGCGCATCCGGAGGTGCTGCCTTCAGGCTGTTCCAGCTTGCCTCAGGTGGAAAAGGAGTTCTCCTTAATGCAGGAGCTGCTCCTGGGAAGGGGGACACTGAAACACAAGGATGCTTCCTCAGCACAGAGCCGCCGCTGCCAGGAGCGAGCTCCTTCCCAGCCCTGGTGCATGGCTCCTCAAATCAAAGCGTTGCTGCTCACAAACGGCCCCTGCTTCTCTTTCCCTCCCTTTAGGCTTTTCCAGGCTGAGCCAGGAGGAAGCTCACGATGAAGAACCAAGGTGGCGAGACCAAAGCAGCCCCACGGCCTCCCAGCTCCCCCAGGATGAGCAGCGCTCTGGTGCTGGAGGAGGGCGATGCACCGGAGGCCACGGCACCCCCGGAAGGTGGGGAGGCCCCAGGGCTGGGTCAGGCTTGATTCTGTTCATGTTAATCAAGCAGCTCTCAGTTAAAACCAACCCTGCCATTGAATTGTGCTGGCTCCGGGGTAGCAAAGGGGGTTCGTTTGGTGATGGCTGCTGTGAGGCTCCTCTGGAGAGGCTTCAGTGCCTCCTGGCTGCTCTTCCCCAAAGCCCCTGCAGCTGGGGCCAAGAGGCAGTGCAGCTGCTCTCACACATAAAGAGGAGGCTGCCCCAGCTTCCAGATCCATTGTCATGGAAAAACGCCTGGCTCTGGGGATATTGGGAAGCGGTTCCTGTGAGGGAAGGCTCCAACACAACCTGCACACAACCTGCTTTCCATCATGGGTGGTGGGGAGGAAGGGGAGCTCCTGCTCTTGACAGATGTCAGGGGCCTGGTTGTGCTCCCTGATCGAAGCAGTGGCTGTGGCGGTGCCCCAGCGTTGTCAGGGCAGCTGGCTGGGATGCAGCGGAACAAAGCAGCTTATGTGCAGCCTGGAGAGGAGCTGCATGGAGACCTCAGAGCAGCTTCCAGTGTCTGAGGGGGGCTATAAGGATGCTGGAGAGGGGCTCTGCATCAGGAACTGGAGCGATAGGACAAGGGGTGATGGGTTCAGACTGAAACAGGGGAAGTTCAGGTTGGAGATAAGGAGGAAGTTCTTTACTGTGAGGGTGCTGAGGCGCTGGCACAGGGTGCCCAGAGAAGCTGTGGCTGCCCCATCAAGGCCAGGTTGGACACAGGGGCTTGGAGCAAGCTGCTCCAGTGGAAGGGGTCCCTGCCCGTGGCAGGGGTTGGAGCTGGAGGAGCTTTAAGGTCCTTTCTAACCCAAACCATTCCATGACTCCATGTTGCTGAAGTTCAGCCCCTCAGTGCCATGGGGTGCTCAGAAACCCTTCCCTTTGCCCTGTGCTTACAGAGCCCAGAGGGGCTCTATAATGGAAGTGAATCTCATGCTTTGTGTTCCATCTCCCACAGCTCCTCTGGCACAGGAGGACACCAAATCCTCCCGGCCCGCCGTGCGCGACGTCTCGGAGGAGCTGAGCAGGCAGCTTGAGGACATCCTGAACACGTACTGCGTGGATGCCAGGCAGGAGGCACCGGGGGAGGACGGGGGCCAGAGTGAGCCCCCGGAGCCTGAGGAGCCCGAGAAGGGCCGCAGCGAGTCCCCAAGGAACGGGGAGCAGGAGCAGGGCGGCCCCGAGATGAACGGGGAGAAGGAGAGCACCAAAGGGACTGAAGAGTTCCGGCCCGGGGAGGAGTGTGGGGAGCGGGATCAGAAGAAGGCACAGGAGAAGAAGAAAGCCAAAGGCCTGGGTAAGAGGTTCCTTGCTCTGGTGATGTTCCCAGCCCGAGAGCTTCAGTGGGTCCTGGACTTTACACAGCTTCAGTTGCCCTCAGCATCACTTGGGAATGATGCAGCATCCTGCATCAGGGAGGTTGTGAATGCTCCATCCCTGGTGGTGTTCAAGGCCAGGTTGGATGAAGCCTTGGGTGACCTGGTTTAGTGTGAGGTGTCCCTGCCCATGGCAGGGGGGTTGGAACTGGGTGATCTTGAGGTCCTTTCCAACCCAAACCATTCTATGATTCTATGATCTTGTGTGAGGAGATGTACTGAGTGCTGCAAAGGCACTGGCTGCTCCTGGGTGCTGCTGTGTGATGGTCTCTCCTGCTGGGTATGACCCTTTGTAGCCAGCCCAGTGCTGGTTTCCCACTTGGAAAACCAGGTCCCTCCCCAGCTCAGCTGAAATCCGTGGGGCAGAGGCCTGAGAAAGCACTGGAGATGTCGCTCTGGCCAGGGCAGGGCTGTGAGGCCTGGTTTGTGTCTCTGCTCTCTTTGCCCTCGGGAGCCAGGATGCTGTGTGAGTGCTGTTGTTGTAATGGCATGTCTCCTTCCAGGCAAAGAGATCACTTTGCTGATGCAGACCCTGAACACCCTGAGCACGCCAGAGGAGAAGCTTGCAGCCCTGTGCAAGAAATACGCTGAGCTGGTGAGTGCTGGTTCCTTCCAGGCTCTGGGGCTGGGTGAGGACGCTGCAGCCATGAGGAGGCAGAAGGTGCTTGTAGATACTTGGGGTTTGTCTTGTTTGTGCAAGGAGCAGGCCAGGAGCTTTGCAGTGCGTGACCTGGGATCCCTGCACTGCTGGAGATCCAAACAGTAGAGGAATGATGGTGCTGGGTCCAGGCAGGCAGCCTAAGCAAGGACAGGAGCAAATCTGCTCCTCTCAGAGCACAGAGAGCGCTCCACTGATCCCCATGTCCCTCCTTGGGATGCTCTGCTCCGTCTGGCTGCATCCGTGCCCTTTGCTCCCCTGTCGCAGCTGGAGGAGCACCGGAACTCCCAGAAGCAGATGAAGATCTTGCAGAAGAAGCAGACGCAGCTGGTGCAGGAGAAGGACCACCTGCAGAGTGAGCACAGCAAAGCCATCCTGGCCCGCAGCAAGCTGGAGAGCCTGTGCCGCGAGCTCCAGAGGCACAACCGCACCCTCAAGGCAGGTGTCTCCTGGCTGCTGCTTCACCCCAGCCCTTGGATCAGCCGCTCTGGCACGTTTCCCTTCACCCAGAGGCAGGGCAGAGCTTTGGGTCTGCTCTTGAACCATCCCTGCCCATGGTGTCTGGGTGTTATTTCAGAGGGGAAAGGCCCAAAGTGACTTCCTCGTTGATGGAAGCAATGGTGGGAGGCTGGGGGAGCTCTGAGCATCCCCAGTTTGGGCTCAAGCACAGAGGATGATGTGTCCCTGCCTTCCTCCTGCAGGAGGAGGGCGTCCAGCGTGCGCGGGAGGAAGAGGAGAAGCGGAAGGAGGTGACATCCCACTTCCAGGTGACACTGAACGACATCCAGCTCCAGATGGAGCAGCACAACGAGAGGAACTCCAAGCTGCGCCAGGAGAACATGGAGCTGGCAGAGAGGCTCAAGAAGCTCATCGAGCAGTACGAGCTGCGGGAGGAGGTGGGAGATGTGGGGCTGGGCTGCAGGGGGGGGGATCTGGGGTCGCAAGGCCTGGGTTGGGTGTGTTGGTGACCGAGTGGTGCTGTTCCCTTGGCAGCACATCGATAAGGTGTTCAAACACAAGGACCTGCAGCAGCAGCTGGTGGATGCCAAGCTCCAGCAGGCACAGGAGATGCTGAAGGAGGCAGAGGAGAGACACCAGCGGGAGAAGGACTTTGTAAGTCTTAGAGTAGCTCTCTCATGGTTGTGAATGCTTTTGGCCTTGTCCCTCTGGGGTGGTTTGTCCCTGTGGGATCCCTGGTGCAGAGCCCAGTTGGGATCAGGCCATCCCAGGCCTCCTGCATGCCCCAGAGGGGGATCCCTGCTTTGCTCTTCCAGTGCCCCCAAGCCCGTCCCTGGCTGCAGGCCATGCAGCAGCCACGTAACTGCTTTTGCTCTTCCCCAGCTGCTGAAGGAAGCTGTGGAGTCCCAGAGGATGTGTGAGCTGATGAAGCAACAGGAGACCCATCTCAAGCAGCAGGTGAGACGTTACCTGGTTGATGAGATGGGAGTTACCTGGGCTCTGTGCTCGGCCTCATTGTTGGTTTGGGGTCTTTTTCCTTCCTCCCTAAGCAGGAAACCACCCAAAGGTCCCTAACGTGGGAAGCGCAGGGGTAGGGGTGCTGCTGGCTTTGGTGTTGCTGAGCCTGTGTTGGCATGGTGTGAGCTGAGAATTCCTGCAGCAGTTCTGCCTTGTGGCTTCTCCCAGTGCTGGGAGCAGTGCTGGGATCACTGCAGCAGACCCAGCCTCTTGCCAAGGCCAGGGGGTGTTTGTGGCACCCCTCACTCCCAGCATCCTTCCCTAGGAAAGAGTTTTCCCCCATTCCCTGCTCCCTGCCGCTGGCAGAGCAGCTCCAGCCCCTGGTTTATCACCAAGCCCAGTCAGGAGATCCCAGCTCAGTTCCTGGCTCTAACCCTGCCTCTCCCCACAGCTGGCTCTCTACACCGAGAAGTTTGAGGAGTTCCAGAACACCCTTTCCAAGAGCAGTGAAGTGTTCACCACGTTCAAGCAGGAGATGGAGAAGGTGGGTACCGCGGCTGCTCCTGGCCAGGCTCCCTGCTTACATCGCCTTGATGCTGCTGGGAGCTGGGGGTTCCTGGTGCTAAGATCAGCCACAAGGTCGCTGCCAGCTTGGCAGTAGGGATGAGCAGCACAACCCTGTCCCCCTGCACTGCTGGTTCCTGCTCAGTGCAGCACAACCCTGTCCCCACTGCTGGTTCCTGATCAGTGCAGCACAACCCTGTCCCCACTGCTGGTTCCTGATCAGTGCAGCACAACCCTGTCCCCTGCACTGCTGGTTCCTGCTCAGTGCTTGGAGCTGGCTGCAGGAGATAGGGAGATGTTCCCCAGGCCAGCAGAAGCTCACACTGGGATCTTGGGATGTCACAGCAGCGCTCTGCCCTGCCTTACTCATCCCCTTTCTGTCACCTGTAGATGACAAAGAAGATCAAGAAGCTGGAGAAGGAGACCACGATGTACCGCTCTCGCTGGGAGAGCAGCAACAAGGCGCTGCTGGAGATGGCTGAAGAGGTGAGGATGCTCCGGCTGGCCTGTTCCCTGCCTATGGTGCTGGGAGCCCTCTGGTCCATGGTCAGAGCAGAGGTGGGTGGGAGAGCTCTGTCTCTGCAGCAGTTGGCCTCTATGGGAGCACAGGAAGAAAGCAGCCGTGATGGCAGCATCAGGTTTGGTGTGGTCTTGGCAGTGCTGGGGTTCATCGGTTGGATTTGGTGGTCTTCAAGGGCTTTTCCAACCTCACCGGTGCAGTGAGCCTAGGGTCTTTGGATGCCAAACGTTGGCTCCATCACGAGTATTTCCCCACCTTGGGCTCCCCCCGGGGTTTGTGCCTGAAGGAGCCTGAACCTCTGCTCTCTTTGCAGAAAACCCTGCGGGACAAAGAGTTAGAGGGGCTGCAGGTGAAAATCCAGCGCCTGGAGAAGCTGTGCCGAGCCCTGCAGACCGAGCGCAACGACCTCAACAAGAAGGTGCAGGACCTGTGTGCCCACGTGCCCCGGGCAGACACCGACCTGGGCGAACCCCTGAAGGACCCCCCTCGGGACAGCTCGGATGCGGTGGCTCCAGCCGAGGAATGCCTCAACTTGGGAAAGCCAACGCAGAGCCTGGATCCTGCACCCGAGAGCATGGGGGAACTGAGCATAGGAGCCTTGGGGCAGAGCGGGACTGAGGGAGGCAGCCGGGGCGCTGACTGAGCCTGCTGTGCGCCAGCACAGGTAGGGCGAGGGAGGGTAAGGTCAGTGCTCCCATAGACTCGCATCTGGTGCCCCTCTCCAGGTCTTGGGATGGGCAGGAGAGGCCCTGAGGGGACCTGAGATTTCCTAGCTTAGGTTTTTGGAGGGTTTTTAAGATTTTATATATATATATATGATATATAAAGACATGCAGGGCAGCCATAGGTGAAAACGAGAACGACCCAACCCTGCGTGTGCGTGAGTAACTAATATATGGAGCTCAACTGATCGACCCTCTCACTGGGAGACCTTGGCATGGGCAGGCTGCAGCTCCCCAGAAACCTCGTGCACCTCAGGAAAGGGGGTGCCTGGATCTGCCCTGGCCCAGCGGGAACATCCGGATGCAGCAACGCTCTCACATGGAGCGAAAGGAACCGAGCCAAGCAGGGAGAAAAGGAAGCATTTCCCAGCTGGGTCAGGAAGGGGCAGGCTCCTGGACTTGCTCCATGCTCTGGCTGGCAGCAAATGAGGCCGTTTCCCCTCCTCAGTGTGGGTTTTGTGTGTGAAACAGGGACAGAAGGCAGCGGAGCAGCTGGGGGGGGCCCGGTTCTCCCCAGAGCCTGCTGGTGTCTCAGTAGCCTTATGAATTCACAGTTGCCTCTTTGCTATACGCACACGTGCACAAGTGTATTAAACAGTTAACCCAAAGCTCTCCTTCCCCAGTGTTTTACACATGGATGTGGGAGGGGAGCCCCTGTGCCCCTGCCCCAGCTCCATCCCTCGGTGCCAAGTGGAGGTCCATGGAGCTGGGGCTCCGGGAGGATGAACCCTGCATCTGCTCTGAGACTGCTGCTTAACCTCATCGCTGGGACCGCAGGGGGCTGCTCTCAGACCCCCATGGACCCTCAGCCTGGCCGTGCTGGTGCTGTCACAGCTCCCCCCCTTTTTCCTTTCCCCCTTGGAGCCTCTCCCCAGCGCAGGTCTCTGCAGGGGGAAGCACTGACCCGAAGGGCCCTGTTGTGTTGTGCTGTGATGGACACACTGGAGCCTGCTGCTGGCACAGGCCTGGGGGCGGTTCTTGTTGCCTCAAGGCTTTCTTTGCCCTGTTCTGGGAGCCCTCAGCTCGTTGGAAACCTCCTCCTGCAGCTCCTCTTCACCGCAGGCTCCTTTCAGCGTTGCCTTCCTTTGGCTGGGAGCTGTTCCTCGCCGTGCAGCAGCTTTGGTTTCTCTCCCAGCACCGGGGCTGCTCTCGCACCTCCGCATCCCCCTCAGGGCTAACAAAGAGCAGAGATGGGCTCTCTGGAGCCTCCGCAGAGCCGCAGCCTTCAGCACCCGATGGGGCGAGTGTGGCTTCGGCACCGCTGCTTCCTCCTTTGCCTCTGGAAGGAGCCCCCTGCAAGTGAATGTGGCTCTGACCTGGCGGGAGCAGCCGGGCTCCGGGATTCCCTTCCTAAAACCTCTTAGGAAAGCACTGAGCCCCTTTTGGTTTCCTTTCCCTGATGCAGGACAGGACCCGCTGCAGGGGCTCCTCCTTCCTACCCCATAGAAACCCCCTTGCCCTCACTGCTGCTGCCTCTTGTTTGTTGCTCATCGTGTTTTGGGGTGAAGATTTGGGCTGCGGGGCACGAAGGGGGGAGGCCGGGAGGGACCCGGGGTTTGGCTTTGTCCCTCCGGTGCCGCTCGCCCTCCCTATGAGCCATGGAGCCCCTGGGGCGCCGTGCCCTGCACCAGCCGCTGCCGTCCTGATGGCATCCAACTGGTGTCGGGCTGGTCCCTGGCGCTGGCATCACCCCTGAAGCGGTTCCGCAGAGGGGACCGGGGGGGGGCCGCGGTGGTGGCAGGACCATGGCCGCATCCTGCCCACGGAGCCGGTGCTGGGGCTGGGAGCGGCGCGGCCCCGGAGGAAGTTCCCTTTCCCTTTAAATGCAAATCCCAGCGCCGGGGCTGCGGGACCAGAGTGTCCGGAGGGGCCGCGGCCGGGTGCGCTCCGCAGGCTGGGCCGGCGCCTGGCGCAGGTCAGTGCGGTGCGGGCAAAGGGGCTCCCCCATCCCGGTGCTGCCGCTGTTGAAGGGCCCCGAGCGGGGCTTGGGGAGGGGCCGGGTCCCTTGGCTCCGGTGCATGTGACCGGAATCCTCCTTCCCGTTGGGAAGCGGCTCCCGGCTGCGGCTCAGCCCCGGGGCTTTGTTCCTCACGCTGGGAATGCCACGGGCTGGGGCAGGCGGGGGGCTCCGCTCCGGGCGCTGCTGCTGCTCCCTGCGGGCACCCCGAGAGCGGCCGCTGGGGGCGGACGGGTCCTGCCCGAGGACACCCGCGGGAGCCAGCAGCAGCCGGGTCTGTCCCCCGCAGGGTCCCCGGGCCCCCATCGCCATGGAGGAGCGGAGGAGGAAGCGCAGCCCCCGGCGCTGCCCGGCCCAGCCGCTGCCCCCCAGCAGGAGCTCGTCCTTCCCGCTGCCGATGCCAGCCCTGCCCTCGCCCCGGCAGCGCGCCCGGCTCCGGCGGTCAGTGCGGGGCAGGGGAAGAGCCGGCACCAGTGTCTGTGTGCCCAGTGCGGGTGGCACCAGTGCCTGTGTGCCCAGTGCGGGTGACAACAGTGCCTGTGTGCCCACTATGGGTGATACCAGTGTCTGTGTGCCCAGTGCGGGTGGCACCAGTGTCTGTGTACCCGGTATGGGTGACACCAGTGTCTGTGCACCCAGTGGAGGTGACACCAGTGTCTGTGTGCCCAGTGCGGGTGACAGCAGTGTCTGTGTACCTGGTATGGGTGACACCAGTGTCTGTGTACCCAGTGCGGGTGACACCAGTGTCTATGCACCCTGTCTGGGTGACACCAGTGTCTGTGTACCCTGTGCGGGTGACACCAGTGTCTGTGCTCCCGGTATGGGTGACACCAGTGTCCGTGTACCCTGTGCGGGTGACACCAGTGTCTCTGTACCTGGTATGGGTGACACCAGTGTCTATGCACCCTGTCCGGGTGACACCAGTGTCTGTGCTCCCAGTATGGGTGACACTAGTGTCTCTGTACCTGGTATGGGTAACACCAGTGTCTATGCGCCCTGTCCGGGTGACACCAGTGTCTGTGTACCCGGTATGGGTAACACCAGTGTCTGTGCGCCCTGTCCGGGTGACACCAGTGTCTCTGTACCTGGTATGGGTGACACCAGTGTCTCTGTACCTGGTATGGGTGACACCAGTGTCTATGCACCCTGTCCGGGTGACACCAGTGTCTGTGCTCCTGGTATGGGTGACACCAGTGTCTGTGTACCCGCTATGGGTGACACCAGTGTCTGTGCTCCTGCTATGGGTGACACCAGTGTCTGTGTACCCGCTATGGGTGACACCAGTGTCTGTGCTCCCGCTATGGGTGACACCAGTGTCTGTGCTCGCGGCGCAGGACGAGCAAGGAGCGGGTGCGCAGCAGCACGGCGGTGGCGCGGGGGGCCCCGCTGCAGCACAGCTTCCTCACCGACGTGTCCGACGTGTGCGAGATGGAGGGGGGGCTGCTCAGCCTCCTCAGCGACTTCCACTCGGGAAAGCTGCAGGCCTTTGGTGAGGGGCTGGTGCCGGGGGGGCAGAGCCCGGGGCAGGGGGGGGGGGCACCGGGGCTGCGGGGCTGTGACGGCTCCGTGTGTGGCGCAGGGAAGGAGTGCTCCTTCCAGCAGCTGGAGCACGTGCGGGAGATGCAGGAGAAGCTGGCGCGGCTCCACTTCGGCCTCGATGGCTGCGTGGAGGAGCTCCCCGAGGAGCAGAAGAAGGCGGCGGCCGACCGGAACCTGGACCAGCTGCTGGCACATGTGAGTGTCCCCCCCTGCCTGCTCCTGATGCCATGGCCACGGTCCCCCCTGGCCCTGGCTGTGCTGCCGGTGCCGTGACCTCTGCCTTTGTCTCCTGCAGCTGGAGGAGCTCAGCAGCTCCATGTATCCTGGGCGATGGTGGCGGTGGCAGTGGTGGTGGAAGTGGTGGTGGTGGTGATTTTAGTGGTGTGACGGTGGTGGTGGTAGTGGCAGCAGTGGTAATGGTGGTAGTGGTGGTGGTGGCAATGGTGGTAGTGGTGACAGTGACGTTGGTGGCAGCAGTGATGATGGTGGCAATGGTGACAAGTGATGATGGTGGTGGTGATGATGATGGTGGCAATGATGGCAGTGGTGATAACAACTGATGGTGGTGATGGTGGCAGGGGTGGTGATGATGATGGTGGTGATGGTGGTGGTGGCACTGGTGACATGATAATGGTGATGGTGATGGTAGCAGCATTGGTGATGGTGATGATGGCAGCATTGGTGATGGTGATGATGGTGGCGATGGTGGTACTGGTGATGGTGATGATGGTGGCGATGGTGATGGTGGTGATGGTGATGCTGGTGGCACTGGTGATGGTGATGGTGACAGTGATGGCAATGGTTGCCTTGGTGATGATGATGATGGCGATGGTGGCACTGGTGATGGTGACAGGGCTGCGCGTCCCCTTTGCGCTCTCCCTTGACCCACACTCAGTCAGAAGCTGCACCTGGCCGAGAGCTCCGACCCCGAGGACTCCGCGGCCTGACCCCGCGCCCGGCCCGGCCGCTGGAGACCCCGCGGCAGCGGCGACACCGGAGCCACCGCAGGGAGAGCGCTACCCCCGCCGCCATCTTGGCATCGCAGCGGCGAGTGGGCGGTGCCTGGCAGTGCCGAGTGGGCGGTGCCTGACTGTGTCGCGCCCGGGTGACGTCATCAACCGGCGCCTGCGTGCCCGGGCCATGGCGGCGGCTCTATGGCTGCGGGAGGAGGCAGAGGGATGGCAGCGGCTGCTGCGGGCCGTGACCCGCCTGCAGGTCGGGGCCGGGGCCGGGGCCGGGGCCGGGGCGAGGGGACCCGGCTGGGACGGGGGGACCTGGATGGGCCGGGTTTGGGGGGGGGGGAAACAGCCGCGGGGGAGCGTAGATGAGGGGGTGCCAGTGGGGGGCACGTCAGGGAGAAGGGGGGCACAGCTGGATGGGGGCACAGCTGCATGGGGCAGAGCTGGATGGGGCACAGCTGGATGGGGCAGAGCTGGAGGGGGCGCAGCTGGATGGAGCACAGATGGAGGAGGCACAGCTGGATGGGAGCAGAGCTGGATGGGAGCTCAGCTGGATGGGGCACAGATGGATGGGACACAGATGGATGGGGCACAGATGGATGGGACACAGATGGATGGGGCACAGATGGATGGGACACAGATGGATGGGGCACAGATGGATGGGAGCACAGCTGGATGGGGCACAGCTGGACGGGAGCACAGCTGGATGGGGTTGGCAGGGGCCGTGCATCGGGCGCTGCCTCATTAAAAGCTGCCGTGGTTCCAGACCCGTCTGCTCCTTGTGCGCCGGGCCGGGTGCTGTGGGTGGCCGGGGGGTGGCTGTGGGTCTCTGTGGGCGGGGTGGGGGGATTGTGACCGGCCCCACGGGCACCCCCCGCCTGTTCCCGCAGGCCTGTGTCAGGGGTTACCTGGTGCGGAAGCGGTTTCAGAGCCTGCAGGCAGCGTTCGAGGAGGTGGTTTTGGAGATCGAAGGAGACCTGAGCCAGCTGCAGTGGAGGGGACGGCTCCTGCCCCGGCCCGTCTTCATCCCCGAGGTCTGTGTGCCAGCACGGGCTGAGCTAATGCAGCCCCTCCGAGGGGGGGGCAGTGGGGGGGCAGCCGTGCAGACGGTGCTTCTGCAGCAGGAACCTGGGATTCTACCCCACAAACCCAGCGGTTCCTTAGGGCTGCCTGGAAGCCTCTCCCTGGCTTGTGCCCGGAGGATTTCGACCCCCAGGTGAAGCTCAGCCTCCAGTCAGGCGGTGCAGGTGACTGCCGTGGGTCTCCCACCTCTCCTGGCCATGCCTTGGCCATTGGATGCGCTCCTGCAGCACCTGAGTGCTGCTCTGCAGGGGTTTGGGCACATCTGGAAGGAAAGCCCTTTAAAGAGTTCCAGTCCGGAGCATGTCAGTGTCCCAGCACTGTTGATGGTGGTGGGCACATCTGGAAGGAAAGCCCTTTAAAGAGTTCCAGTCCGGAGCATGTCAGTGTCCCAGCACTGTTGATGGTGGTGGGCACATCTGGAAGCAAAGCTCTTTAAAGAGTTCCAGTCCGGAGCATGTCAGTGTCCCAGCACTGCTGGTGGTGGTGGGCACATCTGGAAGGAAAGCCCTTTAAAGAGTTCCAGCTTGGAGCACATCAGTGTCCCAGCACTGCTGGTGGTGGTGGGCACATCTGGAAGGAAAGCTCTTTAAAGAGTTCCAGTCCGGAGCACGTCAGTGTTCCAGCACTGCTGGTGGTGGTGGGCACATCTGTAAGGAAAGCCCTTTAAAGAGTTCCAGTCTGGAGCACATCAGTGTCCCAGCACTGCTGGTGGTGGTGGGCACATCTGTAAGGAAAGCCCTTTAAAGAGTTCCAGCTTGGAGCACATCAGTGTCCCAGCACTGCTGATGGTGGTGGGCACATCTGGAAGGAAAGCCCTTTAAAGGGTTCCAGTCCGGAGCATGTCAGTGTCCCAGCACTGCTGATGGTGGTGCACAGAGCCCCTGGCTCACAGTGGGGCCACCGTTGAGGTCGTTGTCTTTTCCATATATTTCAGTCTCTTGCACGTTGCCCCTTTAGGAGCCAGCCCAAGGGAAGTGTTCAAACCCACGGGAGGCTGCACCAAGTGACAAAGCCAGCACAGAAGAACCACAGAAGGAGCTGGATGCTTCTGAGCCAGAGCAGGACCGGGGCTGCAGCAGCATGAATCCTACAGCCCAGCTGCTGAGTGAGAAGGGGCTGAGCCCCACGGCTGCAGGAGATGCAGTGGCCCCTCTGAATCTCGAGGCTGATGCTGATGAACAGCCTGAAAAGGGGTGCAGTGCCCCAGCTGGGAGCAAGGACTGGCAGAACGACAGCAACGTGTCCTCTGGTCTGGAGGCAGAGTCCCTTGGAGCCTGCCTGGGTAAGAGCCAGGAGCTGGGATCTCCTGCATGGGCTCAGGGACCTGCTGGTGAGCACCAGCAGCACAGTAGAGAACCCAAAACCTTGCAAATACCTTGGAGAAGCTGGAGCAGCTCGGTGCAAGGGAGGCAGCAGTGGGAACCTTTGTCCTGCTAATGGGTTATTTCTCACTTCATAGCAGAAATTCCACTTGTGGACATAAAGGAACTTCCTCAGACTCGCTCTGGTCTCCAGTCCTACCGGAACCACTTGGTCATGGAGCTGCTGTGGTTGGAACAAGCTATTGTCAGCCGTAAAAACGTAAGGCTCTACCCTTTCCAAAGCAGTGGGGCAGAGTGGTGGGGCTGGGGTTGAGCGGGGCTGGATCAGTTACCCAGGGGTTGGGCTGGAAGATGCCAGCACCCTTCAGTTTTCCTTCTGTAGGGGAAACGAAGCCCAAAAGGAGTGATAAAGGGGAACAAGAGCTGGGTGGATCTGGTTCCAGGCTTTGCTCCTTGCCTGCTGCAGGGCTGTTGCTGCTTTAACCACCCTGTTTGTCCAATGCAGTGCTCTGTACCCAGGCACTGGGTGGCTTTGCAGTGCTTGAAGGGTGGCATTTGTGCATCTTCTGGCCAAGTGCAGTGATTCTGCTGGCTGATGTGCAAGGGGGCTGCCTTCCTCCTCCGAGACCTTTGGGATTTAATCATGAATACTTGGTTTTCTTTCTCTTGCAGTTCTTGACGTTGAAGCAGAGGCTGGGGGCTCCTGGAGGAGGCCAGTCCTGAGCATAAGGGGCACTTGTATTGGTGTGGAGAAGCTGTGGAGCTGCAGCACCAGCGTTGTGACATGGCCTCGTGGACAGCAGCAGCTCTGGGGAGCTCCAGCTTTCTGGGTTGACGTTTGCCACTTCAGGTGAATGCTGCCAGAAAGCCTTTTGTTTCTGTTAAATGTGACTGTTTGGCCAAAGCAGGGGTTAGACATCACTGTGAAGCCAGGAGGGGGTTGTGTGGCCTGGAGGGGTTCTCAGTGAGACCCCCTTCTACAAGAACCCTATTTCTGTTGGCTGAGCTGGATGGTCCTAGGGGCCAAACAAGGTTAGGAGGACTGTTGCTTGTGCTTGTTGTTGCTTGTCCACAGCTCATTGCTTGTGGTGGAACTAAAATCCCTGAAGGCAGAAGGTGCTTTGAACCTGCAGGAACAAGCTCTTCTGTGCTGACCTGTGTGTGATTCATACCAGTGTCTGAGCTGTGGCTCACATCAAATCTGACCTCCAGGACATGAGGCTTGGTTCCTAACTCGCGTATGGATGGCCATTGTAGCATCTCTCTGTGTGGCAGAGTGACCTGGACTGGTGCTTGAGGGGGCATGTAAGGAGCTGTGGGGTTTGGAGCTTTGTTTATACGTTCCTCTAGTCCAGGAGCATTCAGGGCCCCTCAGAAAGGGACTTTTGACGTGGTGCTGTGGTTTTTTACCCCACGTCTATGGTGGAAATGCTCTGCATTCCTGCTGCCTGAGCAGTCACTCTTGGCATGTGGTGGATGAATCCTTCTGGTCCTGAATGAATCATTTGTTTGTAAATAAAAACCTTTCCTGATGCTCGTCTCTGTTGATTCCTGGCTGGCTCCTGCCTTCTCCTGGGCAGAGCCAAGTGAGGCCATGATCCATTTCAACCCACAGCATCCTGTTCAGTGCAAAGGGTGGAGCATCTGCTGAGATGTGTATGTTTGATGCAGACAGCACAGAAACCCATCACACTTTGCAAGTGATGGCAAAGGGGTGGCAGCATCTGGACAGTGCTGCTGTGGATGGGATGTGAGCTGCTGCCGTCAAGATACTGGTGCTTACTGTGCCTCCAGGCATGCTAATCATAGAATCAGAGTGGTTTGGGTTGGAAAGGACCTTAAAGGTCCTCCAGCTCCAACCCCTTCCACTGGAGCAGCTTGCTCCAAGCGCCTGTGTCCAACCTGGCCTTGAACACTGCCAGGGATGGGGCAGCCACAGCTTCTCTGTTAAGTCTGAGCCTGGTGGCCACAGTGCCTGGTGAGGGAGCTCGCAGTGTTGGGTGTCTGAGCATTCAAGAGCCGTTTGGTTCCTGGTTTTCAAATCGAAAGCTGCTCTTCGGGTTGTTTGATGTGGCCTCCAGGCGGCCCCACAACTTCCTCCGGCTGGGCCTGCATCCATGGAGACAGCCACTCACCCCAGGCAGCGCTGGGAAGGGACAGTGGAGCCTGAGAGTGGCTGATCCGAGGGTCTGGGCTCAGTGGAGCTCTATTCCACTCCCCCCATTGCTCTGTGTGTGGGCAGCAGGGCTTCTGCTTGACGCCTGAGAGATGAGCTCCCGTGGCTTAGCCCTGGCACCTCCAGCCAAGAACGTGCTTGTGTATCGCAACGGTGACCCCTTCTTCCCCGGGAGGAGGTTTGTGGTGAACCAGCGGCGCTTCCTGACCTTGGAGGCCTTCCTGAACGAGGTGACCAAGGGCATCGATGCACCCGTGGCCGTGAGGAACCTCCACACCCCCCGGCACGGCCGCTGCGTGGCGGGGCTGGGGGACCTGCAGGACGGGTGCCAGTACGTGGCTGCGGGCTTGGAGAGGTTCAAAAAGCTTGAGTGAGTGGATGGGGTTTGGTGAGCAGCTTCCATGGGCTCTGTGGGGAGTGGATTGGGGGGTGAACAAAAAAGCTGAGGGAAAAGGGGGACAAAGCAAATGAGAAGCAGAGACAGGTTAGTGTCTGGAAACTATTAGACGTAGAATCATGGAATCAAGCAGGCTGGAAAAGACCTTTACGCTCATCCAGTCCAACCATTCCCAGCACTGCCAAGGCCACCACTAACCCATGGCACTGAGAGCATCGTCTTCATGGTGTGTGAACACTTGCAGGGACGGTGCCTGCAGCCCTGCCCTGGGCATGCTGTTCCAATGCCTGAGCACCCTCTGGGGAAGGAATTCTTCCTCAGCTCCATCTAAACCTGCCCTGGTGCAGCTTGAAGCCACATATTCCAGGTCAAAAGGAAAATGCAAATATTCCTGATAACATTTGATTCTCAGGAAGAAAGGGACTCTCATGTTCTCTGGCTGGATGTTGGGCTGGGTGCTGCTGAGCCTCCAGCACCCTGTGGTGTGGGGGAGCTTCTGCAGCTACTCTCTATCCATGAATAAATGCTTCTGCTTTGCTCTCATGGAAGTTTCTGTTTGCCAGTCCTGCACAGTGTGGAGCTGGTTTGGCTCCTTCTGAAATCGAGCACTCGGAAGGTTTTGTGACATCCCTTGGGAGGATGTGTCTGTGTGTTCTGTTGAGGGGGTGCTCCAGTCTGCACCAGCACCAGGCAGCCCTTGGAGCCTCCATCCAGCACAAAGGAATAAAACCTCCTGGATGCTGTATTTGGCTGGGAATTTCTTCAGTGTAGAGGCCTTTAATTTAGGTGGAAGTTCTGGGTCACCTGGGGAATGGGGACAGAAGGGACCCAAATAAGTGCCTGTGCACCAAGGCAGAGCAGTTGGGTGTTTTCTTCCTGTGTGTTGCAGCTGGTGGTGGTGTCTTTTTCTCACAGCTATTTAAATCATGGAAGGAAGGAGCTCCATGGGATGAAGCACAATGAGGGTCTGCAGGTGAGTCCCGGAGGTGATGGGTGCAGAGCAGCTGGGAGGTGTGGGGCATTGATGGAACTGAAGTTGTGGTTTAAGACTGTGAGGTGCCCAATGAGATCAGCTGGAAGTGCCACAGGAATCAGTGGGATGTGTGAGACAGCACAGGGGCTGCTGTTGCTGTTGCATCCCTTCATCCTCCTTAGGGGATGGATCTGTGCTCCTCACGCTCAGCTGTGTGCTGAGCCTCGCCAGCCTTGCTGTTGCTGGCAACAAACCCCTCCTAGCAGCAGCAGGGCTGCAGGCAGGGCTAGAGATGTCCCAGGGTGAGCAGATCCTGATGGAGGAAAGGGAACAGCCCTGGGAGGCTGTTCTCATGCACTGAACTCTGTCTCTAGCTCCACACTGCAGCTCCCTGGAAGTCGCGACGGCAGAAGGACACCCGCCCGCCGTGCACCATACAGTGAGTGCCTCAAGGTGTTCTCCTTGGAGGGTTTCTGGAGGAGGGAATTGCTCTGTGAGATCCTGGGAATGCTGCCCCATAGCGACAATCCCCAGCTTCTACCAGAAGTAGTTGTCATAAATCTTACCCAGGCATCAGCGGCTGCCTTTCCCCCTCCCCATCTTCCACAGCTGTGGGAATACCGGCTCATCGCCTGCTCCGGGTTGTTTCTTCCACAGTGTTTTCCGGAATGGGGATTTGCTGAGCCCTCCTTTCCCTCTGCCAGTCTCTAACAGCGCCCTGCTGCAGTGGGATTCACTCTTGGCCACGGTGACAGAGAAAGCCGCCCTGCACAGTGGAGCTGTCCATAGGTTAGTGTCTGGATAAGGCTCTGCTGGCTTCTCTTTCCTTCCATTCAGAACATAAGCAGCTCTGGTTCAGCAGGGGCTGGGAGCTCAGCCAGCCACTTCCAGTCTGCTTTTGCAAACTCCTCTGATTTTCAGGTTTTCCCACCTTTACATCAGAGATAACCCCAGTGCTTAGTGAGGAGGGCTGATGGTGCTGGTGGTCTGGTGAGAAAATAAGCTAACAGTAAAGCATGGGATAAAAAGGAGTTTATGTCTAGAGGGATGGGCTTTTATCCAAAACACAGAGCCTACCTTCCCCTCATACATCTGTTTACTGGCTCCCAAGGGAAAAGCTGAGGTCTCCTGTATCCCACTGGTCACTGGGTGTAGTATTTCTGCGTACTTCCCTGGAGTAGTATGAACAATGATTGATCCTCTGCCTTGTCTCATCCCTGTTTACCACTTGGCACTTGTTTGCTTCCATGCTGAGGGGTTGCTCTGGGTCTTGTCTCAGCTCTGAACCCTTTGCTGTCTCTTCCTTGAGGCTCTGCAGGCTGGATGGAACCTGGGTGTCTGGTGGAGAGGAGCTGGTGGATGGCGGATACTACGTGGCGGTGGGAAATGAGGAGTACAAGAAACTGCCTTACTTTGAGCTGCTGGTGCCCCAGGATCCTGCCAGGAGGACACTGTGGTATGTAGACTGCAGCCGAGTGGCTTAAAGAATCCTCTCTGTGGTCTTCAGCTAAAGCCATCCCTTTTGTGTCTCTTCTGTCCGGTGCTGTCTGCTTCAGGGCTTGAGTTTTGCTTCATGTGTTGGTAGTTTAGGAACAAATAACATGTTTGCAAAGCTCTCAGTGTAGAGGCACTGAAGAGCATCAGCCCATGAGGCTGGGCACTGAATCTGCTGCTTTTTTACAGGAACCACCCAAATAACAGGCGCAAAAGGCACCGCCAGAGGGTGAGTGGCTCAGCTGGCATGGAACTGTGTGTGCTACCATCACTGTTGTTGCTGCCCCATTCCTCCACAAGCAGTGGATGTGTCCAGTGATCTCCATTCCCAATTGCCATGGCTACGGTACCCTTGCTTGCACCACTCCCAAAGGAATGGTGCTAGAGACACATTATATTGGAGGTGATGCACGGTTCTGCCTAGGAAGGCTCTTTGGATGAATTAGAACTTCAAAGGGAAATGACTCCTTTGAACTTAAAGGAGAGAAAGGTCTAGTAAAGAATGAGGTGATGGTTCCTCAGGGGGGAGCCTGCTGTGCTGAGTTTGCTCTAGAGGCTGGGCAGCATTTCTCAGTGGTTGGGCACTGTCAGCCTTTCCCCCACTGTTGTTAATATTTGAGTGTCACAGCTCTCCTTTGCAGTGGGACAGAATCATTAGGGGTTAACTAAACTACCTCTGAATGAAGTGTAGAGACCCAAATTTACATACCAAAGCCATAAGACTGGAAAGGGAATCCTGGAATTTAGTCCCAGGATCTTTCTGTAATAGTGAGGTGTGACATTAATTTCTTTCTCAGCACAAAAAGGCACAGGCTACAGGCACATCACAAGAGGCTGTGGCAAGGAAAAGGGATGCCAGTGACTCTGAGGATGACAAGCACCAAACGATGCTGCCGCTGGCAGGGAAGAGCTGGGAGGAGTTGGCAGAAGAAGTGTGATGGGAGAAGAGGTACATTCAGGTACACCTCTACCTGCACAGCTGCAGTAACAGCAGCATGTGAATCCCAGACTGCTTGACTACCAGGGCCTGGCCAGGCATTCTGATGGATTCACAAACTCGCCCAAAATCAAACATCCTCATCATCTGGGCTTGAGCAGCACAGTATCAGTGAGCAACGCATCAGATGCACAATATTGTTAAATGATGATCTTTCCCCTTTTCTGCTGCTTGTCTGAACTCTAATTCAGCTGGTTTGGATCTGAACTTGGGAAGGAGGAATAACTAAATAGAATACATGCCTTTTACACTTTTCTCAACCAGGAACTTTATTCTATGTCAGATATTTCTTATAATGAGATGCCATTGCATCACCATCCCTCTGCTTTGGAATGCTCGGATGGTGTTTGCACCAATCAAACCCATTCCCCAAAACTGTATATATATTTCATTCCTGTGAACTTGTTTTGGGAGCAGCTGCCTGATTTCAGAGGAGTCATGGTAATAAACTGCTCTTGGATTGACCCTCCTTGTGCAAAGGGTTCTGTATTTTCCTCCCTAGTGCTTTTGATTACAAAAACCACTTTCACAAGCTTGGCCACAAAACCAGAGTTCTTCAATAGATTCCTTCTATATAAAGTTCAATTGGTCAATGTTAAACAGTTTATTAATCATTTATTATCCCTCCAGTGATGAACAAGATGATTCAATCCTCCTTGCCTTGAAACACCCCCAGGTAAGAAACTCCTTGACCCAAGATATGAACCAGGGTGTCCTAGCAACATGCCTGGTTCACCCTGGTGCTCAGGGAACACGCTCCATGCTTTGACACCTGTGTATCAAAATAGAACTTCTGGGTCTGCTGCTGAGCCAGAAGCCCCCCTTCAGCCACAGGGGGTTGCCTTAGAACAGGTTCTCTTCCTCTGCTTCTCACTGCAGCTTGCTCATGAACCAGCCATGATTCCAAGGGGGGTGAGCAGCATTCCTCCTGCAGCCCCTGCGGAAACTTTGGCTGGCAGAATCTAAACCTACCAGAGCGGGTCACAAGTCCTCAGTCGCAGGATAAGTGACAGCTTGTTTGGGGTGGTACCGTGGGGACTCAGCCAGAAGACGCTGCCTAATGCCTCCTGACCCACAGGGCGCGTGTGATGCTCCAGTCGTGGTCCTCCTGATGGTCCCTACGCATGTCCCCGCTTTCTGTTACCGGAGAGGCTCCTGTTGTGCTGTTTAATTCCACCATCTACTGGTCATTGCTGGGGATGACACCGAGCAGGCACTGCTGGGCAAGGCCAGAGGCCAAGAGCCACCGCAGGACCACACACATCTTACCCACCTCTTGCTCCTCCGTTATATGACATCTTCCGCAGGATCTGCCCAAAGCCCTTCGTGACCCGGGGTTACAGACGGGACCGCTTTGCACTTTGGGGAAAACCTGATCACGTTCTCAGCACAAGTGCATTAATCCTGCCCATGGGAACTGAAGGACCTGTCCCGCAGACACGAAGGGAATGTGCTGCTGCGTGGAGGTGGGGATGGACCCCACTCGTGGAAGATTTTCTGCCCCTGGTCCTATTGTTCCTCAATGCATAGCTGCTCCAGCATCTCCATGGTGTACTCTGGGCTCTCTCCAACAGCTCCACGTGCCTCTTGTGCTGTCCCTGGATCAGGGCTGCAGGGGGGTCTCCCCAGAGCACAGCAGAGGGGCAGGATCCCCTCCCTGAGCTGCTGCTCATGCTCTGGGGGTACAGCCCAGCACACGGGGGGGCTCTGGGCTCAAGATCCAGCTCATGGGGAGCTTCTCATTGACCAACACCCAAGTCCTCCTCCTCCAGGCTGCTCTCACTGTGTTGATATGAGGGGTTACCCCCCCCAGCTGCAGGACCCTGCTTTCCTTTCCAGTGCTGACTGGGCAGGGGGGAGGCTTCTGGTGCCTTCAGTTTCTTGGTTTAATTTTATTTCCAAATGATACAGTGTTCTGTATCAGGTCATAGAACAGTCAGCATTGGAAAGGGCCTTAAAGCTCCTCCAGCTCCAACCCCTGCCACAGGCAGGGACCCCTTCCACTGGAGCAGCTTGCTCCAAGCCCCTGTGTCCAACCTGGCCTTGAGCACTGCCAGGGTTGGGGCAGCCACACCTTCTCTGGGCACCCTGTGCCAGCGCCTCAGCACCCTCACAGGGAAGAGCTTCTGCCTCAGAGCTCAGCTCAGTCTCCCCTCGGGCAGGTTCAAGCCATTCCCCTTGGCCTGTCCCTACAGGCCCTTGTCCCAAGCCCCTCTCCAGGTTTCCTGCAGCCTCTTTATGCTGCTGCCCCAGAGCTGGATCAGGGCTGCAGGGGGGGTCTCCCCTTCACACAGCAGAGGGGCAGGATCCCCTCCCTGAGCTACTGCCCACGCTCTGGGGGTGCACCCAGCACACGGGGGGGCTCTGGGCTCAAGCGCTCACTGAAGCCGGGTCATGGGGAGCTTCTCATTGACCAACACCCCAACTCCTCCCCCTCAGGCTGCTCTCACCGTGTTGAACCGGGGTCACCCCCCCCGCAGGTCCCTGCTCTCCCCTCCCACCTCAGCCCCCTGAGGGGAAGGGAGGGGCGGGGCGATAGCGGCGCCGTTCCCGCCTCCCTCCAACTGCGCCTGCGCCGAGCCGCGACTTGCGCCTGCTCCGGCTCCCGCGCTGCCCTCCGAGCCGGCCGGCACGAGTTCACCCCCCCCCCGCCCCGGGTCGGGTCCGCTCCGCTCCTCACGGCGGGCACAGGTGAGGGGCGGCACCATGTGGGGAGCGGGGCGGGGGGGAGCGGGCGGGACCACGTGGAGCCTTGGGGGGGGGGAGGTTGAACGAGCCGGGGGGCCGCGGCGGGAAAGGGCGGGAAGCGGCCCTCAGTGACAGGCGCTGAGCGGGATGGCGGGGGGGGGCAGAGCCGTCGCTGAGGCGCTGTCGGTGTCGGGCAGCGAGGCCGATGAAGTACATCCTGGTGACGGGCGGCGTGATCTCGGGCATCGGCAAGGGGATCATCGCCAGCAGCATCGGCACCATCCTCAAGTCGTGCGGGCTGCATGTCACCTCCATCAAGATCGACCCCTACATCAACATCGACGCGGGCACCTTCTCCCCCTATGAGCATGGTGGGTGCTGCGGGCGCCGCGGGGTGCGGGTGGGGGGGCCTGGCCTGGCCGGAGCCACCTCCGGTGTGTGGTGGGGGAAGCCTGGCCCTGCAGGCCTCAATGGAGCGGTCCCCTTTGTTACAGGCTCTCCTCAGCTCGCTGCATCAACCAAAGGAGGTGTTTTCGTACGTTGAATTCTTCACAGGCAAACCATTGACCGTTTCCCACTGACATGCGTGCCTTTGTGCTGCAGGGGAGGTGTTTGTGCTGGATGATGGAGGGGAAGTGGACTTGGACCTGGGGAACTATGAGCGCTTCCTTGACATCCGACTCACCAAAGACAACAACCTGACCACTGGGAAGATCTACCAGTATGTCATCAACAAGGAGAGGAAGGGAGACTACCTTGGCAAAACTGTCCAAGGTGATGTGAAGCTTCGTTTCTGAGGCTTAGGAATATATCCTGCGTTTCTGTCCTGGTTTTGCATTGCATCTTGAGGTCTTTGATGTGTCCTGGTGACGGTTTTGGGTTGATTTTTAGAAGAGGCAGTAGTGCAGGTGTGCTGGTGTGTGCCATACTGGACCAGTGCACCTTCCAGTGCTCAGTAACATAATGCCTGTATGCTGGCCTTGTAGCCAATGCTAAGTGCGAACAGACTTCAGGCTGATACAGCTCTGCATTGTTTGGTTGCTGGTTAAAATGGTTATTGCTTTTGGTAACTATCGTGGCATTAGGAAACCCAGAGGATCTTGGTGTTTTGCATCAGTCCCTTCCCTTTTTAAGCATTCTCCACAGCTGGTTTGGATAAGGACAGTTTAAAACACTCTGTTCAGAGCAAAGAAGTGTTTGTACACAAATCTTCCATCTTACAGGAAATGTTTACGTGTGTTTAAACTCAGGCAGGGTTACATTGCCTGCCAAGGCACTGCTAGAACATCACAGCCAAGAAGCACTGCAAAAATGGATCCTTCTTTAAAGAGACAAATCCCTGCTCGAGTCACATGGGAAGCAGTGGCTAGTTATGTGCTCTTTAATGAGCTAGAGGGAGAAGTGTGTGTGGGTTGTGGCTTTAACCCTGCCTGGGTTTCTTTTCCAGTTGTTCCCCACATCACAGATGCAATACAAGAATGGGTAATGAGGCAGGCACGGATTCCTGTGGATGAAGATGGCATTGAACCCCAAGTTTGTGTGATTGAGGTTTGTGGCTCTTAAAAAGTACTTTTAGCTTCTTGCATGGAGTAAACTGACATGAATATTTTAACCTGAATATTTATTATTAACATTCAACTCTGCTTGTTGAGTTGGTTAAAAATCCTTCTTGTTACCTTCACCTATTCAGCTAATCTTTTGAATGCTCTCTGCCTGAATCTGCACGCAGAAAGGCTTAGGTCTTGGGCAGTTATTAGATGCTTTGCTCTCTAGTGTAATGTGCATTAGTCTATAGGGTGAATAGCTCTTGTAACTTGTATGCCAAAGTCTGAGTTGATCATGCTGTGCCCTCTCCTTCCCTGATGGTTTGAGGGGAGTGGGGGGTAGGTAAATCACCCCCAGGAAACAGTAAAGGAAGCCTTGGAGACACTAGTGCAAGTATGGACACAGAAAAGGGAAAGGCAGAAGTTAGTGGTGACAAACCCCGTGCATTGTCCTGTGTGCTGTATGGGACATGCTGCTGCTGGAGGAGGCAGAGGAGGAGGGTGAAGGCTCTTGAGAATGCTGAGCTGGCTGGTGAGATGTGCTAACGCAGGAGAGAGGGAGCTTGTCAGGGTGCCCAGGTCATGCTGACTTAGACTCGATGGGGCCTGAGTGCCAGTTTCTGTTCCAGAACTCACGAGCCTGCATCCTGGATTACCTTGGAAGCATGATCTGACAGCACAGAGGCTGTCCGTGCTCCAGAGAATGCCTTGCCTCTGTTCCTGCATCTGTCCACAGCTACCCTGGAGAGTCACTAAAACTTGACACAAATTTTGCTTCTCAGTGCCACTTGATGTTCAGAAATGATAATTTTAACATTTCAGTCTTTTCCCTGAAGAGAGAATAGAGGCAAAGCCAAGGTCCCTGGAGAGGGCTGCCCGGGTGGGAAGCTGTGTTTCCTGTGGCTTTTTGAGTCTTTTTTTTTGTGAACTCATGAAGGTAAAATAATAGTTGGGGTAGATGGGAGGCTGTGGAGGTTGTACATAGAGCTGGCAACTCCTCGTGCTTTTTGTAATGGTGTTGATGCTTCTTGAGGGAATTGGAGGGAGGTGCTGGGGAGATGTTTTAGTGTCCTTTTATGTGTCATAGAATCATATGAATCCTAGAATGATTTGGGTTGAAGTGTCCTTGAAGCTCATCCAGCTCCAACCCCTGTCACAGGCAGGGACCGCTTCCACTGGAGCAGCTTGCTCCAAGCCCGTGTCCAACCTGGCCTTGAACATTGCCAGGGATGGGGCAGCCACAGCTTCTCTGGGCACCCTGTGCCAGTGCCTCAGCACCCTCACAGGGAAGAGCTTCTGCCTAAGAGCTAATCCAAACCTCCCCTCTGTCAGTTTAAAGCCCTTTGTCCTATTCCTACATGTATTTTGTAGTGTACAGATTCACTGGGGGCTGTTTTGGAACTAACTTGCAATGGTTTGTCTCTGTCAGCTCGGTGGGACGGTGGGTGATATTGAGAGCATGCCTTTCATTGAAGCTTTCCGCCAGTTCCAGTTCAAAGCCAAAAGAGAGAATTTCTGTAACATTCATGTCAGTCTGGTTCCCCAGGTAAGGACCCCAAAGGTTTTGGTGCTCAGGGGCTTCCCCAGTCCAAAACTTGCTTCCTACATATGTGTTTCTGAAATGCTGTATCTGTAGCACTGTCACATTTGTAGTTCTGTTCTGAAGTGAACAGAAACTTTTCAAAGTATGTAATAAGTGGCTGGGAGTTGCAGCAAGTGCAGTTTTGCATCTTTAACTGCTGGGTTTTGCTGTGGAATTGTCTCCTAGCTTGTGCAGGTAAACCTGCTTTCTAGAGCTGAAAACTTTCCCTTCATTTGTGTAGCCTTTCATTTCTGCACAGCTCATGGAAAGTTCAGGGATGCAGCCAGACTTGACAGTCATTTGGCCTTATTAACAAAAACCCATGCCAAGCTCTTCCTGGAGTTCTTTATTCTCTTGCTGTGTGTTTCTCTCACCCCAAGATTTACATTAACTGTAGTTCATGAAATGGGGTTGGGTTACTTTTGTAATTTCCAAACATAATACTGTGCTTTGAAACATAATCTGTTGTGGTTTTTTTCTTTTCCCTAGACAATGTTTTTAATGTATGTTTTGATCTTTAATAGTCGTTTCATAGACTCTCACATCTGACTGCTGTGTAAAGCCATTCCAGTCAGAGTGGATATTGCTTTTGGTTCAGAGATTCAGCTAAGAAGCAGTGCTATGATAAGAATCAGTTTATCAGGCATCACAAAGAAAATCAGAATATCCTTATGTGCCAAGCAAATGGGGTGAAATGCAATTAATATCAAAAGCATATGAAGGCATTTTATACCATATAATGACTGATAGAACCTCATCTGTCTTATCTGCTATGATTTTGGAGACAATTTATAGCCTTAACCAAACAAAAAAATCTTTGCTGCAGGAATCCCTGCTGAAAAAATCTCTTCCATGGTTATGTGAAAGGTACTGGAGAGCACGTGTCTTCCTTGGCAGCTGATAGAGCAACTTGATGGTTACTGGAGTGCAGATCAGTCTCTGTTCTCTTCTCTCTCTGTCTTCTTTCCCTTTCTGTTCAGGCCAGGTGATTTCTTGAGGGGGAAAAAATAGAAATATAAAATGTTAGGTATTTGGAGGGAGCAGTGGATAAAAGCCTCTGTTCTCTCTTTCCCTCACTGTAACACATACCTGCTTACTGTCCAGACTTGAACCCTGGTCTCTGCTGGTTGCTTTCAGGCTTTGAAATGAAAATGATGGTGATTAAAGTTTGTGTGAATTGTCTGAGAGCAGGGTTAAAGCTTTTACAAAATGATTTGGGTGGAGAATCCTAATTCTGATGAATCATTGCTACATATCATCCTAATTTGACATACCAACTTCTGCTCTTCTCTGACCAGCCAAGCTCTACAGGAGAGCAGAAGACTAAACCTACCCAAAACAGTGTTCGTGAACTCAGAGGTCTTGGTCTCTCACCAGATCTGGTAAGGTTTGCTGCACGGCTTTGGGTTTAAAAATGCAGTACTGGCATGTTGCAACAGCATCCTAGAATAAATAATACTGAGATTGAGAGCTTCTTTATGTTGAGAATAAACAAGTGGAAGTAACTAAATGGGTTTTTTTCCCCAAAGACAGCTGCTTTAGGGGTTTGTTCCAGGAATGTTCGAGTTCTGCTTCACAACCTTGATGTTGCTGTTCTGTTAGATTGTTTGCAGGTGCTCCACTCCTTTGGATACCTCAGTAAAAGAAAAGATTTCCATGTTCTGTCATGTTGAACCAGAGCAGGTAAAGATTGCTGTCTGCACTTCCATGCAATAAATATTGTAGCTGTTTGTCAAATGCTGAGTGGAGTTGTATCTGAACTTGTGTTCTAGCTGTGTCTTTTGTTAGCTGCATAATTCATTTGCTGCTTTGTCTTGCCTACATTCCTTACGCATGGAACTGTTGCAAAAAGAGTCCTTTTTATGCCGGCACCCAGGTTTCCTTAGAAGGTACTTAGCACAGACATAGAGATCTCTCTGGAATCCGAAATATGTTCTGAATAGTTGTTTTTGACCTTAGTTATCCTTCCACATTCCTTCCGTGAATACAGGAGAATGGGACTTGTCAGGATTTAGAGGCCAAAGCGTAGTTGCTTAAAATGAGGCTTAAGGGACACATAAATGTATTTCATACATGGCTCTTTTCATGATACTATTTTTCTGCCTGTTTTCGTGAGGAGAGGTTGCACAGAGCAGTTGAAGTGATGTTGGAGAGAAGCACTGCTTCAGTGTTCGGTGATAGGCAGTAACTCCATGTTAGCATGAGTCTTTTTATATTGAGACCACCCTGCATAGCACAGTCTGAGGCAGACCTTGACAAACAGTCTGGAGGCTAAATACTAGCACTTTCCAGTGCAGCTGGAGCTTGAAAACATTGATGGGTTTGGGAAAGACTGAGCATCACATCACAGTTCCAGGCTCTGGCAAGTCATGATTTCCTCTACCATGAGATCAAACTGAGTCTCTTGCAGTTTCGAGTGTTACATTCAGAATTACCTGGCAATAGCATTGCTGTGTCAGCAGTACAACACTTACCTCTTGCTGGCCAGGAACTGGAAGGAAGGCTCTTTTGTCAGGCACTTTCCAGGAAGTTTGATGCAGTTTCATGTAGCTGTTTCTCTGCAGCTGCACTTGGATCAAGAAGCAGATGCTGTTGACTGTAAAGGAGGAAAACTTGCAGCCCTAAGGGTTTTACTGATTGAACTCTGCTTTCATTTGAGTCAGGAGAAACAAGGGTTTAAAAATAGTTGTGCCAGTGTATTTTTGATCCTTAAAGTACAGTCTCATTCCTGATGGACAGGAGACAGTTGTCCAGAGCTGTCTTTCCTTTTCTGAGAAAGCCTGTTTCAGTGAACTGGAACTGTTGGTGCAGGTAGTCCTCATTGGCCACAGAATTCTTAGGTGTTTAATCCTCAATTTGATGAAGGATGCCCTGTAAAGTTTATTGCTGTGGTAAGATCCCAGATTTTCCTGGGCTTTAATCGAACTGAGAGTCAACAGTAGTGGGAAGTAGGGAAACTGGGCTCGAGGTCAGTTTAACTGTAGTTGCAATTTGGATTACCAGGAAGGCTGTATCATAGCAGAAGGCTCTTTGAAGCATGCTTTGGACTTTGCTATGTGCTTGCATAACGTGCAGAGCAGCTGACTTTCTTTCTGCTGGCTTATGTGTAAAAGCCCTTCCTAAGGAGCTGCAGTGAGCAGGAATACCTGGGAAGTGTTGAAGGATGACCTTTCCAAGTACATGGAAACTAGCAATAAAGGATTCATGTTATGTACTCAACATGTTATTTCCTGGAAGTCTAGGTGATCAGATGGTTGTCTGCTCGAGACAAAAGGTCTCTGATACCTGTCTAAAAATAATTGCTCAGGCACTTAGGTCTGTTTTAATGACACTCCATTTTCTGAACAGGTCATCTGTGTTCATGATGTCTCTTCTATCTACCGGGTTCCTCTGTTGTTAGAGGAGCAGGGAGTCGTGGACTACTTCAGGCACAGGCTTGACCTTCCCATTGAGAGGCAGCCCAGGAGGATGCTCATGAAGTGGAAGGAAATGGCTGACAGGTGAGCTGCAACTGGGCATGGTAAGAGTTCAGACTCTGGATTAATTTTCCCTTCTTGGTTGTAGCTCATTAGGCGTTGAGTGTTGCTTTGTATTCCTCATGTGTACTTAGTGCTCAAATTTGTTTCTTCTTTTCCACTGCAAAAAAGCATTTTTCTTCCTACACTTTAACTGGAAAAAAAACCATCTTCAGTATGAGAATCATAGAATCCCAGTCTGCTTTGAGTTGGAAGGGACCTTAATGCTCATCCAGTTCCACCCCCCTGCCATGGGCAGGGACATCTTCCACTAGACCAGGTTGCTCCAAGCCCCATCCATCCTGGCCTTGAACACTGTGTAGGGAGATGCTGTATGGTATAACCGTATGCAGAGGGGTGCTTTGATCCTAAGAGTTCACTGCAGACTTTCAATCTGATACAGCTTTCTGAAGAGACAGTTTGGATCTACTCAGAATGGCTATGCAGCACAAGAAGAGATGAGTTAATTTATACGTGACTTTCTGCAACTATTTTTCTCTGTCAGTGTTATTGTTTTTTCCTTCTTTTAATCTTGCTTTGATGTTTTTCAGTCATAATTCTTGTAAAAGGTCATGTCTTCCAAAGCCATCATCTCTCTGCTTGGCCAGGCTTTCAAGAACCCAACTGTTTATTTTACTTGAAAAGCTTGGCTAGAATGCAAGTGATTCTTGGCCCCGTTTCCTGTTGATGATGAAATAACCCTGTGTTCTGGTTTTGTGTAGGTATGACCGCCTCCTTGAGACGTGTTCCATTGCTCTTGTTGGCAAATACACCAAGTTTTCAGACTCATATGCGTCTGTCATTAAAGCACTGGAGCATTCTGCACTGGCCATCAACCACAAACTTGACATTAAGGTAAGGCTGGGGGCGTGTGTGTCTAACAAATCAGTCCCCTTCCTTCCACCTGCAGTGCTTTCCATCTTAACTGAGCTCTTCACAAACCCACAGACAGAAAGGGAGAGTTGATTCAGGCAGTGAACTTTAAAATAGTCTGTGGATTACAGCATCAGACATCTGTGGCCAGGCATAAACCGGCTTCAGAGCAAAGCATCCTGTGACATAGGTGTGTTGACTGGGCTGAACCAAAAGGAGCATGAGCAACAGGTTGAAGGAGGTGATCCTGCCTCTCCATTCTGCTCTTGTGAGACTCCACTTGCAGCACTTTGTGCAGTTCTGGTATCCCCAGTATAAGAAGGACATGGAGCTGCTGGAGCAAGTCCAGAGGAGGCCACGAGGATGATCAGGGATTTGAGCACCTCCCGTATGAAGATGGGCTGAGAACACTGGGGCTGTTCAGCCTGGAGAAGGGGTGAAGGGTTTAAACTGAAATGGGAAGTTCAGGTTAGGTATAAGGAAGAAGCTCTTCCCTGTGAGGGTGCCGAGGCACTGGCACAGGGTGCCCAAAAAAGTGGTGAATGCTCCATCCCTGGCAGTGTTCAGCCGTCTGGTGGTTGCTTCCACCATGGTAAGTGGGAATATGATACAGTCAATCTGCCAGGCATCCCTATATTTATACTTCAGTGGTCCCATCTCACTGTGCCCCATTAAGACTTCACATTCAGTGAGTCTGGGGCTCATGGACTTTATGTCAGAGCAGAGCTGCAGGGAGGGGAAGACAGAAACCCCACAGCTGCTGTTTGTGTACTGGGAGCAGGGTGGTGGGAGAAAGCAGGCAGGAAATCAGCCCAGGAAACAATAAGCAAGTATCCAGTAGGAAACAAATCCAGAGTTATGGTTGGACTTGATGATCTTAAAGGTCTTTCCCAACCTGGTTGATTCCATGATTCTGTATCTTCAATGAGCATTAAGGAGACCCTCTGCACTGCTGTGGCAGCACCTCATCACCCTTTGTTGGATCTCTTTGTAGTACATTGACTCTGCTGACTTGGAGCCGGATACCCTGCGGGAGGAACCTGTCCGCTACCATGAAGCATGGCATAAGCTCTGCAGTGCTGAGTAAGACTCTTAAGCTCTGCCCATTTCTTTGGAGCATGTCTGGTAAACTTGCTGCTATGGATAGTTTTGGGATTACGAGCATCACTGGATGCTGTTTTCTCTGTGTGTGTGTATGTGTCAGCACGCTCTGAGATTGCCCCATGTGTCTCTCAATGAAATACAGGATCAGATGTAAAATGGAGAGTTGCTGAATAAGTGAGGGAGTTTGTGAAAGGCAGCAGTGGCCCTTCCAGTGCCTAAAGGGGCTGACAAGAAAGCTGGAGAGGGACTTTTTACAGGAGCAGATGGTGATAGGATGAGGGGGAATGGCGTTAACCTGACAGAGGGCAGGTTTGGATTAGATCTTAGGAAGGGATGCTTCCCTGTGAGGGTGCTGAGGCACTGGCACAGGGTGCCCAGAGAAGCTGTGGCTGCCCCATCCCTGGCAGTGCTCAAGGCCAGGTTGGACACAGGGGCTTGGAGCAAGCTGCTCCAGTGGAAGGGGTCCCTGCCTGTGACTGGGTTGGAACCGGATGACCTTCAAGGTCCTTTCCAACACAGAGCAGTATGGGATTCTGTGATCATGCAGGTGAGGATGTGCACAGACTCAGTGGGTGAACAGGGTGAGAGCAAATAGGGGGAAAGGGTAAGTACTGGTAAGGGCTGTTAAAACCAAAGAGGGAGGATGGAAGATGTAAATGGGGTATAAAGTTCTTTAGGAAAGAGGTGTGAGAAGGGAAAAGGTGTTGGGATGCAGAGGAGTGCCAAGAGTTAGCCCAGAAAATGAGAGCAAGTCGGGCATGTGAGCCCCTAGGGAAGCAGGTTTCGGGGATAGCAGGAGAACAAAGAACCTCTTGCAGAGTGTAGGAGGTTCTCCTTCATTCTGTCTGCTCCTTGTGTCTGCAGATAGGACAACCTGACACTGCAGCTAGCAGCTTCCTCCGCAGGGGCCTGGCTGGCCTGCATTTGCTGTAGAGTCATGCAACGTGACCCATTCTGGTGCTGAAACCTGCACTGGATTTGGGATTTCCTGGGCAGGTAAAAGTTGCATTTGTAAGATGTTTCCCTGAAAATTCTGTGGCATTTTATGTGGCAGCTCATGGGAAGTCACATGGAAAGCATGCTGCAGGCAGGCCTTGCCCTGGAGGTACTTGGAAGCTCTTTTCACCAGTGAGGTCTTGCAAGCCCAGGATTTTATGTGAGAGAGGGAGTGCGTGATGGGGAAACCAGGCTGCTGAGCCCCATTGACCAGAATCTTTTCATCCTCATGCAGTGGAGTTCTGGTTCCTGGAGGATTTGGTGTTCGAGGGACAGAAGGCAAAATTCAAGCTATTTCCTGGGCAAGAAAACAGAAGAAACCCTTCTTAGGTGAGAAACGTGTTCCATGCATGAGAAGAAATAAAGAAAAGGAAGAGGTTGAGTAACAGCTTTACTGGTCTGCAGCAAGAGCTTCACTGATCAGTATCTAGAATGTGCAGTTTGAAGAGGATTGGCTGAGTTAAGGCTAAGCTTAACTGGATGACTGCAGTTAGCTCTGTTGTGGTCAGAGTTGGTTGGGATGACAAGGAGTCTCTGTAATGAGGGGATTGGGATCTCACAGGAGGTTCCAGAGAAGGCTGTGATGATCTTGGCATGAAGAAATATGTGACTGCATTTAAATGAAATGGATGTGGTGAGAGATGGGGGATGTTGTGTGAGCAGAGTGGTGTGGAGTAAAACCTGTCTGAACCAGACCCCCACATCCAAGTCGGAGGTTTGTCTCAGCCAGGTTTTCCTCTGACTTCACTCTGTGTATGTGCTCAGCGATTTGGGCTCAGTGGTCCTTGGCCTGAACTCTGTTCTCCATTCTTTCTGCAGGAGTTTGTTTGGGAATGCAGCTGGCCGTGGTGGAGTTTGCACGCAATATTCTCGGGTGGCAAGGTAACTGCACAAAACCCTCCCTGGTTTTGGTTGTTTTTTGCTTCAGCAACACCTTGTCATTTATAAAACCTGCCATTCTTTATTTGTCATTGGTAGATAAATTTCATCTTTTTCTAGGCCTGTAAAATTCCCCATCTCCTTTGCTAATTCAAAGGAAAAAGAATGATTTCCTTACCTTGTTCACATAAAAGTCAATGGAGTAAGGCATACTTGTAATGCTGGAACATTGCCTTGAATGTGTGCTTTTCCTGAGTGACCCACTCTTTCATCACTGATGGCACTGGACTGGTTGCCCTGCAATGGGGGACCAGGCAGCCTCAGAAATTGCTGAGGTCCCTCCACTGCTCTCTGGGGCTGAGCTGGCAGCTCTGTGCAGGCGAGTGCTCAGCACCTACAGCTTTCTGTTTGCTGGGGTGCAGGGAGGAGATGCAGCTGTACCTGGGGCACATCCTGTAAGTGCATTTCATGGCCTGCGGGACTCTGTGGTTCTGACTGATGAATGTTAACTTTGCAGATGCTAACTCGACAGAATTTGACCCCAAAACTGCTCATCCAGTGGTGAGTTTCTGGCAGCTTGCTTTTAATATCCTTTCTGGGCTTGAGTTCTCTACAGATAAGAGCTTGGAGTATTCTGTCTTGTGGCTTCTGTCTTCCACCATTTACTAACCTGAAATGAAAATGTCTTTGCCCAGTTACCTGTATGGTAATCTTCAAAGGAGACTGCAATGCTTATTATAGGTGAAACACTAATCTTTTTAAGTTTTTTTATGTTTAATCACACATTTTCGTAAAGCAAAGAGGGAGCACATTCTTCAAGGGCAGTTTGAAAGCTGATTTCACAGAGTAGATGCTAAAGATGTGGTGGTATCTGGATTCCAGTGCATAACTGTTTAATTATGAGCTCAGAAATCAACACAGACACACATGAATTCCTTGGAACATCTGTGGATGGATTTCTGACCTTGCATTTCTCAGGCTGCAGGCCCTCTGCGCCTGTTCCAGACCCCAGCATAATGCCTGGTTCCTCTATAGTTTAGAAAGTTACTCAGAAGGAAAGCATTCTCAAAAAGCAGCTTATGAAGTTATCAGACTCTTAAGTGATTCTGGTGATGTGGGGGTTTTGTCTCTGTAAATCTGCTTGGGTTTGTTTAACATGTAGTTCAGTAAGTGGCACAGGATTAGTGTAGGCTTTGACTGACACCATTTCCTCTGCTAAAGCTTCCTGAACACCCACAAACCTTCCTGATCTGCACAGCCTTTACTAGAATAGCTCAGCTGACTAATCCAGTCCTATTGGTCTGCCTTGAGGGACAGGGTCCCTTAGGGTGGGTTGCCTGTTTTCTGGGTGGATGTTGTTCTGTTTTCCCCCTTTAATATCCCAGAGACTGCCTGGGACTGTCATTCCTTCCTCATTCTCACTTCCCTCTTGGGATGCTTTTTGCAGGTCATAGACATGCCAGAACACAATCCTGGGCAGATGGGTGGGACCATGAGGCTTGGCAAGAGAAGGACACTCTTCCATACCAAGAATTCAATCATGAGTAAGGCATTTCTTACCTCTTTTGGAAGTGTTTCCTGGGAATGGCATGTATGTAGGGTGGGTTTGGGAAGTGAGACCTGGGAATGTTAAAGCATCTGTGAGTGGGGATTGCTCTGGTGGTGGAAGGGAGATCAGTGAATTTGGTCCCTCTGGAAGTGGCAGATCCTGATGGATGCTGTTCATAAGAACTTGGCATTGTGCAAACTGTTTGGCATCTGCTCTTAAGAAACGCCTTCCTTTTGGTGTAGGGAAGCTGTACGGAGATCACGACTTCCTGGAGGAGAGACACAGACACAGGTTTGAGGTAAAAATGCTACTGGAGATAGAGAGCTTGTCTGTGTAATCCAGATGTGAGAGATCATGGGGTTTCTTCCTTCTGGTCTTCTAGGTCAACCCAGAACTGAAGAAGTGTTTTGAAGAGCAAGGTTTGAAGTTTGTAGGCCAGGATGAGGAGGGAGAGCGAATGGAAGTGATTGAGTTGGAAGGTGAGCACTTAACCAACTCCTTTGGGTGCAGGTCACAGGCTTGAAAGCCTTGACATGAAGGTTTTCTCTTTCTTTCCCTAGAGCATCCTTTCTTCGTTGGGGTTCAGTATCACCCTGAATTCCTCTCCAGACCCATTAAGCCATCTCCTCCCTACTTCGGCCTCCTCTTGGCCTCTGCAGGAAGACTCACACATTACCTCCAGAAGGGCTGCAGGCTCTCACCCAGGTAGGTTGAAGGAAGATGCCAGTCAGGCCTTTGAGAGGGCAGTGCTGCTTCCTATAGGATAAACTGGAGAATCCTCTTGGCACTGAGTTACTGTGGGGTATAGAGGGGGATTTGCAGCACCTCTTCTTTCCAGTCCTTCTTGGAAAGCTCTTGTCTTGCATTGTAAGATTTACTGTAGGGCCTTAGAGCTGTCCCACAGCCAGCTCCCATCTTCAGGGAGACCAACTCCATGGTCCTAGGGACAGGTTGATCGTTGAACCTTGTTCCTAATGGGCCCTGGTGGAGCAGCTTCTGTTTTCCTGCTGACTTAAGCTTTCTTCTGTCTCAGTGTGCAGAGCACCTGATGTTCTGGGTACACTTAATGGTGCATTTACTTCCTTCTGCTGCTCCCTGATACCCTCCAGTTCTGCTCAGCAGTTGTGGCAAGATGCAGCAAGTAAATATCACTTTGTAGTGACCCATTTTCCTCCTCACAGAGGAGGATTTGCTTGTGTAGCTGGAGCTGACATGCTCTAACCCAGCAACCCCAAACTCAACGCAGAAGAGAAGTAGCACTGAATATATTAAACTAAAGCAACACAAAAAGGACAGTATTGGCCTGTGTGGGTTGAGCTGCTCTGCAGCTGCACCACAGGAATTCCCATGTCCATGTCCGGAGCTGTGCTCTGACTGATCTGCTTTGAAGAGAGTTTCTGTGGGAAGATGCCTTCCAAGGCTTAAGGGGTATTTTAATTTCCTGCTTTTGGGTTTGAAGTGGCTCTGTAGAGCAGAGGAGCTGAAGTTTGCTCTGTACTGCAGCATCCTAAGTTACTTCTGTCTGCTCCTGGACTCTTCTGTGCCTGTGGTCACACATGGCTTCACTATTAGGGTATAATCTAAAACCACTGGTGGGGGTTATAGCCCAGCCTGTACCCCCCTTCTTCCTGTACCCCCCCTCCTCCTGTGCCCCTGGAACTCTCATCATGTTCTGAGGTGCCTCATTGTTGTACTCTGACGTGGTTTATGTGTGACACCAAACAGGGGCATAGGCTGTGTACCTGGGGGTGGGAGCTGGGCCCACAGGAACCTGGTGAGGGCTCATGGGGACAAGTGCAGAGTCCTCTGTCTCAGAGCTCCCTGCAGTGACACAGGCTGGGGCCCGAGCAGCTTTGGGGCCTCTCTGCTGACAAAGGTGTTGGGGAACAGCAGAAGGAACAAGAACCAGCAGCTTGTGCTGGCAACCGATGGAGCAGACAGCATCCTGTGCTCCCTAAAACTGCATCTTTCTGATCTCTGCAGGGACACCTACAGTGACAGAAGTGGCAGCAGCTCACCTGACCTGGAGATAACAGAGCTGAAGTTCCCATCAGTAAATCATGATGATTCCTGGTAACTTTGAATGACCTCAACCTCTTTCCTTATGGAAACCTTTTCCTTGCCCAGCTGCCTCCTTGCAGCTGAACATTTCACATCAGGTGGTAGAAAACTGGCACCCCATGAGAAGTGCTGATGCTCACACACGTGTTCCAGCTGTGCTGCGGGATGTGTGTCTGGGTAGCAGATGTGTTTCCTTAGCAAATTGACACATAATAAAGTATAAAAATACATGTGGGAGATAGAGGTGAAATTCAAATCCATTAAGAAGCACAAACAGAGCATGCATGCCTGAAAGTGGAGGCAAAGCTGAGCAAGCTTTGCATGTAGAAAGTTTAGTTTTGGGAGCAGTCCTTCATCTCTGCCAAGCAGTGGTTTTGAATTGGCCATTCTCCCCATCTCCTGAGACAGTTCCTCTGCTGAGCCAGTGAGCTTGAGCCCTGGATGGTGATAGCTGCTGCAGATGCTATGTGGATGTGGAAACTGGATGGATGTGACAGAGGGAGGCACTAAAACCTGGCCCTCAGCTCACCAGAAAGGCAGACTTGATTCTTCCATTTCTCCCTTTGTGCAGTAGGAGATTGTGGCCTTTTCCCCACTGATGTAGATGGAGAGCAGGCCTTTATTGCCCAGTGCCCCCAGGGATGTCCAACTGGTATCAGAGTGGCTGTCCCCAGTGTAGGGAAGGTGACACTGGCGTGTGTGGCACAGGGTCCAGCTCAGCTCTCCTAATAGCTGCATTGTGAGGAAGATTCTTTGGTAGCAGCGCTGGGCAGGGTGTGAAGTTGGTCCTCAGCTGCTCTATTGGTTCCTTTATGTTTTATTCCAACAGTGATTTCTTAAAGGAGCTTTCTCCCTCGGGGTCTTAATGTTGCCATAGTGGCCCTGTACAACTGACAGGCACCGTTATCCTGGGGAGGGGAGTGTTGCCAGGTCCCGTGTGTTACATTCCTCTGGGTGAGACATGGACTTCAGTGCGCTGCTGTGTTAGAGAGTACAGAGATGTGGCAGAAAATACCCTCCCTGTGTTGCAGCCAGTCCTCAGGGATCACAAGGGCTGATAGGGAAAGCTCTATAGAAAACAGAACCAATTGGTAATTGACTGAATCCCAGCCTGGCTTGGGTTGGAAGGGACCTTAAAGCTCCTCCAGCTCCAACCCCTGCCACAGGCAGGGACCCCTTCCACTGGAGCAGCTTGCTCCAAGCCCCTGTGTCCAACCTGGCCTTGAGCACTGCCAGGGATGGGGCAGCCACAGCTTCTCTGGGCACCCTGTGCCAGCGCCTCAGCACCCTCACAGGGAAGAGCTTCTGCCTAAGAGCTCAGCTCAGTCTCCCCTTGGGCAGGGGACACCACTCATCACTGGTCTCCAACCAGCTAATTCCTTACCCACTGAATGATCAGCCTCTCACTTCCATGTCTGCAGGTTAGAGACAGGGATGCTGTTCAGGACAGGGTCTCATGCCTTGCACAAGTCCAGACAGACAAGGTCAGTTGCTTGTCCCTTACCCACCAGTGCTGTGGCCCATCACAGAAGGCCACCAACTCGGTCACCTTTCTCCCTTTGGTGTATTTTGGTGTGTGAATGAGCCTTGGTCAGGCCAAGCCTCTGTGGGCCCTCACTCAAGGGCAGAACAGGGCCCTGACACGTTAGCATCTGGCTCCATCACCCCAGCTTGGTTGTGCAGCTCCCCTCACCGGAGCTCTCAAGGCCTCAGGCCTTGTGCCCTCAGCTGCGTGTGCAGCTCCAGCCCCTTGCTCTGCCCTCTCAGTAACTCCTGCTCCTTTTCTCTCTCCCCAGATGTGTCTGTGCTGAAGAGAAGAGTCTGCACTTGATTTCCCAGGCGTTCTTACAGCAATAGCTTGAACACTCTCAGCTTTGGGCTTCCTTAACTTATGGGTTTATAAGTTTCCTTAGGAAATCCTCACCCTTTATCTCCCCAATCTTCGACCCTTTATTTTCTATGTAGGTTCTGTTTGTTCCTGGAGGAGAGCCCATCGCAGCACACGCACCTCTTGGCTTCCTGCTCTCCCACCAGTCTGGAGATACAAAGCCAAGTGGGGTACAGGGCTGGGTGTGCTGGGGGGGACACAGTTGGATGCTCCCTTCCCAGCGCATGGTGACAGTGGCAGTGCTTTGGGGCTCAGGTGCTGGCACGTTTGTTGCTCTCTCCAAGCCTTTCTGCTCCCTCAGCACCTTTATAGCACTGGTGGAATCATCAGGGTGACACCAGGTTTTGGGGGCTCTGTTCTGCAGCTGTGCTGTGCTGCAGGGCATGGGGCTGCTCAGCTTTCTGCAGGCTTTCTCTTTTGGGGGGATGTTTTGTTCCTTTGTGGTTGTTTTTGTCTTCTCAGTAGCGTTTCAAACCATTTGGCACTGGTGGTCTGGGTGCATTCATTACCAGTAGGGAACTTTTAATCAGGAAAAGCATCCTGGACCACCTGGATCAGCTCTAACTGTGATGTGTCACTGCAGGGATGCACCCGACCTGCATCATGTGGGGTGAGGGGGGGAATAAAAAGCCAAAGCAACGTCAGGAAAGCCTGAACATGGTGTTGCCATTGGCCCTGCTGGTGCTGCTTCTGAGCTGGGACACTTGAACTCCTTGCATCAAGGGGGAGGTACAGAAACAAGTGAACTGCTTTCAGATGCTGCCTTTAACAGCTCCCGTTTGCCTCGGACTGAGCCGTTCATGGTGCTTTTCGTTGCAGTTTTTGGAGGTGGAGCCTTCCTTCCGTTGCCTTCTTGCTCCCTATGGAATGCCGAGTGCTGGTCCCGAGGGTTGCAGTGTGCGGTGCTGGGGTCAGTGTTGGGGTGGTGGGGGGGGTCACCTCTGCATGGCTGGCTGGGGACCGCACTCACTTTGGGTCCCCCCCTGCAGTGTAAGCAGCAGGTTTGGCTCCTTGGTAGCTCAGGTGTCTCAAGTGCTGTACGTTCTCAGCTGTGTTTGATGCCAACCCCTGCCCTGTCTCACCCCAGCGAGCTCTTCCACAGCCTCTCTCTGCTTTAGTCCTTGCTTTCAGCACACACTCGAAAGCTGCTTTTGGCCTGGGACCCTCTGAGCATTCTTGGTGTGTGACAGTTCCATAGGAGCCAAGGGGGGATGCTCCGGGTGCCCGGCATCGTTCCTGCTCTCCACTGACACTTGGGTGTTTTATATTCCTGAAATGTCCTTGTTTTGGCCCAAACTGCACCCGCCTCAGTCCTTCAGTGCTTGTTTGTAATAAAATGAATTGAATAACCAGCCAGGAGCTCCCGGTGGTGCTCGGGGGGAGGAGAGGGACTGAAGTGTACCAGTGTTACAGTGGAGTATAGCACTGTTATACTGGAGCGTATCACTCAATGGCTCCAGTGTCAGTGTTTCTGCAGTGAGGGTCAGGCATTCATTCAGTCAGGCTGAATTTATGGGGTTTCTCTGCTTCCCCCCCAGCAGTGGAGGGAGCTGCAGCCCACAGCTCCTGCTGGGACAGTTTGGAATTGAACTGAGCTGGGTGGTTTCATAGAATAGAATCCCAGCCAGGTTTGGGTTGGAAGGGACCTTAAAGCTCATCCAGTTCCAGCCCCTGCTATGGGCAGGGACCCCTTCCACTGGAGCAGCTTGCTCCAAGGGTCTGTGGTGTGTGTGCACCAGCTCTGCTCCAACACCCCCCTGCAAGCTCCAACAGCAGCAAAGACTGTGTGAAAGCCTCTGCCCACCCCCCTGCTCCTAGACTGGGGACTGGTGATGCCAAAAGGCTCCATGGGGCAAGGGCAAGGTGCCTGTGCTCATGTAGCACTGGAGCCCCTCCATGGGTGCACTGCAGATGCTCACAGTGCTGCCGATGGGGATGCTCCTGGGGAAAACCAGAGCATCTGCTTGGGATGGGACCAAGCAACAGGCAGTGCTTTGGAGAGGCGGCAGGAGCCTGAGGGGTGTCCAAGGGCTGGCTCAGAAGCTGGTGATGCACTTCCTTTGCTGTCCTCACTAAGGACCCCTTGGTGGTGGTCACATCCCTTGCGTCAGGTTGTGCTGTGTTCTCAGCCGGCTCTGCCCCAGCAGTCCCACAGGCAGCAGGAGCAGGGCCGGAGCCCCACTGTCCCGCAGTGCCCCGTGTTCCCCCATGGCAGGGCCCATGGGAGCGCTCCCAGCAGCGCACGCACACCCGGTGGGAGCAGCTCTCGGTTATCCCTTTATTTAGAAACAAGTCAAGGTAAAATAAGTGCAGAGGAAAGCCCCGAGGGGCCCCGGAGCCGCAGCGCAGCCCTCGCCGCGCACCAAAGAAGCTGGTTTAGAGCTTTGGAGGGGGGGGATTTTGTTTGAGTTCTCCTTTTGTGGTTGCAGCTTTTCCCCTTAGGGGTAAACCTGCCCCAGGGCAGGTTCTGGAGATGGGGGGGGGACAGTGCGAGGCGCTGCTCTGGATGGGGGAGCTGGAGCCTGGAGCAGAGGGAAGTGCTTGTGGGAAGCCCTTTGGTCACTGCAGGAAGCGTGCGTGTGTGGGTACCCCCCCTCCAGGGCCCAGCTTGACCCCGGCCGGGCCATGGATGCTCAATGCAGGGACAGCGCCACTGCTCAAGTGCCATGGGAATAAATACACGGGGCTGCCAGGAGCATCCTGCAAAGCACCGCAAGGACAGGGTGCCCGGGGGGCCTCTGACCTGCCAGGCCCAACAAACAGCCTCTTGCATTGCGCTGAGCTGGGACGGAGCTGACACCATTGGAGCGGGAGAGCCCCTGGGAAGACGAACATGGGAAAGCCACCAGGAGCTGCGAGTTCAGCTCCGGGTACAGAAACCACCCCAGCTCTGGGAACAGAGAGCTCCTGACTTACAAACAGGAAAGAGGAGGAGGAGGTGAGTGCAGCAGCATCGCACTGGCTGCCCCAGCCCCGTCCCTGCTGTGGGGCACCAGGCCCAGCCTCAATCCTTAGCTCACCCAGTGCCCCCAGTGCCGCTGCGTGGCCGCCCCAGTCACAAATAAATACGAAGGTCTCGACCCTTGCCTGGTGTTCCCGGTGGGAGGAAGGATGGAGCTGAGGGAAGCGAGAGGCTCCTGGATGTAAAGACAGGGCTGGAGGTGGTCGCTGCTCTGAGCTTGCCGTGGTGCCACAGGGCCAAGGTTGGGTGGCACAAAGAGTCCAGTGCCCCAGCGCTGCTCCGAGGGGTGGGAGCCAACAGCCCTGTTCCCATGGGCTCTGCCCAGCGCCGCGGCTCCTTCCCAGGGAAGCAGGACTGGGCCCTCCGCTTCCAACGGGATGCCCATGCCTCGAGTCCGGTGCGAAGGCCTGGGGCCAGCTGTGCTCCAGCTGTGCACGGGGCGGGCTGTCAGCGAGGTGTCCGTCGGCGCTGCTGGGTGTGAGTGCATGCGGTACCTGTGGGCAGGCGAGCGCGGGTGCGGGTGGCCAGGAGCGGAGCTTCCAGGGTCCGTCCTGCCAAGCGTCCGCTCAGAACTTGCCTTGCTTTAGCTTGTCGATGTGGTACGTGAGCTTCAGGGCTGGGCCCAGCTTCAGCCCCATGTACTTCATCATCATGTCACTCCGCAGCAAGAGCAGGGCTTTCCCGTCGATCTCCTGCAAGGAAGGGAAACGACAGCACTTGTGAGTGACCCTGTAAGCACCAACCCTGCCCAGGCTGCGGTTCTATGGTTCTGGTCTGAAGGTGTGAGGATGCTTCACCTCCCAGTCCCGCTGCAGTGCTCAGGCTGAGCAGCATCCTCCCTCAAGCAGAGGGGACGGGGCTGGGAAACAGACACTGCAGGGAATTGAGGTGAGTGGGGCCCAATGCTCCGCAGTGCTGCCAGGTCTCCTGCCTGATGCTCTGGGATGCTCTGTTCCCTGGGATGCTCTGTTCCCTGGATGGTGGATTCCTGACTAAGCTGGGGATGGGGATGGGGCAGCTGGGTTGTGCGGTAGCTGGAGCCAGAGGTTACGAGCCCCAGCCCTGCAACCTCCCTTGAGGTCACTGAAAGGCTCCCTTGAACAGGAGCAGCAGAACTGGGACTGGTTTGAGCCTGGGTTAGGAGAAATTGGGATGCAGAGGTGCCAAAATGCAGCTGGAATTGTACAAACTCCATGTTTGCAGCTGTTTTACGCACCAGAGCCTTGGGAGGCTCCTGTTACAGGGAACAGGGGAGCTCGGCAGCAGTGCACTCAGTGAATCCCACTTGGAACACGTTTCTTCCCTGGGGAAATTTGCCATGATGGGGACATGAAGACTCCAGGATGAACAGGGGCTGTGCTGGCAGCACTGGGGCTCCAACCCAGCCGAGAGCCGAGCCCTCCATGGGCACCCTGGAGCTTCAGCTGGGCTGAGATGTGCTCCCCTTGGCAGCTGCTGGGTCAGGGGATCCAGCCCCTGATCCGGAGCAGGCCTTGTGAGGATGCTCTCCTTGGCCCTCACTCCAGTACAAAGCGCTGCCGTTCCTCTGGCTCCTGGACCACCCCATCCCGTACGTCACACGCGTGTGCACACGCACGCACATGGATGCACTCACATGTTTCCGGAAGAGATCCGCGTGGGGTCCCAGCTGCGGGTCCGCCTCCCGGATGAACTGCATCACCTCCTCCACGGTCCAGGACGAGGGATCGCGCCCGCCCGGCCGGGACACGTCCCTGGCTCCCAGGTACCTCTCTGAACCTGGTCAGGGGGCAGACAGCGGCCGTCACCCGGGGCTCCTGCAGCATCGCTCCAGCCCTGCCGCATCCCCCGGGTACCGCTTGGGCTGCCCAGGCCACAGCCTTGTTCGCCTTCCTTTTACACCGAGCCCCTTTCCCTGCTCTAAACCCCTTTGCCTCCCTCCAGCTGGGTTTGCCCCTGCCATTCCCACCGCTCCATCCCAGCTGCTGATGGTTCCCGCTGCCACAGGGAGTGATTCTCCATTCCCACATCCCCCCCCTCCCCGAGCACCACTTCTCCCCTTGCTCCCCCGCTCCAAACACCTCCTCCAAGCACACCTAACACGGCAAAGCTGGTTCATGTTTCCATGGCTGCATTGATGGGCTGAGCCCACATGGCGAGTTCTGTTGGCTCAAAGCTAACACAAGCCTTGCTCCCTGCATGGGCACATCCCATGCTTTTGGCTCCCTGTTTCAAGCACGGCTGTGGGGGGGCAGCTGAGGGATGGAGGCAGCAGCAGCCTGAGCATTTTAGAGGCTTTTACTGATGCTATGCACAGAAAGAACAACTTCTTCCACCACCACCTGCCTCTGTACATGGTGCACAGCTCTCCCCCCATCTCCCCTGCCCAAACAAGCCCCATGCACCCACCGCAGCTCCAGCCTCACCCGGCCGCTCTCCCTGCCCATTCCCAATCCATTCCTCCTCGACTCAGCCACCAATTCACTGCTTTGCCCCTGCTTGCCAGTCCAGCTCCCTTCCACTGACCTCCACGTCCACCTTGCACCATGCAGAACCCTGCAGCATCGCCACCCGCCCGCCTGCCTGTGTCTAGAGCCCCTGCCAACCCTGTGTCAGTGCCAGGGCCTCTGGTACTCGCTGGAGTTACAAAGGTGTAACTGGAGTTAGAAAAGCCCTTTACTGCCTAAGTTACAAGCGCAGGGCTGGCTTCTTAACTCTCTTACCCCCAGAGCTAAGCCTACGCAAGGCAGAGGAGCTGCCCTGGCTGAGGCTAGAGGGTTGGTGCAGGTGCCTGTATCCTGGCAGGCGATAGTCTCTGGAGCTCCTGCTGTGGCTGGATGCATTGACAGAGTTCAAGGCAGAGTCCATGGGGTCCAGGCGAGGCTCCAAGGGCCCTGGGAGGCCATCTCCCAGGACAAAGGTTTCACCTGGAACGCACCAAGCTGCAGTCAGTGCACCCGCTCGCCACGCACGACGCTACCGCTCGCCCGGCACCGCCTGCTGGTGGTGTTCTGGGAAGCACAGGCACTAAACCAGGCTCTGCCCAGCCCCTGCCTGGTGAGTGCCAGGCCAACCGGTTGGCAGTGGGGTTGGTGGTACCCAGGCCGCAGCACCGGCTCTGTTGGCATCACTCTGGTAATGGGGGCATCACTCTGGTAATGGGGGCATCACTCTGGTAATGAGGGCATCACTCTGGTAATAAGGGCATCACTCTGGTAATGGGGGCATCACTCTGGTAATGGGGGCATCACTCCGGTAATGGGGGCATCACTCTGGTAATGGGGGCATCACTCTGGTAATGAGGGCATCACTCTGGTAATGGGGGCATCACTCTGGTAATGGGGGCATCACTCTGGTAATGGGGGCATCCTCTGGTAATGGGTTGGTGGGTGGTAATGGGGGCATCACTGGTATGGGGGCATCACTCGGTAATGGGGATCCTCTGGTAATGGGGGCATCACTCTGGTAATGGGGATCACTCTGGTAATGGGGGATCACTCTGGTAATGGGGGCATCACTCTGGTAATGTGGGGGCATCACTCTGGTAATGGGGGCATCACTCTGGTAATGGGGGAATCACTCTGGTAATGGGGGCATCACTCTGGTAATGGGGGCATCACTCTGGTAATGGGGGCATCACTCTGGTAATGGGGGCATCACTCTGGTAATGGGGGAATCACTCTGGTAATGGGGGCATCACTCTGGTAATGGGGGCATCACTCTGGTAATGGGGGAATCACTCTGGTAATGGGGGCATCACTCTGGTAATGGGGGCATCACTCTGGTAATGGGGGCATCACTCTGGTAATGTTCCCAGCTCTGGGTTGCAGTCCTGGGTCCTTACTGCTGCCAGAGGCCCTCATGCAGGGCACTGCAGGGGAGCGCTGCCTGTTCTGGATGCCAACAGCACAGGGCTCACACAACAGCCCCGAGCAGGGGAGGATGCTCCCCGAGGGGTCAAGCAATGCACATCACCGGCCTTAGCGTGCAAGGTAACGGAGCGGGCGGTTGGGACTCTCTTTAGTGGGACTCATGCAGAGCAGGAGGCTCCTCTGAGCAGCTCAGTCACGGCCAGGCAATGCTCTCACACCACACTAAGCCCCTGGCCCCCAAAACAAGGTGCTGGTGACCATAGCTCACCCCCTGACCTCCTGCTGGGCTCGTGTCCATTCCCTAAGTCACTGACAGCTCCCTTTGCTGGACACACAGAGCACGGACAGGGCAGGGGGGCAGAGGGCTCTCCCTGGCTGGGGGTCCCAGTGCATCCTCACCATCCCATGCAGAAACACATCTCATTTTCATCTGTCGGTGGCAGCATTGGGATGGAGCTGTCTGAGCCAGCAAGATCCCCCTTTGCTGTTACCCTGCGCTGGCTCCATCCTAGGACCATGAGGTTGTAGATTTAACTATGGCACAACCAAGCCTCAGTGCAGGTGGATCTGATGCCTCAGGAGTCACCCTCAGACACCTGAGTGCTTCATTATGAACAATGAAATACCTGCCTTCATTATGAACAATGAAATACCATGCAGCACAAGAGGATCGATAAGAGGCTCCTGCAGCAAGGCTGGGCCAGTGCATCCCGCTGGGAGCTGGAGCTCCTCTCCCAGCACCCCCAGAGGCAGCTCATGGCCCTGAGCTGCTGCCCCTCAGACCCCATGGAAGGGGATGAGGAAGAAGAAACCTGAGCAACCCCAGCCAGGCCCTGGGCTTCTTCCCTGGGGCTTCCCGGACCACAGGAGCAGCAATGAGAGCAAGCAGGGAGCACAGTGCAGCTGCACTGACCTGGGATGGCGATGAGGGTGAGGAGGTGATGCTGCAGCCCAGGGGGCCTGAAGCTGCTGAGATCACAGAACCAGTGCAAAATCATGGAATGGGTTGGGTTGGAAGGGACCTTAAAGCTCCTCCAGCTCCAACCCCTGCCACGGGCAGGGCCCCCTTCCACTGGAGCAGCTTGCTCCAAGCCCCTGTGTCCAACCTGGCCTTGAGCACTGCCAGGGATGGGGCAGCCACAGCTTCTCTGGGCACCCTGTGCCAGCGCCTCAGCACCCTCACAGGGAAGAGCTTCTGCCTAAGAGCTCAGCTCAGTCTCCCCTCGGGCAGGTTCAAGCCATTCCCCTTGGCCTGTCCCTACAGGCCCTTGTCCCAAGCCCCTCTCCAGGTTTCCTGCAGCCCCTTTAGGTACTGGAGATCCCTCTTGCCCAGCGCACTGGGAATTAAGGGAAGCAGATGTGAGGTTCTCACCCATGGAACTGCAGCTCTCCCTCTCCTGGGCTCTGCTCCTCTGCACTCGAGGCATTTCTGCCTTTCTTTGCTTTCAGGTCTCTGGGATGCTCTCAGAGCAGCAGCACATCCTTAACACCTCGCACACAACCAGCACTGATGTCAAGCTGTTATTCCCAGTGGCCTGTGCTCTGTGCTGGCCTGCACGGCTCCAGCTTCCCACCAGGACAGATGTGTTTTCATCTGCTCTCTGTGCATGGAAGGCGGTTTCCTGGCTTATGGCTATTCCTGAATAACTGTGAACCCTCCCTTCACTCCTGCTCCCCTTCCCCACCATCCCATTTCAGCACAAGGCTGGATGTAAAGCCAGCCCTGAGCTGGCTGCTCTGGCTCAGGGGAGGATGGAGATCCCCTGGCCCATGTCCACACTGTGGATGTGACTTCCACCCATGGGAGCTTCTTCATGGCAGGTGTATTTGGTCTCCTCTCCAACAGGGCAGTTTTGCTTTGAACCCAAACCACATCCATGAAATACCTGTGCAAAAGGGGCATGTCTGGCTCACAGGGAAGAGCAGAGACATGAGAGGGGCTGGTTGGGAGCCTCTGCACTGGTGGGGATGCTCAATCACAGCACGGTGCTGCAGGCATGCAAACAGGTCTGTGCTGCACACCTCCATCCTCAAGGAAACGCAGCACCCAATGTGGGGTGACAACAGCTACAGCTTCCAGGGAGATCCACGACGCTCACCCAGATGTGGTCAGGCAAATGTGGGCATGAAACTGCCTGGGAGGACCCCAAAGCTCACTGGGCACTTGCAGCCCAGAGCCCCCCCGTGTGCTGGATGGACCCCCTGAGTGTGAGCAGCAGGTCAGGGAGGGGATCCTGCCCCTCTGCTGTGCTCTGGGGACACCCCCCTGCAGCCCTGATCCAGCTCTGGGGCAGCAGCACAAGAGGGACCTGGAGCTGCTGGAGCGAGGCCAGAGGAGGCCATGGAGATGCTGCGAGGGCTGGAGCAGCTCTGCTCTGGAGCCAGGCTGAGAGAGCTGGGCTGGGGCAGCCTGGAGAAGAGAAGGCTCCTGAAGGGGAGACCTTAGAGCAGCTCCAGTGCCTAAAGGGGCTGCAGGAAACCTGGAGAGGGGCTTGGGACAAGGGCCTGTAGGGACAGGCCAAGGGGAATGGCTTGAACCTGCCCGAGGGGAGACTGAGCTGAGCTCTTAGGCAGAAGCTCTTCCCTGTGAGGGTGCTGAGGCGCTGGCACAGGGTGCCCAGAGAAGCTGTGGCTGCCCCATCCCTGGCAGTGCTCAAGGCCAGGTTGGACACAGGGGCTTGGAGCAAGCTGCTCCAGTGGAAGGGGTCCCTGCCCGTGGCAGGGGTTGGAGCTGGAGGAGCTTTAAGGTCCCTTCAACACAAACCAGGCTGGGATCTATGATCTGTGCACGCAGAAGGAATTTCTGCGCTCAGCTATTGACGATGCAGCTTGGGCTGCTGGGACCCCACGTGCACAGGTTCCTGTCACTGCAATGCTAAGGATCCAAAATTCACCCTCAGGAAATATTTAACTTAGCATTAAGACCCTGTCCTCTCCTGCTGTGAATGCCCCGTGATGCATTCATCAAGTATGTGATCGTGTTCTCACACGTGCTGATGATCACACATCTGAAGAAGAGGATGAGGCCATCCCACTGGGGAGCACTGCTTTGAGGGGGAGAGTTGAAGCTGCACCTTCATCCTCAGGTCACCTATTGCTGGCCTTGTGTTTGGCTGGGCTGCCAGTACTGCAGCAGTGCTGGAGGCTTCTTGGTAGGATCAACAAGAGCGACTTTGCATCATCTTAACCTACAAACACCCAGAGAAGAGCTCAGAACTGACACCTCCAGACAGGGGAGAGGGAAACAGGGTGAGAGGGGAACGATTCTTAGCCCTGTGACTCACCTGTAGCAAAAGCCAACACGCAGGGCACAGGATGCACTCAGGCATACACCCTATGCAGAACCCTCCTGCCTCCCTCCATACCCAGCTTCAGAGCGATGGGGACCTGGGTTATCCTGAGGCAGATTTGCTTACACAAACTGCTAGTTTTAAGTAAAAGCTTGCATTTAGAGCACTGGAGGAAACCCCACCAGGAGTGGGGAGAGGCAGGGAGCAGCTCATTAAAGTGCAATTAAACAGTGCTAGAGATTCAAGAGCGTGGTTTTACTGTGAAAGCACGGAGCGTGGCCACAAGCACCAATGTGATTTGCACAGCTCCTAAACTCCCATTGCTCCCAAGGAATGGCAGCCTTTGGAAAACACCTCCCCACTGTGCTGGAACTGCAGCTTTCCAGCAAAAAGCTCCATAAATGCCACCGGATGGGAGAGGAAAAACAATGTAAGAAGGAAGATCCCTCCTCAGCCTCCTGAGTGCTTGCCAAAGGCGTGCTGAATGCAGCTTCCCACTGCTGCTCACTGCCTTCAGCCTGGCAGGCTGGAAGCTGTTGAGGTCCTGTCACACTGCTGAAGGCAGAATGAGCTGTGCTGGGGAGCTCTCACTGTGAGAAGAGGAACCTCCTTGCCCAATACTCAATAGCAGAGTATTCCAGGCTCGTATTCTTACAATGCATCCTCTGAAATGCAGATGTGTCTGCTTGTACTTAAACATCGACCCAAGAGGATCACCACCCTCACGTGAAGGCTTTCTACCCACTGGTCTCTAGTGTTACAGGAGAGGATGCAGTACTCTGGGCATCCTGATGACACAACCCAAAGGCCAAGAGAGAATCAAACAGACTTTGAAGCAGTCTAAGAATCCACCTTGCAGACGACCTAACATAAGTTCCTCCTTGGAATTACCCATTACAGAAGCCTTCCCTCTCCACTGACAGCAGAATGTACAATACCACCTAACCAAGGCATCTTAATCATCAGAGCACATCACTGTGCTTCAAGAGAGGGCTGAGCACTGCATGTCCCACCTTCTGGTAGAGGAGTGGAAAGGCTTTACTAACAGTTAACCTAAGTGCAGTGGTTGATGTGCTGGAAGAGAATGTCAAGAGGACCACCAAGGGCATGTATCTAGTGGTGAGAAACAGACTGAGCCCCAGGGAACACTTTCTGACTGTGCTGGAATAGATGAGCTGGTCCCACACATCCCCTTGTCCTTCACTCCACCTACATAACCATCTTATTCCATGTAAATACCAAGGGCACTGCAAACTGTCCATTGCAGGGGCAAGTCCAGATCAGCTGCACTTAGGGAAGGGGTCAGTAATGCTGCAGAGCAGAGGGCACAGTGATGGATGGAGACTAAACAGGCTGAGCACATGCAAATCTGGGTTCAGCACCAAGCCCAGCAAGAACCAGGGACATGGTGATCTGAAGGCACAGCAACAGAGCACAAAGCCCAGCCAAGAGTCTCCAGCAGGTCTTAAGGGGCACATTACAAAGGATTGAGTAAAACCTTGGCAGATTCCACCATCAATTAAAAGGCTTCAGTAAGGTTAAATCTCCATAACAGTGTCTGCAGTTCAAACCAAAAGGGAAGGTGGCATTATTGAAGACTCAGGCTACCTGAACCCCCTGCATCTCCCACCTCCACATGCAAGGGACACCTATGGACCACACACCGCAGGGGACATCCCTGCAACTGCTTCTGCAGCACATCTGCACCAGCATTCCCTGATGGACACGGCAGGAAGCAGCAGCACTGTGGGATGTGATGTGACCTGGTTCAGCTGGTGGAGAACACGCTCCTGAGACCCTCCCTGCTACTTAGGAAGGATTGTGAGGAGCAAGATGGGATCCTGGGAAAGGGCAGCAGGCTCCTGGCCCTGCAGCTGCCCATCAGCATCTGTACAATACACTGCAGTAAACCAGCATGGAGAAACTGGGGGGAAGATCGACTGAAGCAGCTGGGCAGGTTTATGGCTGTTAATACCACGCACGGCAATGGAAGCTATAATAAGGGTAAGTTAAATCCCAGATTATGTGGTATTAGGTGATGACGATGAGGGTTAGATGGAATCCTCCCTGCTTTCCACATGCCTCACACAACTGCCTGGGCAACCTGCCTTGGGAGAGCATGGCTTCATTCCTACCTGAAACACCAAGCACTGACCCAGGCCAGCGACCAAGCAGATCAGACCTAAACCCAGGGCTCACTTTGCACTGCTGCATCCATGACAAGCCACTACAAACAGCCAGCTTTGGGAAGAGACGCTGTGCTCACCTTCCAAAGGGTGACGGTCATTCTTTGGTAACTTGGGGGAGAGAGGAGCACTGTATGGAGGGGAATCTTGGGAATAGCGCTTTGTACCCCGGCCTGGTCCCTGCAGAGTGCCGTCTAAGGAACTGCTTCTGTCTAGGAAAAGAGAACAAGCCCTATTTAGGAGTGGAGACTTGCTGGGAAACCCAGGCCTGCCAGAGTCACTCAGGATCACCAGCGTGGCTGCAGCCTGCTCCAGCACATCTGTCAGTGCTTAATGCTTTATCTTTGCTTTGCAAGTCTGATCAAAGGGTGGGGAGAAACCTAGCGAAGAATCTTAGCCACATCCTGCCATATTTCACCCCTGATGGACTCCATTCTGTTTCTCCTCTTTCTACCCCTCGGCTCGCCCTGTGCCATTCCTGCTCCTCCCCACTCTTCCCCTTTCAGATGTTTGGGAACACTTCAGTGCTGGATTAAACTGGACTCAATTTTCCATCTTTCCCCAAAGGAACCCCTCGAGAGCTGCCTCTGCTGCTCCTCTCCAAGTGCTTCCCAATGCCGGGGCTCTCTGCATGCAGCACGGCACAGCACCCCCGGCTGGGCTGGGAGATGCCTCTCTGCACAAAGTGTCAATGGGTGGATGAACACAGAGAATGGGAGCACCAACATGATGGGAACAGCAGCAAGGGAAGGGGTGCAGGAGGTGGCAGTGCATGACCTGCCTGCACAAGGCATGGTCAGCTGGGAAGCAATGAAAAGAGGTTACCTCCAGTCACTGCCTGCCCGCACGGGCCCCCAGTGCTGCTGGCTCTCCCCTTCCAGCTGCCCCAAACATGGGCCACATGTGGGAGCCTGCAGTGTTCCAGGTGGATGAATACGAGGAGCTGGAGCAGTCCCAGATGGTGGGGCAGGGCAGGAACGGTGCTGGAGGGGTGACAGAAACACGGTGGGGAGCGACTGGGGCTGACACCAATGGGATGCATCACGCCAAACACAGAACGAAGGTACAGGGGGTGGGAAGCAGCACGGTCACAGTTCAGTTGACTAAAGAGAAGTACAGAGGTAGGGAAAACTACCTGAATCCTTTGGGGAAATGAAAGAATAAGCTGCTTATACTGAGGCTTTAGGACTCCAATATCATCAATATCATCAGTCTCATCAATAAATCACTGTATTATTATGCCTAAACTGTATTGTGTAACATTACCTAAAGGGGACCTGCAAGAAACCTGGAGAGGGGCTTGGGACAAGGGCCTGTAGGGACAGGCCAAGGGGAATGGCTTGAACCTGCCAGAGGGGAGACTGAGCTGAGCTCTTAGGCAGAAGCTCTTCCCTGTGAGGGTGCTGAGGCGCTGGCACAGGGTGCCCAGAGAAGCTGTGGCTGCCCCATCCCTGGCAGTGCTCAAGGCCAGGTTGGACACAGGGGCTTGGAGCAAGCTGCTCCAGTGGAAGGGGTCCCTGCCCATGGCAGGGGTTGGAGCTGGAGGAGCTTTAAGGTCCCTTTGACCCAAACCAGTCTATGAAACTATTAGAAAGACAAACACCATCCTCAGGACCAGTCCTTGTAGAAACACTTGGTGGCCAGGCTGAGATGAGAAACAAATGCTCTCTGGATACCTCTAACTGCAAACCTGCTCAGGCTCCTTCAGCAGACAGTCACCGAACCACAACAGATGGTGGTGCTTTCTAAAGGCTTGATCAGGTCTTGGTTTGGGTTCTTTTTAGAAGTCATATAAAGACACAAGGCTGGAGCTCAGTGTAAACTAATGGCAGGATAACCCAAAGCAGGTCTGTAGCGAGGGCCTCTTGATTTTAAAGAAGAAAATAAAGAAATGGAGACATACACAGAGCTGCCTCAGCAGTGTTGATGGGCAAAAATGCAACTACCTTCAGTTCAAAAGATGCCATAAACACCATGAATGTGTATCATCAGTGAGGAAATAACCTGGGAGAAAAGGACCCCAAACCCAAGTAGATAAATGTTCACTTTGGGAAGGATGCTGAGACCAAGCACATCATTTCCTGGAGATGAAAAGGAGCTGCTCAGAGGAGCTGCACACCCCACAGCATGGCGAGCACAGGGACAAAGGGAACATTTTAACCCATCCTGTCTTTTGACCCAGGGCAGAGGAAGAGGCAGGCCCACGTTTTCAGCTACAGAAGTAACAAGAGTGCGGGAATGAGTGAGAGGAAACTGTGCACAAAGGTAAAGACTGAGAAAAAAGGGTCCTTGCTTGGAAAAGATGGGCCAGCTTTGAGGTGCATTTCACCTCACCTGCCTTGGGAGGCTGGTGGGGAGGAAGAGGAGAACCTCTGCCCATGCCTGGGTTTGTGCTGCTGGCCACTGCCAGGCATCAGGATGGCCACCTTCACAGACAGTGAGTGTCTGCTCACCTCATCGCATCAAGGCAAAGTCCAGGCTCCCTTAGGATGCTGTGACTTGCACTGGCTGCTCTGGTACCTGCTCCCTGACTATGAGTGTGTCTACACAACCAGCTCAAGTGTCGATGCCTCGGTGACAACCAGTAAAGCAAATCCCCCGCTTCACTTCCAGTCACAGCCACGCTGAACACAGGGGCAGTGATACAAGAAACAAGACAGGAACAAAAATATACACCCTTGCCTAAGATGTGGAAGTCAAGTAACTGAATGCTTTCAAAGTGGGGACGTGAGGGTGCAGCAGAAGCCAAAATGTAACCTAAGAAAGAAGATGCACATGAAATCCTGAGCCTGCTGCAGCAGATTGTAACAGAACTGAGGGAGCTGCTGCTGGAGTGATGGGAACCGTGGTGTAAGCACTTGGAGAAGAAGGTGAAGAAACCATTTTGATGACAAACTGTTCCCATCTGACCTCAGCAGTGCTGCAGCCAGGCTTGTGAGAGGTGCTGAAGGATGGGGTAAGGAAAATACTGCAATTACATGTGGCGCACGCATCAGAGGGGACTGACCCAACAGCTTCCTTATCAAGGGAACACAAGGGATCTATCACACCAAGAAAGAATGATCAATCTCATTCACCTGGAACTCACCAAAGCATCTGATACGGATGAGATGGAGAGCATGAGCATTACCAGAAGCCTTGCTCATGCACAAACAGTTGACGTGAGGGGAGGAGCAGCCAGCAGAGCACTGAGCGAGAACACGAGGCTGCAGAGCACTTGCCAGTGAATCTTCCTGACGATCAGTCTGGAGCTCAGTGTCTTTTAACATTTCCATCAGTCACTTTGGCACACATCTCAGGGATTCACTGATGGAAGCTGCTGCTGCCTCCCCACAGCAGGACAGATGAAACAGCATTTGAAATGATGCAGAAAAAATCTGTATCATCTGGAGGTGAATCCAGAGCAAAACACAGATGTGCACTTGAAGCACTGTCCCATGAGCTGGGAACCTGCAGTTGGCAATAAGGGATCCATACCATTATGGACCAGGAGGGGTTGATCATCACCTGCTACAAGGACACAGCGACGAAAAGGGGTTTCCAGGGACATTGCTTGTGAACATGGAGGTGCCAGGGCTGTGGCACCAGGTCCACAGCAGCTCCTCCCCAGCGTGCTGTGCTCTGGGCACTGCACTGAACTCAAACCAACACTAGATGAGGAGAGCAGAGCCTTTCTTCCCAGGGCAGCCCAGCTGAGCTCCCCAGGATGATACAACTGCTCTGTAACTACTACAACAAGAAGAAGAACCAATTCAAGCTGAAGACACACAGATACCACATTGCTGGGAGTAAACCTGGGCTGGAAACTACAACACAGCTCCTAAAAATTCAGCAAAACCCCAGTGGAAAAGCAAAATCCCCCACTCCAGAGCTCATTAAAGCAACACTGCACTTTGTGGTGCCTGTAGTAACGGGACCCTGGGCTCAGAGGTCCAGGTCTCTCCAGTCCTCCAGGTTTTCTGATGGCTCCAGATCATATACCTGCTCACATCATCTCACAGCCCACCCCTCTTCCCATTCACAGCAATCAACTTCCCACTTCCTTGAAAACCTACTGTTTCCTGATGTACAACTTGACCTATTCCCCTTACTTCCATGGTTATGCAGGACAGAATCCCAAGATGCAGCTCACCTAAGGGCTGCTGCAGACCTTCCTTCTGCCCCAAGCACATGCATGAACTCTCCACAGACCCACAGTGGTGCTCCTGTAAAGCCAGTTTGTTCTGGGAACTGAGCTCCCAGTCCTAACCAGTGACTGCTGGAAGAACCAGCCCCACTCAGGCACACGAGCATCTCCACTGCAGAGGGAACAAGGCAGGACACACAGAGCTGAGGGCGAGACCAATCAACACTTGGCACGATTTAAGCTGATGTACAACCACATCCTCGTTCTTCCATCACCAGCCCTAACCCCCCATCAGAAGCCACAGGGATTGTAGATAACAACCTTTATCACCTTCTTCAGGTGCTTGAGAGAGGTGCTAGATGCTCAGATGCCCAGCAATCCCTGAGACATCAGCATGAGCTGCAGCACTAGGTGTTACTGCTTCTCTGGACTGGTTAATCTTCCTTTAATCCCTGCAGACACTCTAAGGACAAGCTCAGGAAGGGATGGTCTCAGCATCATGTTGTATCTGGTGCTCTAACTGAGCTGCCCTGGACTCTGACTTTGCTCTTTTAACCTTTCCACCCTGCCAGGCAGCCCAGCACAGACATCACTGACACCTCATGGGGGCTCGAAGCCACGTGTGTGAGCTACAGGACCTTGCCCATCCAAGCCTGCTACCATGCCCAGACCCAGTCCTATTCCTCCCATTCTGGTTTTGCTCTATCTCATGACCACAGGATAATTCCCCACTGGAACACACGGATTTCTTCTGAGGGCTCCCTGGTAACCTCTAGTCCCAGGAATCAGACAGCTCCTGTACTTGCCACAGTAGCCAACCCACTTCTATAGCTCCTCTTCCTATAGCACAGCACAGCTCCCTGCCCCTGGCACTGCTGCTCCAGCCTGCAGGCAGCTCATGAGCCATGGAGGAAGCAGAGGACAGTGACTCCAAGGTCCTCTTTAGACTCTTGCTAATCCCCCACCCTGAACTTGGGTGCTTTGTGAGCTGCTGTGGCCCCTAAGCTTCACCCTTAGCAGCTTCTACTTAAACAGTTCTCTATCAGTGTGTATCCTTTTATGCTTTTCTCACCAGAGTCTTAATTATCCAAAGGATTAACTTTGGAAAGCCCTCAAACAGCACAACATCTATTTGCTGACTTGGGGGCAGAAAGACAGGGGAGGAAGCAATGAGAGGAGATCAGAACAAGATACTTGTTAGCTACTAAAGAGATAGCTTCTATCCTCTCCAGGACCAGCATTCCTATAGGAGCAGCTCCTCCAGAGCCCCATGGCCAGTCTGGGGAGGCAGCTTCCACCCCAGGGGCTGCTGCCACTACACTGCACTGTGGGGAAAACCACTGGTCTTATTTTCCACTGCATTTGCTTAAGAGCACTTCTGCGGCCTTATGATTTGTGTTGTGGCATGAAATATCCTGCCAGGGTGTGTTGCTTCACCATGGTGAAAGGTGGTTCCTTTCCATGCTATGGAAAACAAAGCCACCTATGCCTCTGATTGCTGAGCATGCCTCATCCCGGAACGGGCCATGCGCCCACCAAGGGCTGGATGTGCTGTCTGCTGGGAGGGGTTCACAGCCAGCGTGGAAAGTGCTCTGCTGGCTTTTAATTCCATTCCTAATTACAGTTTGCATGCTCTTTGACTTCACACACAGTCCTTCAGCTTAACTCCTAACTGGGTGAAGTCACTCTAATCAGATTACAGGAAGCAGGAAGGGCTGGGGGAACAAGGAGAGGAGGGAAGACAAGGAGACAGCACGGATGAGCGGAAACCTACAGGCAGAGATGGAAATCAGGCCGAGGGGCAGCAAACATGGCACCTTGAACCCTGCCCTCAAAGAGAGCCCTGGGGGTGTGTGCATGACACCAGGTGTGATGCAATGAACCCTGCAGGGAGGGCTCTGACACTCAGCCTGCCTCCTGACATCAACTCTGCGTTAGGACACGGGGCACCTGAGGGTCCCTACGACGCCAACCCCCCCCAGCTCCTACCTGGTAGATACCTGTCGTGGTCGTACTCGTGTGAGCGCTGCATGTGGCTGTTCTGAGTGAAAGGCTGGTTCCCAAAGAGGTTGTCACTGCGAAGATTGTGGCAGAGCTTCTCCAGGAAGCGGAGGACGTAGGTGATACTGTTTACTGCTGGCAGGTTCAGAGTGTGCTGTTCCCGATCAAACACAGCTGGAGACAGAAACAAACAGAGCCCAACACGTAAACCCCCAGCAAAGGCAGGAGGCTACGCCCAGGGCTGCACAGCCAGCTTCTGTATCTCAGCATCGCTGGTCTAGACTAGAGCAAACAAAAGCCACTGCCTTCCCCTGGCTGAGCGCTGGGACAGGCTAAAACCAGTCTGCTGCACCCAGCAGCAGGGATGGGGCTGCAGGGCTGGGATGTTGCGTTCCAGGGCATAGGAAGGCATTCAAAGAGGGGCCTGCACTCCCTGTGTCCAGGGCTTCAAACAGGATGACACCCTGGGCATTGCCTGTCTCCACGTCAGTGCTGACACTCCCACCCGTTCTGCCTCCTCCCAGGGCTCGGGCAGGGGTTGGGGATGGAGGGTGAAGTGTTAACGCTGCCCAGGCCGACGGCAGGGCCACACACTGCCTTCTCCAGCACTTGTGCCCAGAGGCCACACTAAACTGCTCTGGGTCAGCCACCAGCTGCTGCTGCTTCACTGGCACAGATGTTTGGCAAGAAAGAGAAGACAGAACTCTTCTGTCTGCCCTGCACCAGGCTTCAGGAGAGGCATCTTCCAACGACTGAACTCTTGCAATGACATCTCCGAAGGCAAAGTGCTGCAGGCCAGTTCTCACCTGAGATGACCTCTCCCCCGTGGCCTTGCTTTAAGAAGGAGAAGACTGTTTTCTGATGATAAGCACAATCAATGCAGGCCTGTACTGCTTGCTGCAGGACAACAGAAGCTCGAGCAGGTCCAAAATGGTCCGGCAGCTGCTGAACTTTCTTCTTGTCTAGGTGGGGCCCAGTGCTGCCATTCTTGTTCAAGTAAATGCAAACTGCCAAGATGAGAAACGTGTTTGCCATTAACCCACTCAAGAAAGCAAGAAACAGATGCCTAAAATCCAACATGAGAGATGCTGAGATCTTAAGGCTGTCAAATCGCTCGCAAAGGGGAATCCACCACAACTGCCTGTCTGCATCCTAACAGTGGAGCCACTTACAGAGGGCAATCCGAAGTCTTCCTGCCTCTCACTCATCTTCCACACTGTCCCTGTCCCTCTTACACTCTCCCCTGCAGCCAGGCTCCCAAAGACAGGCTGCAAAGGGGTTCCTGTGCCAGCCAGGGAAGGTGGCTGTGATGACAAAGGAGACGAAGGAGTGCAGCCCCTGCTCTTTAGGGTTCTTTAGGGTCCTCTGAAAACTGGCCACTCACTGTGGAAACAGAGGGCTCAGCCTATCCAGTGCCTGACCAACCATACAAAAAGCAGCTTTGCACTAAGCCTTCCTGCCCAGATTCATCTCCAGTGCAACTCACAGCTGTAGCAGAGCACACACTCTGCACTGCCATTCCTGCTCCTGCCCTGCTCCCTCCTGTCCCTATTTGCCTGGACATCCTGAAGCTGAACAGATCATGGCCACTGCTGCTCAGCACTTGTTCTGCATCCTGCTGTAGGGTCAGCAGCCATGCCTGGCATGGTCTGGGAGAGCTCACACCCTGGGCCCACAAGAGATGCTGCACACCAAACTGCCTCTGGGCCATGAAAAGAGCCCTTTGAGAGCTGCAGAATCACCATGAACATGCAGGGAAAGGGGTCCCTGCACTGGAGAGATGGACTTGCAATCTCCTACAGCTTCGTTATTTCAAAAACAGAGAGAAATGAACAGCTGATCTGAACCCCTGGGCTCTCTTTTCCTCCCTTCCATCTCAGGCCAGCCTTTCAGGAATTGCAGTGGCCGCTGGTTACAAGGTTAGGAAGGAACAGGAGTACCTCAGTGTGTCGCTTTCTGACCAATGCAGCTCCTAACGTGGAGAATGTGGTTCAAGACCCTTACCTGTGGGAGCCTGCATGGCAGAGCTGGGGACTGTAGCAGCGTCCTGGGGCACAGTGCTTGTGTCTGGTTCTGGGGTACTGGTGGTTGGAGAGGTGGGTGCTGGGTTCAGCAATGTCCTAGGTTTCCTCTGCAGAAAAAGAGGAGATATTTCTCCTTTTACCCCTGCTCTCCTTTACTACCCATGATCACTACACTCTCTCCTCTGCATCCAACAGACACGGCACTGTGGAACATGACACACTTCTGATGGTGATGACGGGGAGTCTGAAGAGCCTAGTAATCAGTAGGTGTGCATTTTAAACACCACAATCCTCACAAAATAACAAGCCTGAGATCTGCCACCTTTGCTTGACTCAGACCAGCTACAGACTAACTACACACGATGGACCCAAGAGCTTATTCCACCATTTGGCCATCCTGTCATGATCACAGCATCTGCCATGCTACCTTCACAGCTAATGCAGCTCCAAAGACAGAGTTTCTTGATGGAAATGATCTTTAGGACACAGACATTCTCTACAGCTCTGGGGCTGGACTCTGAGGGATACTCCCAGCCCACATACCCCTCTGGTCTCCTACTTGCTGCAGTCATACAGCCAGAGGCTGAGACAAACGTGCACAAACACACGCATGCACCATCCCATGGCAGAACTTGCAGCACCTGCTTTTCACCCGCCTGCATCAGCATCAGCTTTTACCTTACTGCCAGGCTTGGGGCCTCTCTTTCTGGGGAATTTCAAAGGCTCCACTGACTTGGAGGGTGTAGGCATGGGGTGATGGATTAGCGCTTTGGTCGTTCGACCACGCTTCTTCCCTGTTTTGCGACGCCTTTGCCCTTGTTGATGCCCCAAACCAGTCTTTGTGCTACTGTGCATGCTAGGTTTCTCCGAGTTTACTTCGGAGGCAGGTAAAGGGCTCTTTGGAATCACAACTGAAATAAAAAGAGAAAAAGCAAATAGAATTAAATCAGGCGAGAATGAAAACAAGAGCAGCCTCCATCTTTATACAGCGTCACATGGGAAAACCTGGAGCGTTCGCAGCCCCCTAGACGGAGGCTCCAGCTTTCCATGCCAGGATAAAAACCAAAGGCACTGATCCTGCTTCAGTGCTCGAGCTGTGGGATGTGGCTGGGCTGAGCTCCTGAAGGATCATGCTTTCAGCCATACCTTCCTTCCTGAAAATACCTGGCACCTACACCTCTTCCTGCTGCAAGTGGTGACCTGCCAATGACCATGTAGAATGCATGGAAAGCATTCCTAGGGGAAGGATCAGTCAAGACCTGCCTGATAGTCCAGAGCCAGTGCTGTGCTGGAAATCCCCTCTCCCAAGGCAGAAATCACATTTGCTCTGTCCCTGAAGGACCAGTGAATGCAGTGATGGTACCAGCTCCATCCCTGATGCTCTCGAGGACTGGAATCCTGTCCCTCAGTATCAGCTCATCTCATCTGGATCTGCTGTCCTGCTCCTCTCCCACACAGCCAGAGGTAAGGAGGTGCCAGCATAGGCTCTGCTCCTTCTTATGTTCTCATGCTTGCCATGACAAAACGAGGTTTCTGGTCCAAAAATCCCCTAATTTGGTCATTCACCTCTCCCAAGTCCTGCTAAAGGCTGGAGGTGAGCTGGCCCAGCTCGGCGGACCAGTATTCCCTTTAAACTCCTGCTAAAAGGAAACAAACCCAAACCCTCTCAGGTTTTATAGAATCATAGAATAGTTTGGGTAGGAAAGGACCTTAAGATCATCCAGTTCCAACCCCCTGCCATGGGCAGGGACACCTCACACTAAACCAGGTCACCCAAGGCTCTGTCCAACCTGGCCTAGAACACTGCCGGGGATGGAGCATCCACAGCTTCCCTGGGCAACCCATTCCAGTGCCTCACTGCCCTTACAGTAAAGAACTTCTTTCTTATATCCAATCTAAACTTCCCCTGTTTCAGCTGGAACCCATCACCCCTTCTCCTATCACTACAGTCCCTAATGAAGAGTCCCTCCCCAGCATCCCTATAGGCCCCCACCAGACACTGGAAGCTGCTCTGAGGTCTCCACGCAGCTTCTCTTCTCCAGGCTGAACAGCCCCAACTTTCTCTCCATACAGGAGCTGCTCCAGCCCCTGAGCATCCTCGTGGCCTCCTCTGGACTTGCTCCAACAGTTCCGTTTTGAAACATGCACAGTGAGCATCAGGATGCCTTGTGTCTCCAGGCTGGAAACCTCGTTGTGTATTCAGCATGGGGGCTCTGAATGTCATGAACCCCCACTTTTAAAGCAAGGGTCTTTCTAGTGAAGGAGAAAATCTTGGCCAAGGAAGATTTGGTGCCAGACCACTTTGGCTGCAGTGAGAAACATCACCCTAAAGGTGCAGGATCAAACACTGCTGAACTTAGAGCAAAGGGAAAGCTGGGCACCACGGACTGGGCTCTCAGTCACTGAGGGGTTAGCTTAAACCAGAGTTCTGAGCTTCCTGCACAAACAAAGGGACCTGACAGAGAAGACTTCAGGGTCCGTTTCCTAACACCAACACATCCCTCACCCGTTGATACACGGCACTGGGACTCATTGTTACATACAGAAGACTGTGAAGTTGCCATCCACACTTTGAGTGTCAGCCAGTACTAGAAACTCATCAGCTTATCTCAGGCTTATCACAGTCTGAAGAAGACAAAAGTATATGCTTGGGATAAGAATACAAAGCCAAAACATGTAGGAAAATATGGAAGAGTTGAAGATGGAGAACATTTCCTACCTTTCTCTCCGCTACACCAACTATTCCCCATTCACCAGCAGCTGCTGGACCACAACCCCCCAGATCCCCATTTTACATGCCAAGGGTACTGTACTCTCAGGTGCAGCCATAGCTCACCTCCTTTATCTCTAGGTACCAGTGATGACCACTACAGTGTCCTGAAACAAAAGGGGTGGTTTCTGAGAAGCCTGAACACACCATTCCTATCCACTTAAAGCACTATGAAGAACACTCTGTAGGCTACACATCCAGTGGCTCTTGGGTGCTCCAGGTGTCCTCTGTCCCATCTTCAGCATTGCATGGTCAGAAGCATGACTCAAAGAGGTGCATTAGAGACACATTTGAGATAAGCAAATCTGCCAGAGCTTGGGAAGCTTGTTGAGATCTGGCTGAATCCTTCCCTGGATGCAGCAGCTCAAACCGTGACATCCTGATGCTGGAGCTGGACAGGAACCAGAGCTCAGCGCCTGTCCAAGAGCAAGATGTGAAAGCTTCAAACCTCTGGATTCTCCCCAGAGCAGAGCCCATCATCACTGGCCATCATGTGCATGGCTGGGACACAAATACAGGCACTGGGAAGACTCAAGATGTGGCATGTCCTGAGCTCTCAGCAGGCGTGACAGACATAACGCAGGAGAAAAGGACAAGTGTGGAGACATGGGCTCCTTGCAAGGCCAGGAATAAAGAACAATCCTCCAAATCCTGGAATTTTAAATCCAGAATGCAATTATTCTGATAATTTAGTAATTCCTGCAGGGATTCCTGCTCTCCAGCCTCCAACATCTGCTTGAGCTAAGGCCGAAGGATCGGATCTATCTAATACAGTAATGCAGCGAGAGGAGCAAGCGCTGCATGGTTCAGCATGGTCTAGATGTTCTCATGACATCAACTCCCCAAAATGCACTTTCTTTTTACACAGGATTTGTCTGCTTTTGGCTACTGAAACTTGCTGCTGCCTTCACTGGAAGCCATGAGGTGCTTCATCTCCTGCTCCCCTCTCAGACCTCACTGCCCAGTAGGTACATGACAGCACGCACATGAAACTGTCCCTGAAACTGTGTCCTGCTCATCCTGACATGCAGGTTGGATTTTAATGCGTGCTTTGGGGCAGGACATCCCCAGGCACAGGAAGAACAGCAGCTATTTAAAGCTAAGGCAATGCCTTAGGTGTTTGTTGCACCTGAGAAAGGCTCTGAACACCCATCATGAGTGTCCCATTTGTTAAAGGCTTTGAAATCTGCAGGCTCTGGAGCAGCACTTTCCTTCCAGCAGTGCTTGGCTGAGCTCTGAGCACTGCAGCTGCCACTGCACATCCCTCAGGCACAAACTGTGGCATTTTTAAGGTTCTTTTCTTTACAAAACTAAACTAAATAAGGAAAAAAGTCTCCAAGAGGCACCGAGACACCAGCAAGTGCTGCTGCTTCTGCACAAGTCTCATGAGGCAGCATTCCTGAGTGCCCCAAACCACAGCCTGTATCCAGAGCAGAGGTTCTCCAGCCCTCCCAGCATCCTGGGAAAGGAAAGCAAAGAGTGTGGAGAAAACCACTCCTACCTTCAGATGCCAAATGATGGGTTCTGAGCTGCCTGGTGCTCCTTCAGGAGGGAGAACGTGGGCTGTAACATTCACTGCACAAAGAACATCAGCTCAAAACCAGCAGTGGCCAGAACAGAAATCCTCATTGCTCTGGTTGAAAATCAAGCAAGAAGCTCCCAGACCTGCAAATGATCCCTGGATTCTGAGTCCCAGCCTTTCCAGGGATAGCTCCAGTCAGGGATAAGCTCTGCCTCAACCCAGAGCCACCCTTCCCTGAGCCCATTAGGAAAACACTTGGATCAGGTTGAGCTTTTAAGAGCTCCTTCACACTGCCTTGGCTCTTCTGCTCCACAATCATAAACCACCTTTTAAGGTCTTAACTGGTTTCCAGCATCACTTCAGAGACTCTTATCATTGCTTAGCAGTTACTGATGCTTTTCAGGGTATAAACACCCATGTGCAGCTACTCCTCAGTGCAGGGGGAAGCACTTTGAGACTGGCACAAAGTGCCATGGATGTGCCACACAATAGCTTCACTCACCAGGATCCCTTGGGCTCAGCACTGTCCCCATCCTGCTGATGGCAAAATAAACAGGGATGAGTGACTGGCTCCTGATGAGAAACAAAGGCAGTGACAGCCTGGGAAGAGCAAAGGTGCCCAAACTGTTGGCCTCAGCAAAAATCACTTTCAGTTTAGTGCTGAGCACACAGATTGACTCAGCCCCAAACCCCAGGTCTTAATTTCTCTCCCATACAAGAAAGTTTAACTGCTTTGTATCTACTGGGTAGTAATAAAATGAATGGGTAAACTTAGTTATGGATATTTTACAGCTAATACTGCCAAGGGTGGCATTAGGGTAAGGGAAAGCAGCACCATGCCTGCCACCACTGGAGCAGCCAAGCAAACTTCTCCCTAAATAGCAGCTCACAAGTCCCCCATCTCCCAGCATGTTTGCTGTGGAACATCTGCACAACCAGCCATAAACATCTCCCACTGCCAATTATAACTCTGGAGCAGGACATTCCTGCTTCTTCAGCCCCTCTTTTCCCTTCCATCCCCTCTTCCAGCTCCCAAAAGGCAATGCAAAGGAGCAGAAAGACCATGCTGGGAATGGCCCTGGCACAGACATTTACACTGCAGAGAAAAATGGCTGCTTTGGACAGTGCAGATCTGGATTGCAGGGGAAGCCCTCAACAGAATTCCAGCCCTTACTGCAGCAGCAGTGTTAGTTCTTCTATGCAGAGTGTCCTCATCACCCCTGAGAGACACTCTCTTGTATGAGCCAGCACCCAGCAACCTTTGGACAAACCTGGTGGCCTTGGTACCATGTGTCAGCATCAGTTTGTCATTTCTCCAGTGCTCAGACAGCCAAAGCCTGGGTCCAGTTCTGCAAGGCCACTTGGATGCTCCTTTGCAGGTACAGCCAGAGCATGGAGCTCCCCCAGTCTGCCTGGAGCAGAGTGCCTCCTACCAGCCCAGCTACCAGGCCAGGCAACAAGGAGCTGCAATGAGCCTATCAGGGCATATGGTTCAAAGCCAAATTTGTCAGCAATGACCCTCTCCATATCCCAAACCAGCAGTTTTCCTCCTGTCCCCATCCCACTACCTCTTACTCCAAACTGGCTGCAACACAACCTGGGTTCTTGCTTGCTGTGAT